GCAATACGAAACACAACAAAAACTGACTCGTCTGATTTGTAAAACCAGAGAGAAAAGAAAAAGGGGGAAAAGGAAGTTATAATTTTCTTGCCACCCCCATCACGGCTTCACTTGGCCTCGTCTATAAAAAAACACTCCTCTGTCTCGAATCCTTCTTCCTCTCCCTGCCCCCGATCGGCCTCGTCCTCTCCACGCCGCGAGCCCACCAGAAAACGCACACGCCGACGCGAGCCAATCAACCCGCCGCGCCGCGCCTCGCCGCCGTCGCGATGCGACCGGGCGGGCCGCCGAGCTTGCGGGCGGGGCTGCAGCAGCAGCAGCAGCAGCAGCCGGGGACGCCGGGGAGGTCGCGGCGCCGGCCGGATCTCACGCTGCCGCTGCCGCAGCGGGACCTCACGTCGCTCGCGGTGCCGCTGCCGCTGCCGCTGCCGCCGTCGTCGGCGCCGTCGTCGACGTCGTCGTCCGGGTCGTCCTCGCTCGGCGGCGTGCCCACCCCGCCGAATTCGGTCGGCTCCGCGCCGCCGGCCCCGCCGCCGCTGTCGGAGCTGGAGCGCGTCCGCCGCATCGGGAGCGGCGCGGGCGGGACGGTGTGGATGGTGCGGCACCGCCCCACGGGGCGGCCGTACGCGCTCAAGGTGCTCTACGGGAACCACGACGACGCCGTGCGGCGGCAGATCACGCGCGAGATCGCGATCCTCCGCACCGCCGAGCACCCGGCCGTCGTGCGGTGCCACGGCATGTACGAGCAGGCCGGCGAGCTCCAGATCCTGCTCGAGTACATGGACGGGGGATCCCTCGAGGGCCGCCGCATCGCCTCCGAGGCCTTCCTCGCCGACGTCGCGCGCCAGGTGCTCTCCGGGATCGCCTACCTCCACCGCCGCCACATCGTCCACCGCGACATCAAGCCATCCAACCTCCTCATCGACTCCGGCCGCCGCGTCAAGATCGCCGACTTCGGCGTCGGCCGCATCCTCAACCAGACCATGGACCCCTGCAACTCCTCCGTCGGGACCATCGCCTACATGAGCCCCGAGCGCATCAACACCGACCTCAACGACGGCGCCTACGACGGCTACGCCGGCGACATCTGGAGCTTCGGCCTGAGCATTCTCGAGTTCTACATGGGCAGGTTCCCCCTCGGGGAGAATCTCGGCAAGCAGGGAGACTGGGCCGCCCTCATGTGCGCGATTTGCTACTCCGACTCGCCGGCGCCGCCGCCCAACGCCTCGCCGGAGTTCAAGAGCTTCATCAGCTGCTGCCTCCAGAAGAACCCGGCGCGGCGGCCATCGGCGGCGCAGCTTCTCCAACATCGGTTCGTCGCCGGGCCACAGCAGCAGCAGCAGCCGCAGCCGCAGCCCCTCGCACCGCCTCCGTCATGATGAATTCCGATGGGATTCCGGCGTTGATCCGGCTCGGCCATGGATGGACGGTGGTTTGGCATTGAGACGTGGGATCTAGGAGTGCTCTTCCTAGCCATTTTGGGTATTCAAGCCACCACCACAATTTAGTGATTTACCCTCATCATCATCCCCTCTCTTGTCGCTGTTGCTCCTGGAATTAAGCTCCTCTCCTCTCCTCCCCTTCCCCTCCTCAACTTTTCTTTAATCTCTTCTTCTTCTTTTTTTTCTTCTTCTTCTTCCAATTAAGTTCATGTTCTTCCAAATGATCATCATATAATATGGGTTGTTAAGAAAGCAATTTCTTCTTAATTAATTTATTTTCTAAAATCATCATTGGAGCAGTAGAAGTAGTAGTAGTAGTAGGTGGTGGTGTCCATCTGCTCCAGTTGCAGGAGGAGGAGGAGAAGATGGTGACAAAACAACATTGTGATGCTTTGCTGTGCTGGCTTCTTGGATTCTGCAAATTGTGGGGGGTGGATTGGATTGGATTGGATGGATCATGAATGGTTGGAGCAAGCAAATCTTGAAATGGGAACCAAATCAACTTTATTTTTTCCTCCTCCTCTTCCTGAATCCTGATCCTTTCTCTCTGGTGGTTTTGAGGGGAGAATGATCGAATGAAATCATGAATTGCTCTCTTTATTCTTTGTCTCACTTTGCTACCAGTAGTAGTATATTGCTTCTGAACCTGTGCTTTTCTTCTCTTCTCCTTTTCCCTTTCCCAGTTCATTATTTTTGGGGCCCCTGTAGGGATGGCACTACTACTACTTTGCATGCATCGATAGATTTGGGTCATTTTTTTTTAGCGTGACATCCTTAATTTTCACGTAGTAAAAGGAAAGCATGAAAAAGAACAAGAAGAACAGGGGACGCAGCCGCGAAGGGCCCTCTGCTTCTGTTGTGCAGAGAGTGACAATTGCTTGCAAATGGATAGATTTGTAGGTCGGCGAAAGGGGCTGTACATAGGAAAAGCGATGATGAGATGGTATGAGATGAGATGAGAGCAAGAGAGAGAAGAACCAACCAAGAGGGTGTCGCCTCCATCAATGTGGTGATGCTGTACGCAGGCCGTCCTGTGCTGACATGTGGGCCCGAATGGGCTGCTTGCTTCGTGGAGGTGTATGAATTGAGTTTGTGAACAGTGTGCATCTACAATAAATAGACACGGCCTTCTCATGTGTGTGTGTATGAGCTGACTTATGATGATGATGCAGTGCACTTGCAGCAAAGAGTACAATGCGCCCCAGCTGAGAGGAACAATTCAACTGTGATTTCTAATGCAAGATTTTATCTAGTATAACTTTATAAATTACTTCTTTCGTTCTAAAAAGTTTATCTGTTAGTTAAAAATGAACCAGCATGATACAAAAGAAAGAGAGGAGTGTGAATTACTCATCCTCCTATGTCCTATCTTAGTAGTAGGTTAAAAAGGGTGTTTAATTATCTCTCCCAGTGTACATGAACATGATGATGAGTACTTCGTCGTACCACGTATGGTTGCATGCGCAGTACTCCTCTGCTTATAATGCGTGATGCGGTATGTCTTGCGTGATGCATTATTGGTGTAGTTAAGATGGCACGAGATGTCAATGTTTCGTCCACAGATTACCTACGGGAAGTACATCCAGAGCACTCATTTATATTCGTTTTGTTACTTTTCTAGAAGCCCTGCTTATGATTCATGAGTACTCCAGTAGTCCAGTAGTACTAGTAAACATGGTTGTGAATATCACATCTCAAGAATATACTCCAGTGACTTGGAGGGGGACGTTGATTACAAGGCCATTCCCGACTCAATGACTAGGATTGTGTCTATAGCATTAAATAAGGTGATACCTAGGATGAAAAATGATGTGGCATGTAAATAAATGAGAAAAGAGAAGGAAACCATGTCTTGAGACATGGTTTCTACACAACATCCAAGACATCATGTGAGATAAGAAGTATTAAATTTAAGTATGGAATATTAGTGTTTGCATTGGAAGAACGGTGTCTAGTACTAGTCTCTTGATGATGTGGAGTTTATGGAAACCATGTCTAGTGTTTTAGGTTGGGAATGGTTTAAAGGAAACGGTTAAAACCTTAATCACCGGATAGGTGGCTCATTTGGTATCCTACAAACAAATTATAGTTAAATAATATTGTACTATGTCCGTCTAAAAAATATAGTACTCCTAGATTTTAACTATGTATCTTGATATGCTCTTATCTAAATTTATATCTACAAACCAGTAGAACGGTAGATATTAGTAGTATTAATAACCATGCCACTTTCAAAAGCAGGAATTTCAGAAAAATATAACGGCGGAATAAAAAGAAATTGATTGGCTTATACTTATGCTTGTAAGCAAAAACATTGAATTTTAAACTTAATTTTGAATTTAATATACTGTTTTTATCATAGTTTATTTTATACTCCCTCAGTCCCAAAAAAAAGTCTAATTCTAGAGTGTGTCCAGATTCATCCCTAGAATTAGACTTTTTTTTTTTGAATGGAGGGAGTAGCATTTGCTTTTGAGTTGTTAAGGGTATGTATATGTAGTACTAAGTTTTACTTACAAATTTTATTTGCTAATAAACGTTTCGGATAGTTAATGTCTTTTCACGCACGATCACGGTGAAGTGAAGTGGCCTGCGAATGGAAGCACGAAACGGAAGGACAAGAGAGGGGGAAAACACAGACACAGACACACGAGATCCTCGGCGGCTGCTGATTGGAGCGCAAGGACAGATTCTTCTGAAACTGAAATGATAGGTGCCTGACACAAACATGCCATGCCCGAACAGCGCCTACCCCTAGTAGCAGCAGCTGCAGCGGTAGCACTAGCATCCAACGCGTACGGGCACGCCTCGGCTGCCACTGTTTGGAAGTTTCGCCTCGGCGACGGATCATCATCTCATATGGATGCGGCCCTGCTCTGCTCTGACAGCAGTGAAGGCTACTGATGATGAATGCACGCCGCACGCTGCGTCATGAGAATTGCGGGTGTTCGCGTTCGATTCGATCGATTCTCTCGTGAAGTCATGAGATGTCGCAGTGCAGGGCCCCCACATTTGTGTATACTACTACTCCCTCTATCCAAAAAAAACTCAACCTAACAATAAATCTGAACAAATATTTGTTCTAATAGAGGTCAAATCCTCTGATAAGTTAAGTTTTTTTTTTATGAAGGGAGTAATTCTGTTTAAAATGTACTATCATTTCAGACTCAGTGCTATTTCTGTAGATTATCCTGTGTATTTTACTACAGTGGAGATTATTCACTACGAGCTGACTTGTTCTTTCAGTCCTTCATGATCAATTCAGTTCAGACTTTAGTGGTAGTAGTCTTTTTCTTCTTTGTACTTATCGTTTAAAAATTGACGAGTCTTTGTTGATTGTTGATGGAGTAGGAAATGGTCGTCGGCATGTCCTCTTCTTAACTACTCCCTGAACGTCATTCAGTTGAGTACTATTATGCAGCATGTCGCACATGATAAATTAACAGGAAACAAGTGTAGCTCAAAGATATGAACAGAAGAAATCCGGTCCAGATGATAATGTAGCTATGACGGCTGAACCTGTATAAGACCAGATCTTTGGTGGCCCTTTTTCCGAGCTTCTGGATGAACTGTCAGCATTTTGATTAGTTTTAAAATGTCAGGTCATTTACAAACAACAGGAGGATCAAGAAACGATCGACAACTAGTTTACAACCACACCAACATGTAGGCATGAACATGGCTCTCTGTCTCTGCATTAACAAACAGTAGCTTCCTACTCAGATTAATCAGGAGAAGCATTGGATAAAAATCATGCTTAAGTGAGCCTTGCAGTAACGCCTATTGCAGTCGTAGTGCAAAACTCAGGTCAGCTTTAATTTAGTTGTAGTTGAGCCTTCGTCCCTGCATGGCTTGCTGGCTCGTGTCCGCGTCGTACGACGACCTCCCTACGCTGTGCTCAATCGCCATATCCTGGTGATTAATCAGATGAAGCAACAAAGATTCAATTGATGTTCTTGCTTGCAAGTTGCAACGAGATTTGCAGGAGATGGTGGATGGATTGATCTTACGGTTTGTCGATGAGGTTGATGCATGGAGGAGTTGCTGTTGTAGGGCGAGCTGTGCATGCTGCTCCGGCCGCCGCCGCTCATGGTGTTGCAGAGCTGCATGTTGTCCTCGCCGAGGGCGCGGAGGCGGTTGAGCTCCGGGAGCACGACGGTGGCGAGGTCGGGGCGGTCCTTCCGGCGGAGCTCGCAGCAGCGGATGGATATCTCGGCGAAGCAGCGCGCCTCGTCGACGGGCCAGTCGTGGACGGCCGGGTCGAGCATGTCGACGATGGTGCCGTGGTCGAGCGCGCGCGCGACGTGGTGGGTGAGCCCCATGGGCGGCTTCGCGGTGACGATCTGGAGCAGCATGACGCCGAGGGAGTAGACGTCCGACTTGACGCCGAGCATGCCCGTCTGCTGGTACTCCGGGTCGATGTAGCAGAAGGTCCCCGCCGCCGACGTCATGTGGCACTGCGTGACGCTGTCGGCGACGGAGGGCGGGACGAGGCGGGCGAGGCCGACGTCGCTGATCTTGCTGACGTAGTTGCGGTCGAGGAGGATGTTGCCCGGCTTGAGGTCGCGGTGGACGAGCGGCTCGGGCTTGGTCTGGTGGAGGAAGAGCAAGCCGGTGGCGATCTCGGCGGCGATGCGGAAGCGGTGCTGCCACGGGATGACCGGGCCGCCGCCGCGCCGGAACAGGCAGTCGTCGAGGCTGCCGTTGGCCATGTACTCGTAGACGAGGCAGCCGTACTCCGGGCACGCGCCGAGGAGGAGCACCATGTTGGGGTGGCGGATGCAGCTGAGCACCTCCACCTCCTGGTTGAACTGCGACCTCCCCTGGGCGGCGTCGGGGCGGAGCACCTTGATGGCCACCGGCGTGTGGTCCAGGTGGCCCTTGTACACCGGGCCATAGCCGCCCTCGCCGATCTTGCGGCCGTCGGCGAAGTGCTCGGTGGCGAGCTCGATCTCCTCGATGGTGTACTTGCGGTACCGGACCGCGCCGCGCGAGCCGCCGCCGCCCATGGACTTGAGACGCTCCTCGGTCTCCTTGAGCGCCTTCATCTCCGCGCTGATCCGCTTCTGCGCCTCCATCTCCGCCAGCCGCTGCGACGCCTCCGCCGCCTCGATGGCCGCCCTCGCCTTCGCCTTCTCCTGCTCGATCAGCGCCATGGCCGACTCCTCCGTCAGCCGCGTCTCGTGCGACCGCTGCTCCTCATCCGTCTTCCAGCGCTGCAGCTCCATCGCCTGCACGCATCATCAAACACTCGATCACATCAACTCTTCTCAACTTCCACAATCCAAACGTAACATGTCAATAACGTGGGAAACTATTCTAAATTCTTGATAGGAGATTCACTCATTGATTGCATATAACCCAAATGGTTATGAAAAAAATATGAGGAAAAAACAAAATAGATTAATATGTGATAAATCCATCCACAAATCAAATTTAACTGCAACGAAAAAACAAATTTAAATGTGGATACACATTAACTATATATAGTTTAATTAATTAATATATTTTTAATTTATAGAAGTTGAATTTTAACCTGCATGTTTGTAGAGTGACCTATCACATATAATCTATCTTTTAAATTTCTTTTCAACTTTTTTATAACCTTTTAAGGTGGTGTTTGGATCCAGTGACTAAACTACTTCAGTCCCTGTTATATCGGATGAATTTGGAGTATTAAACATAGGCATCTTATAAAACTAATTACATAAATGAGAGCTAATTCGCGTGACAAATTTTTTAAACCTAATTAATCTATAATTAGCGCATGTTTACTGTAGCATCACATAGGCTAATCATGGATTAATTAGGCTCAATAGATTCGTCTCACGAATTAATCCAAGGTTATAGAATGGGTTTTATTAATAATCTACGTTTAATATTTAAAATTAGTGTCTAAACATCCGATGTGATAGGACTAAAAAGTTTTTGTCCCATCTAAACAGGGTCTAAATGATATGCAAACAACAATAAAGTTGCGATGCTTATAATTTCTTGGTTGATCAATGGTTCATCGCTAACCTTCTGTTTAGCCGTGAGCGCCTCCTTGCACGCGGTGCTGTACATGTCCATGGTCTGCTTGAGCTCAAGCCGCAGCCGCTTCATCTCGGCCTCCATGTCCTCCTGGTATATGTACGTACGTGAGAGATCGATCACAACGATCGATCATGGCGACGAAATCTCATCTGATGCAAACAAAAATCTAGCCTGTACTAGCTAGCTAGCTTGCATTATTGTGTGTACCATGGGAAGGGAGGAAGCGAAGGAGGAGTTGCTGGACTGGGAGTCGCTGCCGAAGGAGTCGCCGCCCCACATGCTGGGCGGCCGCGTCGCCTCGAAGCTGTGGTGGTCGTGGGCGTCCGAACCGGACGACAGCCGCGGCGGGTACAGGTCCAAGCTCCGGCGAGGGCCGGAGCTGATGAAGGAGATGTCCGACGACTCCGGCATCGAGTAGTCCGGGAACGCCTTCCTCACCGACGTGTTCGCCCCCCTCGCGAACGGCGACCTGTCTCCACACAAATGCCACAAGCTTAGCTTCTTGTTTCTCATCCATTCTTCCCCCCTAGCTTAAGCTTACGGAAAGAGTTTTTCTACATCTAGGTGTCAGCACCCGTTATTTGTATACTGCTCAAATAGTTATAGAAACTAGCTTAAGCTTACGGAATGAGTTTTTCTACATCTAGGTGTCGGCACCCGTTATTTGCATACTACTCAAATAGTTATAGAAAAAAGATTTAAAAAATAATATCAATTAAGATGATATAATTTTATAGACAAACATACAAGACATCTAGACTAAGGCCCTCTTTGTTTAGGTTTATAAGCCAACTTATAAGTCGAAAAGTCTAAGCCTAAACAAACAAGCAGCTTTTTCATTTGGCTTTTTTGAAGCCATAAACCACTTTAACACTATTAAGCCAAAAGCTAGGTTGGAGAAGCTTTTTTGGTTTATGTGAGGTAGATGTATGACTCAACTACTAAACTTAGGACATTAAATCCACCGGCTTATAAATCATATAAGCCAATAAGCTGACTTAAAAGTCTAGGCCAATAAATCTAAGCCTAAACAAAAAGGGCCTAAATCAGATAGTAATATTATGTTCCTTAAAAAAAGATATATACTACATCCATTTCAGGTTATAAGACTTTCTAACATTGCCCCCCCCCCCCACACACATATATATTCATTAACATATATATGAATGTAAACAATGGTAGGAAATCTTATAATATAAAACATTATAAAACAGAGGAAGTAGTTAATATTACATGTACAATGCATATAAAATTTGTTATTTTTATTTCTTTATATGTAAATCAAATTTATATTTGCCAGTTTGTATAATGTTTTATATTCACAATCTATCTCGTCAAATTTTATAATTTTTTATATTATTATTTAAACCGCATGTATACACCTAGGTGTCGTGACGTCTAGGCATAGAAAATACTTTCCCCTCGACTTACATAATGAAGTTGTCCTGTATCTTCGGTGTCCCGGCGATGTCAGGTCTCGTCGTGGACGGAGGAGGCGGCGGCGTCCATTTCTGCGTGGACACGTTATCGGGCTTGGGGCCCTGGATCATTGTGCGGAGCGGCGAGACGGCCGGCGCCTGGCGGACGGCCTGCCGCACCGACGTCACCTTGCCGCCTTTGGAGACGACGTACACGGTGCTGAAGTCCGGCGCCGTCTTGGAGATGCTGCTCGAGATCTCCGCCTTGAATCTTTTCAAATGCCACAAACCAAATTCACCCCGGTTTCCTCGACAGCTGCTTTTTGAGAGTTGATCGATCGAGATGAGATGAGTAGACTGAATTGGTTGGTTGGTTACCTGACGAAGCCGCCCCTGGCGGTGGCGCCGACGACGAGCTTCTCGATGGCGGCGTGCGCGGCGAACTCGACGATCGCCTTGGACACGTCGTGGTCGTCCAGCACCACGTCCTTGCAGTGGATCTGCGAGCCCAGCCACGAGAAAAACCCCCATTAGTTATTGCACCACGCCGTGCTGCACCGTACGAGAATGGACGCGTCGCGTTACGTCTTTCCGCGTGCAGAAGCAGCGGAACGGGAGGAACAGGTCCTTCATCTGCGGGTCCGACGGCTGTTTGTACCCGGCCGCGTCCTCCACGCCACCTGCACACGCGCGCGTGCATCGTCAGAGAAAAACTTGAAATCCGACGAGAGATTTCAGCGGCGGGGGTCCGGGGGATGCAGTGGTTGCCTGAGGAGCCCTTGGTGTGGACGTGGACGAGCACGATGGTCTGGCCCTTGTGGGCGAGCGACTCCGTGGCGTACTTGAGGGCGTTCTGGCTGTTCTTGTCCTTGTCGATGCACACCGCCACCAGCGGGTACCCGCCGCCGCCGGGGTCGCCGCCGTCCTTGCCCATTGCCAGGGCTAACCGATTAACCAATTTAGTTCCCCCTTCCTCGTTGCTCTAGTGCTCGAAGCTTTTTGCTATCCTGTACTAGTTCCATGCCATTTTCCTTCCTGCGCACAGCTCTGCTACCAATGTCTTCAGAAAAACTCTGCTGGTTGATTGTTCATCCACTGAAAGATTGAAATGGGGAGGGAAGGCCATTGTTCATGATAGAGCATGGGGATCTCATTTAGACCTTTGCTCCTGTTCCTCTGACCTGTATTGACTATTAATAAACACGTCCTACTTGGAAACGAGTTTAAAACGCTTATCTTGTTCCTTGTCTTCTTTTACCTGCTGGGTTAACGGATGACCACCAATGCTTCCTCTCTCCTTTTTTGGTCTACACTACAAAACAGACAGCGATGGTATATATATACTGATGACAACAGATGTACAGATCATAGGATTATGTGTGTCGGTCTCAAATCATTGACAAGGGCACTCCTGCTTTATATTACCACTAAGCCAAAATTAACACAGAACCAGCAGGAGAATTGCATAAAGAGCATCTTTATTCAGAGAACTGCATATACAACCAGAGGCAGTCAAGTTTATAAAATTTATATGTACAAAAAATATTACACCGACATTTACACTATTAACAATCTAACAATTATCCTTACACAGTTACACTACAAGACAACAAATCAGAGGCACCCAGGCTCCGATAAATGATAACCTTACATCACGTGTGATCTAATGAACCAGGCATGTTGGTCCACGGGTGTCATCACCTAACTAGAGTGGTACAATGGAGTTAACCCACCGTATAAAAGGCTGTTATTTATCAATAATTCATCGAAATTTAGCTACACTAGAAAATTGTCTATCAAATGGTAGATTACGTCTTCGCCGTCTGAATTAACAGGATGGATCCTAACCTGCACCAAGCATCAGCTTACATCAAATGTTTAGAATTCTCTCTCTCTCTTAAGATATCATCAGATAAATCATGCGGGAAAATCCTCTCTCTTAAGATTGTGGAACCAAGAAGAAGAGAAATATAGTGAACCATGAAGGGCTATCTATCGACAACAGTATTTGTCCATAACTACTGAATGCACATAGAAGCTACTATAACATAGAAGGTCCTTACGCAAAACCCCAGCAGCCACATTGCCTTGCAGTTAATAGTTCAACTACCAATTACTGGTCAGTTATCAGTCTTAGATTATGTTTCACAAAAAGAATCTGCAGGAGTGCCGATTATATTATTCAGTAACTATTGGCAACAGAGGTGCGGGACTAGCAGAAGATACCTGGATATTGTGGTGGGCATTGTATCTTAGCCAGCTCTTATGAAAGCATACATCAACACGTTCCCAGGGAACTTGTGTAAGGCCATGGATCATCACTTCTGTAACAGTAGGAGTAAAGTCTCATTGCACAGCTAGCAGGAAACATAGAAACAAATTTAAGTTCGTGGGTTTGTTATAGATGCCTCTACTATTAACACCATTTTAGTTCGATGCGTCAATAAAGCTTATGTGCACTTTACACAGAGCAAGAGTCTCCTGAATTTAGAGAGCATCAAAACCAAGCTTGCCTATTGATATATATATGTTATAGTTATTCTTACCTTCCATGCTATCTGTAAGTGAAGCTTCTACAGATTCCTCTTGCTGATGATGCTCTGAATTTCCTTTGTCAACATGGATAATATGTGGATACTTTTTATCACTTGGTGTTAACTGCAACTGAGATGCATAAACAGGCCAGATTATTAATGTAGTGAGCATAAAAGCACAGCAACATTGTACTGCCTCCTAAATTGAAAAGGTTAAATGGTAATTTACTTTAGGTAATTCGTGCTGACGCCGAATTGATGATGTTCTCCAGCCAACTATATCTTTACCAACATGTTAAGGACACAAGCAACCAAAGTTGCCTTGAGTTCAAGAGAATACCAAAAAAGGAAAAAAAAAGTAAGTAAAGTGGGACATTGGTAGGATACGATCATATGTTACATTCGCATAGGCAACACGGCGCTTAAAAGAGCGCAACGCAGACCTGCACAAAGCAACAACATGTCAAGCATGGTACATGGAAATAGATATGTTATACATAAAAATATAGTAGATTGCACCAATTGCTGGATATGTACATGAATTTTCCATCATCACAGTCTTCAGCCATTCGTAGGAGAAGTGGGGGCTTCCCATCATCTGAGTCTGTAAGGAATAAATGTTTCCCTGTTCTCCCAACTATAAAATGTGCAGTTACTGCAGCAGTTCGCTCCAAAAGTGGAACACCAAAAAGGAAGGGAAGCTGTCAAGAACACAAATGAAAGAGTAGGATCAGGTTTATTCTATTTATTCATACTATTTTCTTATTGAATTCATACGTACAAAATCCCAAAAAAATTATCAAGGAAGGTTTAACGAAGTACTCCATGAGTTCAGAGCTGAATAAAAATCAACATGGGGTTCAGTTTACGGAATGTTTTCCTAGATCAATAGGCCATATGATATAAGTTTGGTGGTTACAAGGTTCTAAGGATTCAAATTGAGAATGCAAAAGCTAACAATCAGATGAGAGATAAACATGTCAAACACACAACAAACACATAATCTGGACAACTTACTTGTTTATTCCACCTTGATCCCAAGTGTGGAGTAGCAACTGCAATAAAATTTATTGGCTCCAAACCAGCTATTTTACCACCATCAGATGTTCTCAGTTCATTTGAGAAGTTTTCTTTATCAAGAGAAGCCTCTTCATTTATTGATGGATCATACAGTTTTCCAATTGCATATCTTGTAACTAAACCACCAAGTGAATGGGCAACAAAAGAGATCTTCTGCAGGTTACTTCTCCTCTGAACAACTTGTCGAACCTGAGTATTAAATATTAGTGCCATTAGGCACCCTTTGTATTAAACTGCAACTTCATATAAAGTGCGATGATAAAGTGTTCTACTGATTACAGTGACCATGAACTAGTAGATGTATAAACAGTTGGTACAATGAAGTTGGCTGTACGCCTGTACCTCTTCAGCTAACCTTTCTCCCATCAAGTCGACTCCATCATATGTTAACTTTGAATGGTTGCACTGACTGCCTGTTTCAAGAAATTTAGTTAGACACGGAAGGTGTATGTTTATGTAGGCTGATCAACTATTACTGCTTAGGACATAGCAAATCAACTGGGCAGTATGAGGTATAGACATGGGAGAACAGCAACTAAATCTGGAGTGCAGCTTTGCAAGTGAAGTTTGGCTGCATCAATGCACATCATGCTAATATGGTACTTGCTCCGCAAATTTCAGACTGTGATTGAAACAGCTAGTCTTACGAGGAATTTCAAACAAGCTACACCCCAGCTTAACGGAAACTTGAGAGGGATTTCACACTATCCACACCCTGGTTAAACAGAAGCTTTCTGTAATCTAAATTGCACAAAGTTCACATCTTCAGTGCACAACCAAATCACGATTTTTTTTCTAACTAGCTTGATGCCTGTTTGTGGAAATGCAATGCATTGCATTTGCACTTCCAGATTGAAGACATTTTGTAATGTGCAGGCAAAACCAATTCCACAAGACCCTCTAGATTAAACACTTACACGGGAGCAAAATTGAAAAGCAGTAACTTTTTTTTTTCAGATAATGGAAATGGTACAAATAAGCCAGTAACTAATCGAGTTGTATAAACTCACGATGCACGAAGACTTTCCCCGGCAGCCTCTTCACAAACTGCTCTGCAGCAAATTTCCAATCCGCCGAACTGCCCAAAGCACCAAATTATGCAATTAGCTAGTAATAGGAAAGCATAAAACAACACAATACTATGCCAAAAAAAAAGAGCAGTGCAATCGCACGCACACCTCCCGTACAGCCCGTTGACCATGACGACGAGGTGATCGGCCTCCTCATTCCCGGCCTCCTCCTCCTCGCGGTTCCCCGCGTCCCTCCCCTCGGCGCTCGCCTCCGCCTCCGAAGGCTGCGGCAGGGGAGGCGCCACGAAGCACCTCAGCCAGTTCGCCAGGTCCAGCTTCCCGCCCCCGGACCTCGTCCTCGCCTTGCGGCCAAGCAGCAACCCTAGGTCGAGGCGGAGCCCCTGCAGCGGCGGCGGCGGCGGCGGCCATCTCGAGATTCCGCGGCTGCGGCTGCGCCCCGGCCCCGGCGGCGAGCTCGGGGCCTGGCCCATCGCGGAGGCGGGCCGCCGGCCGCGGCCGCGGCGGCGAGGCGAGGCGGAGGTGGAGGCGGAGGCGGCGGCGAGGGAGCACGTGGCGGAGGAGGGGTTGAGTCTGGAAGACGCGGGCATTTCCGGTTGGCTGCGAGGTGTGTGTGGGGCCCACATCGACGGTTCCGAATCGCGGAGACCTTTTTTTTGGTGGAATGGACGGTGGTGATTGGATGGTGGATTCGCATCGAGCGGCTGGGATGCACTGGGGCGTACTGGGTGGTTGGCTTTCGCGGTCATTGAATTATTGCGTGGGCCGCTACGAGATATTGGGCTTGAGGTGTATTGGACTCTTGGGTTTGGTAGTAATGGGCTAAAGGCCCATCAGAGATTGATCCAGTCCAATTCACAAACGATTTTGCTAAATATTTGTCGAGTGATTTTTTTCATAGGATTTGACGTTTTTCTAGCCGCACGATGTTTTCCAAGATTTGCGCAAAAGCAGGGTCAGTTGAGTCCATGACCGAGTCAACCTGACTTTGTATTGATGGATTTCTGTACATCACGCATATCAGTAGCCATTTATTTCTTCGCTCTATTTCTTTCTTTCTTTTTCTAGTTACCAAAATTTACAATGCACTTTGTACTAAAATTACAATACACTTGTACTGAAAATACAGTGCACTTACATGTCATATCTACTACTTTTACAAATGTAATTTTAGTTATAAAGCACTGTAATTTAGTTATAAATGCAACATTTAACACTTCAAATATCTGCACGGTTTCTCAAGCAATGTATTTATACTAAAACGACAAATATTCTAGTTAACAAAATTTACAGTGCACTTGTACTAAAATTACAGTGTACTTACATGTCATATCTACTGTTTTTACAAATGTATTTTTAGTTATAAAACACTGTAATTTTAGTTATAAATGTAACATTTGTGTTAATCTTTACTGAATACTACTGTACTAACAAGCACAATCACAGGCTATCTGTACTTTTTTTTTTACCGTTGGATGCAGATATGAGGGGAGAAAAAATTTGGGTGATTTTTTCTTAAAAATTACACGACAGATGTCTAGACAGTCCCATTCACAAATGTTCTCTTTTTGTTATACCGTACTTCCTCCGTTTCACAATGTAAGACTTTCTAACATTGTCCACATTCATATAAATGCTAATGAATATATATATATATATATATATATATATATATATATATATATATATATATATATATATATATATATATATATATATATATATATATATATATATAATAGTGTCTAGATTTATTAGCATCTATATGAATGTATACAATGCTAGAAAATCTTACATTGTAAAACGGAGAGAGTAGTAATGTTTTCAACAATAGTACTTTTTTAAGAGAGAGATAGTAGGCACTGTTTGCAGCAAATCTCTACAATTATAGTATTCTCTCCATTCTAAAATACAGTAACTTAAGATCGTGTAGTACTAGGGTATGATCCTTTCAGTCATAGATTGTTATATTTTAGAACGGAGGTAATACTAATTTGTACATGTTTTATTTTCTCAAAACGATGAATATAGTATGAGTATGAAATCCAGCCCAATTTGCCACTGTTTTTGCTCATTGTTTAATGCTGCATCGATCAACAGCAGCAGGAAACGAACGAAACTTCGACGTATTCGCCGACTGATCTTTTCGATCTAAGATGTGGTCTAGCACGCATACCCACATGAAAGCATGTGTAGCCACTTCGTCGGTCGTCACAGTGCTTCTACTTACACAAAAACCCTGCCAAAAATGAATTTTGTAAGTGACACTGACACACTGGAAAACCGAAACAAATTGAAGCCAGAAAACTACCCTTCTCCAGCCGTTTACTTCAGGGTGCAAACTGCAAGTTAAATTCCATCCTAGGCAGGCATGATTTGACATCGTCACTTGCTCCATCGATTTCCCAAAGGTGTCAAACCGACCAATGGAAAAGACTCGAATAATATACAAACTGAGACAGTACTGAAAATTGCAAGTCAAACAAGAACCGGGACGTCCTGTCTCACGCGCGGCCTGCATGACGCCCTCAATGTACGTGCCCCATCACATGCAACGATTCTGCGTCGATCGATTAATTCTTCATGAACTCTGATTCGATCAGTAGATCTATGGTACTTCCAGTTGCAGATTAAATCTTAATTGTCAACGCTGTTTGTGCAATAATCTTCAGCTCGCATGCGTATATATAAACAACTGCAATGGTAAGGTAGCCTTTGAAGCCTGCAATTAACCAGTTAGCTAGCTAAGCTAGGAGCGACACTGGTCTTGAGCTAGCTAGTGTGGTCGGCCATGGAGTACAGCTCAAGGAGGGTCTCCTGCTGCGTCGCGCTGGCCGCCGTGCTGCTCCTGTCGTCGCGCACGCTCGGCGGCGCCGCCGGCGGCGCGCCGCGGCGGCTGCTGCAGATCAGCGAGGCGCAGCAGTTCGTGGTGCCGCAGACGCACCTCCGCGCGATCTACGGCCTGCACCCGCTCAAGTGGAGCAGCGACCTGGCGGACCTGGCGACGCGGTGGGCGGACCAGTACAAGGGCGACTGCGCGGCGGCGTCGGCGGCGTCGGCGGCGGGCGGCGTGAACGTGTTCCGCGGCTACGGCGGCGAGGCGTGGCAGCCGAGCGACGCGGTGGCGGCGTGGGCGGAGGAGGCGCAGCACTACGACTACGGCGCCAACGCGTGCGCGGCGGGCAAGGAGTGCGGCCACTACAAGCAGATGATGTGGCGCGACAGCACGCAGGTCGGCTGCGCCACCGTCACCTGCTCCTCCGGCGAGACGCTCATGGCGTGCCACTACGAGCCGCAGGGCAACATCATGGGGCAGAAGCCCTTCTGATCCACGGGCTAATCGTAATTAGGATCTACCCGGTCTTGATATGCTAGTTAATATGCTTTGCATTAATCTTGATACGTACTATAATTTATCTATGGTTATTAGTTGGGGCTGAATTAGATCGAAGATCGATGCTATGATTTTTGGTCGTGCGTTTTGTTTATGCCATAAGGATCAAACCTATCTCTTCGAATATCATCGATGTCATCAGCTCTTAGCTAGTTTTGTTCGATTTTTTCATTCTGCATGACGCCGCTTATGAGCTTATCCAGGTAATACTGGGCAAAATGAAAACATACATTACTCCTTCACTTCAAAAGCTGATCATCCAGATGTATCCGTTTTGCTCTGTGTCTTCATGCCTCACCGGTGTCCTATATAAGATCAGCCATACCAAAATTTAAATTTTAAAGTTTTTTCATTGAAGTTTATTTTAGCGTTAGTTTTTAAATCGCTAAAGACGTATCCACAAAACTTTTACTATAATTTTTTTTGGCCTAATTAACAGATGGAGGCTTCACTCGAGAAACGCAAATCGTTTCATTGGTCTGAGAGGCTGCGTATTCCTTCTATTGGGCCGGAAGCGCACGACTATGGCCCAAATCCCCTAAACCATTAGCCTTTTCACTGTTTTCACCTTCCGTCCTTCCCTCTAGTAAAAACAGTTCCGACAAAACAATGGCGCTCTAGTAAAAAGGTCATTAGATGTAACGAAATGTATAAGAACTTAACCACCAGTGAGTGTATTTACAGTGACAGTAACTCAGAAATGCAGATTGCACACACCTGATTCCTGAAACTTTTATTCAGCAGCTGTACATGCACATCTCATTCCATCATTTCCATCCAGGACAATCCTGACAAACTCTGTGGTATCCTAGTGTACTGCTCATTCAGTACGGCCTCTCGCCGACGACGTTACCCGGCGGGTAGTAGTTGCAGGTCATGAAGACGCCGCCGTCGTCGCAGGCGACGCGGGCGCAGCCGACGGAGGTGGTGCCGCGCCACACGATCTGGGTGTAGTGGCCGCACTCGCGCCCGGCCGCGCACGCGTTGGCGGCGTACGAGTAGTCGACGCCCTCGGCGGCCCAGTCCTTGACGGCGTCGCCGGGGCGCCACGCGCCGCCGGCCCCGCCCCAGAAGATGTTCTCCCCGAGCGCGAACTGCCCCTCCGGGAACGAGTGGCGCAGCGCGCAGTCGCCGCGCCGCTGCGCCGCCCACCACCGCGCGTACGACTCCAGCCGCGGCGACCACGCCAGCGGCAGCTCCCACCGCGCCAGCCGCACCAGGTTGTGGTAGTAGAGGAACTCCAGCGACTCCGCCCACGCGCCCAGCGCGCCGCACCCGGCGCACTTCGCCACGGACATGTCGTACACCGTCGCGTTGCTGTACCCGAGCGCCGCCGCTGCCGCCTCCTTCCCTCGGCGGCTGCCGTCGGCGAGCAGCGAGTGGACGAGAAGGGTGGAAACGAGCAGAGCCACGAGCAGCTTCATGGCTTCGATCTCCTATTGGTCGCTGTGTTTGCAACGAAATTGTGGTTTGGGATTGGAGGAAGCAGTTATATGCGGTGGCTGATAGTGTAGTGTTTGTCTCTGGCACCCGTGACCGTGGGTGGGAGCAACTGTAGTAGCCATATTGATGGTATTTTTGTCCACATTTTTGACATCTCGAGACATCGTTTCGATCATGGCTTGTTTGTTTATGCAAATGCGGGTTTGTTTTGGTTATCACAAAGGCCACCAAGACTTTCACGGATTTGATTCTGTGAAGAAACCTGAAAGAATCGTTGCTGACGAGAGATCGTCGAACATACGGTCCATGATTGATTGCTGTATATACTGCACTACAGATTTTTCAATAGTTCATCAAAATCTGTTGATGAAAGCTTGTTCTCCTCCTACCTTGTTACCTGTGAGCTCGCCCGTGACGATGAATGGCCGCTTCTAGATACTTCCGTGGTCACGCGCGAGCTTACAACAAGGTCCAGGGACTCCAGGCTTATGATGAATCGGTAGCACGGCCGGTCGGCCGGGCGGTTTGCCATAGATTGCTTCTGCGCGGCAGGCGGCACATGCATGTGGTGGCCGCAAGGCCCCGCAAACGGTGTAACCCACCACCGTTGTCACAGGAGGCCCGGCCGGCTTGTCGTGTACTGTGTACGTACGTGTCCGCGGACATTTCGGCCGCTTCTGAACTTGAGAGAAGTTGAGATCGATGCATGCAACGGCTGCCTCGTCGGCTTCTGAACCTGACCACTCTGGGTTTTCTCTTTTCTGTTTCTCCTTTCGCAAACTTGTGCTGATGCGAACGTACGTGCGGCCCGTGATTGTGAGCACGAAAGTACGCGTCATGCGTGCGGCGGGTTGGACCGTGACCGCGGCGGACGTTCAGCCCGTTCTAAAATGCTCGGCCCGTTTGACGATTTGACTGGCTGTTCGGTAGCCGGTTTCGGCTTTTGAGCCACCGCGCCCAGGCTCGTGCTTCATTTGACAGGCTGCGCTCTTTTTTCTGTCGTAGCTGCGAGAAAGATTGTTTCGTTTTCCGCGCGTAAGTTTCCCGAACTACTAAACGGTATATTTTTTAAAAAAATTTCTGTAGAAAAGTTGTTTTAAAAAAATCATATTAATCTATTTTTAAAGTTTTAAATAATTAATACTTAATTAATCATGTGCTAATGGCTCACCATGTTTTGCATATCTTCCCAATCTCCTTAATCCCCTTCTCCTCAAACACACTCTTAATTTCGTTAGCACATCTTTTAAACGGTTAAACTGTGCATTTTACATGAAAAATTTTTATATAAAAGTTGTTTAAAAAACCTAATAAATATATTCACTATTTTTTATATATTAATACTTAATTAATTATATGTTAATTACGTTTCTCGTTTTACGTGTGGTTAATTAGCCGTTTCAAAAATCTAAAAAAAAGGCAGCCCTTGTACGTACTCCTCCTCAAAAATAAAATAAATCCAATTCTGAAATCGAATTGACTCAAGGGCCGTGTTTAGTTGTTTTGGTAAAAAAAATTAACGTATACGAACACATATTTAAAGTATTAAACATAGACTAATAAGAAAACAAATTACAGATTCCGCCTGTAAACAGCGAGACGAATCTATTAAGTCTAATTAATATACCATTAGCAAATATTTACTGTAGCACCACATTGTCAAATTATGGCGTAATTAAGCTCAAAAGATTCATCTCACAATTTACATGCAAACTGTGCAATTGGTTTTTTCGTCCACATTTAATGCTACGCGCATATGTCTAGACATTTGGTGTGACGGAAAAGTTGGAAGTTTAAAGGGAATTAAATACGGCTAAGATAGGATTTGTTTTAGATAGATGGAATAGGCCGCAGCTAGAAATATTGCAATTTTTTTGTGAGGGGCTATATTTCATTGTTGCCACTGAGTTGCCAGCGGCTGGAAGTTGTTATGTTATGCCTTAGAAAATATAATTTCTTTATTTTTTGCCGGGATAAATTATAAGTTCTTTAAACAAACAGCATCTTTTATATTGTTAAGTCATTCCTTTTTTACAAGAATACAACATGAGACTACAATCAGAGAAAGTACACAAATTTACTAAACATACCACTACATATCGACAATGCCTATACATGCTAAGAACTAAACACCGCGTCAGGGAAGAGAAAGAGCTTGCTTCCACCGTTGCTGCTTTCAATTGGTTTTTGCCACATCCATCGCTATTCTCTCTTACCGCCTCCCTTGGTCTAAAGGAATTATTCTACCATTTAATATTGGTGTCTATGTTTTGCAATGAGGTTGAAGATGGAGACAGTTGGACGGAACTGCCTGTTACGAGACTTGAGTTCCTTCTCAAATTGTTTGTTTGGTGTCAATGTTGTGTAATGCCATTCGCGGTGCATTAAATGACGTATGTGTGATCTTAGGCAGCCACGTGGTCGTATGTTGTCCTATCCTTACGAGGATGCTCGTCCCTTTGCAAGGTCGCGCGAGTCTCAGTGGGCTGAAGAAACTCGTCAAGTCAAGGTGTGAGAGGAACCATGTTGGAAAAACCATGCCCCAGTGGTCCCCTCCTGAGCTGCCTTCATCATCATCGATTTGTTGTTGTCGTCACGGGAAATATATGGCGAGCCCGTCAAATTTTGGCAAGCTTGGTGGCGTGGAGTGGCCACTGCCACATTTTCTCCCGCGGCTTTGGGAATGAGGAGGAGGTGACATCGTAACAAGAAGGAGAGGTGATGCCGCCTGATCTACTTCATGGTGAGGGAAGGGTGAAGGAAAGTGGCGCCGAAGGAGAGAGTGGCCGGCGAAGAGGGGGATGGAGAGACATAAATGGGAGGGGAGGTGATTTCATATTTCTTTATATTTTTTTGGGTGTTCAGTCCAAAATATTGTTGTTCCCTATAAATTGATAAAATATGAGGACTAAAATAGAAAACAATAGAGGGTTGGCTATGTTGCACTTTATAAGAAGGGGTGTGAATCATTAACGTATGATGATTTAAGTGTTAACTATTATAAACTAAGATTTACTTAAAACAAGAAAACTTAGGAGTATTTCTTTTTAACGAAATGCGTCATTTCACTAAGGGAAAACGAAAAAGTTATCACTGTTTCAAAAGTCCTTTGGATGGGCACAGTTGAGAAACATATTCATAACTAATGTCGTGTAGTGCCGTGTCTAGCGCACACACCTTTTCAAGCTCAATTTTGACCGCCCAAAACTTATCGAGTGGTAACTACTACTCCCTCCATCCCAAGCTCAATTTTGACCGTCCCAAAACTTATCGAACGGTAACTACTACTCCATCCGTCCTAGAATATAGCAACCTATAACCGGATTCGTGGTACTAGGATAAGTCCCATCCGGTCCTAGGTTGCTATATTATGGGTACTAAGATACGTCCCATCTGGTCATATGTTGCTATATTCTAGGACGGGGGAGTAGTAGTATGAAGAAGCTGCTTTTCACTTTGGCGACTATCGTGTTTTCAGTGTCGATACTGTTGTGAAGTCAGCGCTGCTAGGTCGCTTGGGCTGCTAGCTCGGCAACGATAACACCTCTTATGCGATGTCAGAGCTATTGTATCGCTTTTGTGTTTAGCTTGCGGCGATGTCCTGTTTTTGGGCTCCGCCGTTGTTAGTAGTTGTGTAGCTAGGTCTCATGCTTCTTTTGTGCGGTGGGTTTCAGTCGGTTTCCCACCGTGCAGTTGTATGGTTTTCGGGTTCGATTTTCCTTATAAACTGAATAATTTTTTTTCTAAATATAAAAGCTGGGTTTTTTTTTAAAAAAAACTACTACTAGTAGTGTACTAGCAGAAGCCCGTGTTTATTGGCCGGCCATGTATGGAGGAATTCCCAATTTTACGGCGGTAAGCCCGTGTTTACTTGGAACGAGCAAAAAAAGGGCTTGAGTACCCGTAAATAGACGCATTCGCCAAAAGAACCAGTGGCTGATAATTTTCCAAATATCACGCAGTCATAACAGCGCACACTATAAAATATTTAGGAAATACTATGAATGTCATTACTTACCTAAAATAAAATTGATTGGGTAGAAGTAGTATTCTCAAGCAAACTCTCAATCGTATAAAATCCAACCATTAAAATGTTGTTATATGGAAGCTTTTTAAACAAAACAATTATAAAGAGAGAACGTCAGCGATAATTGGCATGCATATATTTTTTACGGCAGAAAGTTTCAGCCCAACCCAACTGGTTGTGGGACACGCCCACAAGGGGATCGACATGTCAGTGAGAGAACGTCGGTCAGTTTATGGGTAAGAAATTATAGCTTCTCCATCACGCGGACTCTTTCCGTCTCTGTACATAAAAGAAGGGAACGAGTAGCGGAGTGAACGCCTCGCCCCGCCTATTCTTCCACCATCCAAAATCCTCCACCAAGCGCAGAGAGAGAGAGCCTCACACCAAACGGTGTCTCCCATGGACGACCTCGCCGTCGCCCATCCCATCACCAGCGTCTACTTCCGGCTCGCCGTCCTCCCTCCCGGGGTCGACCTTCTCCTACCTCTTCCCTGACGGCGATGAGGAGAGGCAGTGGTTGACCTCAGACAGACGTGGCTCACTCCCAGCCACCGCTCCTTGATGGGATGAGGGGGTGGCGGCAGCGGCGAGTCGTGCCTTTCCGGCAGCCCCGTGCCCGACCGCCAGCGTCGTAGTTGCAGAAGCGCCGCCGGGAGTTTGCTTGACCGGGCTCGCTCTCCGCCGGTGAGGTGGAGACGGATTTGCACGCGCTCTAGATCTGAGCGAGTGGCTGTAGAGCTTGTCTCTGGCTAGATCTGAGCCAGCGGCTGGCGGAGCCTTCATCCGGCTAGATCTGAGTCGCCGGGCTCCCTCTAGATCCGAGCTGGTGGAGGTCGTTCGGCTCGTTCTTCTCCAGGTAAATTACTTACTTAAGAGCCGATAATTTCTCTGATTTCTCCAAAGATTGCCCAAACGCATAGGCCCATCAGCCCATCACCAATCTTGCCACCGTGAAATGCACGATTCCGGCCTAGTATAATGCTAGCTGTTCTTACGGATTTTATCATGTGACTCGATTGCAAGCAGAACCACATTGGCCCATGCTTTTTGCAGGCCTCATTTCATCATATTTACCCGCATTTTCAGCATTTCTACCTCGATGCTGTAGTGGGCTTGTAGAGATCGAGGATGTAGCAAAGCATTGCGTCGTGATGCCTCATACTACTATCTATAAATAGTAAGCTTGTGATGGATTTTTTATCCTAGCAACCCAAAAAGTGGGCGGCGTGTAGTTGTAGAAAGCGACCTCATGGAGAAAAAGACACTACCACCCAGGTTGAAATCGCTCTGACCAATTTAGTCCACATCGTTCTCTTCCTCCTTTGATTTTGATCTTGGATAGCCACTACTGGGTGCATCTTTTCTCCTGCTCGCGCTCTCTGTGCCCTGTTCATCACCGTGTTCTCGTTTTGTGTTAGTGGTGTGTGGAGTCTTTGATTGCTGTGTGTTTTTAAGTTTCTGCAGGATGTCTATGTTCTTGTGGGTTAAGTGGGGTATGTTCAACTTGGCTCTTTAGCCATCTTTGTACATCTTCACCTGCCTGGATTTCTAGTATCAACTGATGTTCTTGTAATTTCTATATTGATCATTTTCAGAACGACCCTTGATTGCTGGCAAGTGGGTATGGGCACTGTTCTCTTTTCTTTGATCTGTCATCCGTTCTGTAAATTGTGTTTGGAGTTTGTTATCTGTTGTGGTACATATTTTTTTCTACTCTTTTGGACACGGTTTTTGTTTAAGATCCCTACTATGGCTGTTGTGGTACAGATTTTTTCTACTCTTTTGGACATGTTTTTTCTACTATGGCTTTTTGATCGTGTTGTAAATTTGATCTTAGGGTTTTTGTGCTGTTGTTTTTTTATGCCTTCAAGTGTTTATTAGGTGTATGTTTTTTTGGGATATTTTCTAATGGTTTTCTTTTATTCTTAGGTTTCTGATTGTTTTTCAATGAATTTTGTTTTTGTGTGGTTGTTAAATTTGTCCTTTGTACTATAGGATGTTGCTTTACAGGCTATTGTAGTTTGCTTGGTATCTTTTGTTGATTCTCTGTTACCTTCAATTTCTGTGTGATCTGTATTTGACACTTAAGTTTGTTCTGGTAGTATTTCCGAGTACTACGTTAGTCTCAGATGTGATGCAATTTTTAACTGTTAATACTAATAATTCCAAGCGTCTGGTGTGATGTACTCTGTTACTGTTTCCTTATTCATTGTGTGGGAGGGGTTGGCAGTCTCAAATTATTATGTGTTCCATTGTTGTGTCACTTCAAATTACCTGCTGACCTGTAATTAGCTAGTATGTAGAAACAACATTCTTGAACATCCCTCATGCTGCATTGTACTGTTCATTTCCTTTTGTGGGATGTTGTCATGTTCCGTCTATATTAGGCCATTCTGGTTCGTGACACTTCACATTGCCTAAGGCTGGTCCTCTCCTGTGTTAACTAGCTATTATGCTTCTGCTGCTTTAGTATGCTTATGTTGGTTTATAGCTACCCTGTGTGCTGCTATGTAGGACCATGTGCCAGGTTTTCTGTTGTTTTTCTAATGTGTGACTAGCTAGTATGCTTTTGCTGGTTTGTAACTAACTTGTATGTTGCTGTGTAGGACCTTATGTCTTTGAACATGGATTATTGTATATATTTTTAATGTTGTTAAGCATTTATGGTTGTATTTTATCAGAACATGGAAGTCTGTTGTCTCCTTTTGGTCGTTTCGTTACAGTTTTAAGAGTTGGCAAAACTGATCAGGAAAAACACTTATGGCTGATACTAACGTGAACCTGACTATAAATATTCATTGGTTCTTCACATGCAATTATTGTCCTATCAGATTTTCAAATTTCTTAAAACACATGGTTTTGTATTCCTGACTGTCATATTTATATCTTTATTTTGTAGTTATCTTGAGGTTCTGCAGCGCAACATGCCAGTTCAGAATCACGAAAAAATAATGGAAGATGCACTGAAGAGGGAGTTCCAGCATTGCATGTTTAGTCACGCGCCTCCTCGTGGTATGGCCTACTTTTAGAAGACTGTTTGTATTAAAACATTAGCCTAACTGGGCCTACCTATTCTTGAGATAATTTCTTGAAGAAAATGGATTTTATCATTTTCCCTACTCTATTATTGCTAAGATCCTGGATTTGCTCATTGGTTGTTGAAAGTTTGGTCTAAGAAGATCACATTCATTGATTGAACCTGTCCATATGAAAATTGACTTGGTTAACTGCAATAATTGCCAAAAAATGGATTTAATAATTTTCTCTACTCAATTATTGCTAAGAACCTGGATATTGGTTGTATTGAAAGTTTGGTCTAAGAAGATAGATACGTGCATTGGTTGAAACCTAATTTATATCTAGGAAAATGGCTTGTTAGTTGGATTGAACCTCTCCTTATGGAAATTGACTTGGTTATTATTGGCAGAAATGTACTTTCCCATTTATTGCATTGGAATTTGCTCGTTGGCATTACTGGATCACCTTCATGAATTTGCATTTGCTTATTGGCTGTATTTGCTTTGATGAATTTGTAACTTTTCCTTCTTTTGCAGTACACATCCAGCAGAGCCAAGACCCACCTGAATTAGAGATCAACTTGGGTATGGCTGTTGATGATGGCGCGCCAGTGCTCCCCCATGGAAATCATGATAACCATGCACATGCACTTCACCGACTCCTGAAGCTTGGCATTCTCGGGGGACCTGATGGATGTCTTCATGATGTGGTCTATATCTAGTAGATTTGTTTCTGTGATTCCTGACTTCTAGAAGTGTGGTTTGTGAGTATGACTAATATGTAGCCACTATTCTGGGTTTAGTTGAGACTTGGGACATGATTAGGCACTATTCTGGCTAGTAGTAGAATGTAAGTAAGCGAAGCATGCCTGGTGATGATTGTAGCCTATCATCGAAGCTTTGGAAGTTGGATTCAGACTTGATCTGCTGCTGCTCCTTTCATTGGGAGTATGCCTGAACTTCCTTCTCAACAAGAGATTTACTTCATTTCGATTTTCAGCGGAGTACTTTTAAATTTCTCGCATTAGTAATCAGGCAATGCATTAATTTGTTTTGCCCGTTGATTTATATGATCAATTAAGTTGACATGCTCTAAGTCTCAGTTGGATGTGCTGCTCTGAGTCTCAGTTGGATGTGCAGGGGTTTGCGTTATGCTGTTGTGGTATTTTACTGTAGTTGCCCAATGGTTTCACTTTTTCGGTAGGATGTGTAGAATTCTCTTTTTAGCCTACGCAGTTGTGCTTGTGACAAGTGAAGTCTTGTAAAGTTGTAACTGAACAGCGTAGTAGTTGCTTCAGTTTGTAGCACTTCTTTTTGTTACGATTTTAGTGAATTTGTTCATTTTGTTACGATTTACTGTTTTTTCCTTTTCTAGGCAACCTCCCAACTCCTGCTCGTTTCTCACCTTGCATGTTCGTAAGATCCGGTGCTCAATCATTCTGCACAGTTCTCTTGCAGTCTAGTGGATTATGTTCCACACTTTGATTTGGGGTGTGTTTAGTTCACGCTAAAATTGAAAGTTCGGTTAAAATTGAAACGATGTGACGGAAAAGCTGAAAGTTTGTATGTGTATGAAAGTTTTGATGTGATATAAAAGTCAAATGTTTGAAGAAAAACTCGGCCTTGATAATGGCCTTGTTTGGATCCTCCGGGCTATTAAATAGCCCTCCGGAATCTTACTATTTAGGATTATTAAACGTAGATTACCGACAAAACCGATTCCATAACCCCTAGGCTATTTTCGAGACGAATCTAATGATGCATATTAATCCATAACTAACATGGTGGCCCGCGCAGATTGCGCGGTTAGCATCATTATATTTTCTCTCATATAATAGCATATATGTTTTCTCATTATATTATTCAAATATATTAAAATGACAACATAATTTTAAATTTTGCAATAACTTTACAAAACTACTAATGTGTAATATTCATATTATATTTTATATACGTGTTAGTTATTAATTATTTTTAATATCAAATTTTAGTTATTTGTAAATTATATATATTCCTATATGGACTCTAGACTTGTCTTTTAATATTTCTTTTTTTTAATTCCAAATTTTCTGTAAATTGTATTTCTATATAGACTCTATGCTCTTCTTTCAATATTATTTATTTTATATCTGAATTTTTATTATTTCTAATTGTATTTCTATGTGGACTCTAAATTCATCTTTCAATATTCTTTAATTTTTAATTTCGAATTTCAGTTACTTCGTAAATTGTATTTCTATATAGACTCTATGCTCTTCTTCCAATATTATTTATTTTTCTTTCTAAATTTTTATTATTTCTAATTGTATTTCTGGACTCTAAACTCATCTTTCAATATTCTTTAATTTTTAATTTCGAATTTCAGTTACTTCTAAATTATATTCCTATATTGACTTTAAACTCTTCTTCCCAAGTTTTTCTTAATTTCGAATTTTAGTTATTTGTAAATTGTATTTTTATACGGACTATAAACTCTACTTTTAATTTTATTATATTTATTCCAAATTTTAGTTAGTTTTAAATTTCTATATAGACTCTATACTCTACTTCTAATATTCCTTACTTTTAATTCCGAATTTCTATTTTTTTTCTTAATTGTTTTTCTATATGGACTCTATACTCTACTTCTAATATTCCTTATTTTTAATTCCAAATTTCAGTTATTTCCTAATTGTATTTCTATATGGACTCTATACTCTACTTCTAATATTCCTTATTTTTAATTTCGAATTTCAGTTATTTCCTAATTGTATTTCTATATGGACTCTAGTCTCATATTCTAATATTCCTTATTTTTTAATTCCGAATTTTAACTATTTCTAAATTGTATTTCTATATGGACTCTGCCTTTTCTTTTTCTCCGATTAATGTGAGAATTTCTAGGCGATGAGAGCGAACGTGGAGGCTCTTTTTTCTATTCCTTTAATAATATAATAGATTAGCGGCTGATTACTGTAGCATCACTGTAGTAAATCATGGATTAATATACCTCGTTAAATTCGTCTCGCAAAATAGCCTAGGGGTTATAGAATAGGTTTTGTCAGTAATCTACGTTTAACACTCTTAAATAGCAAAATTCCGTAGGGCTATTTAATACCCCTCCGGATTCAAACAGGCCAATGTTGTTGGCGCACCAGCTCGGTCCCTCGGTGGGCTGCTCTGCTCTGCAAGTCCAGATTGATAATGTTGCAGTCTAGTGGATTATGACATTATGTTCCCAACTCTTGATTGGCTGATTCCTTGTGTCTCTCTTCGTGGTGAAAAAAAAAACAGCATCTGCTCAAACATTTAAAAATCTAATTATCAATGATTTATCAAATGCTTAGTTTGAAAAGATGGTACTTGTAGATTTGTCTTGAAAAGTACGGTTATAAGCGGCAAATATTCATGTTCGGAATTTATATAAGTTAAAATTCATGGTCGGAATTTAAAAAAATGACCAAACTTATTATAATCGGTAAATATTTATGACCCTGTTGTGCACGTTCTCTTGCAGGCTGCAAAGTTCAGGTCCGTCTGCTAGCGCTTGCTGCTTTGGTCCAATCTCAGATTCGTGCTACTCCGGTTACCCTGCTACAAACTCACCCCAGCGACGTAGAGCCCACCGCCGGGCTGCTGATCCCGTGCTCCCACGGCGCCCGCGCCACCCTACTGTACTTCAGTACTCTCCTCCTTTCGGTTGCTCCTTCCCTATCAAAATGTTGCCATTCATCGTGAACATGAGTGCGACTTCATTACTACTCCTACATCAAAGGCTTTTACAAGGAGATGCACTTGACAGTACTATGGTTTCGATCCCGACATCCCGTATTCAATCCTCAATAAACTTATAATTTCTTCTTAAATATGTTTGGAGGGCGTCTCTCCCTTCAAAACTTTTGAAACAAAATGCTTTCACAGAGACCGACCAATGGCATGGTTTTCAGACTTCCAATGAATCAAAAATATTTCACTAGCATTTACAATGAAAGTCTTTTTTTTTACAGGATGAGTTGAACCGTCTGAAAAAAAAAATCTTTCACAGATACCGACCAATGGCATGGCATGGGCTCCAGTCTTCCAATGAATCAAAAAAAAATTCACAAACATTTACAATGAATTTGAGAGAAAAAGTTACATGAGGGATATCCTTTCTGAGGGATTAGAATCCTCTCCCCATTCTTTGGAAATGCCTCAAACGTCCTAATAAATTATGTCAAATTCCTTCGAAATCCTTGTGTACACAAGTGTAGTGATTTCATGCCAACCATTTAGGAGTACATCGTAACAAGTAATAACAATGTTCCCCACGAAAATTTAGAAAATAATAATAATAAAGACTTTAACAACAATTTAAGACATTTGCAAATACTGTGATCACTTTATATTGATTCTTATTGGCGATGATCTTTCCTCGTTGATCAGCCTCCTCGTTAACTCTCTCTCTCTTTGTCTGTACTTGGATACCACGTAGTTGGGTAATACTGACAATTCTCACATTTGACTTCATCCTCCAGATGTATATCTTCCAAATTGACAGCCGCGTGTGCTAGACGTTTTATGAGTTTCACAAATTTATCCTTGATCTCAAAACCAACAACAGTGACCAACAGCAGATTGTAGTGCCTGAAATCAGAATCAATGTGCCACTCTATATTGTTTTTCTTGCAGTACAGTAGCTTCCTCATGACATCCGCTGCTGCCAAGCTGCCACAAGAGTGCTCTGTTACCTGTACGCGACGCACGACGACAAATTGCTTTAGTTGAGCATGCCCGTAAGTTTTAGAGACGACACATGTTTAATTGATAATACATATAAATATATTATTCCTTCTGTCCAAAAATATAAGCATTTTTTTTAAATAGTGACAAGCCAAACATTTTTAACTTTTATTATTAATAGAAATAATAATAATAATAAATCAATCATGTAAAATTGATATTACTAGATGTATCATTAAACAAACTATTATAATATACAACTATTTTTATTTAAAACATCTTAGGGCCTGTTCATTTTGATACCATTTTCAACCTTACCAAATTTTGGTAAAGTTACCAAAAAAAAGTGGTGACATTTAGTTTGCTGCCAAATTTTGGTAACTATATAAGAAATCCTGCCAAAATTTTGGCAATGCTAAAATTTGGTAAGGTTTTTTTATGGCATCAAAGTGAACAAGCCCTTATTTTTATATATATTATTGGTCAAATTAGCATCTCGGAGACAGGGTTAGAATCTAAAAATACTTATATTTTGAAATAGAGGGAGTAGCAATTACCGATATGCGAAGCTCCTTTAAGAGGGGTGCAGCTTCTAACACAAACATCGTCCAAATGAGGTCACATTCCTTGTGAATCTTGTCCAAACATGCAATCCTCAGATTGCGGAGAAGTGGAGCCAGATGTTTCGGGCTTTCAGGTTGGAACCAGATCTGCACAAAAATCAGTCAGGACGAATCAACAAACGTGACACTTCAAACCTGAAACAGAAACACACGTACGAGGAACAACCAATTCTTTTACATGCATACCTTTTCACTCTCAAAAATCATTTGCAGTGTACGTATGCCGGTGGCATTGACAAGAAGCCCGCTTAGCTTGAGAGTTCTGTAGTTAACTGTACCGACAGTGGAGAGTACTGTCCGGAGCTGTGGAACATGGCCAAAAACAAGCGGAGGTAGAGTCCGTGAAGGGAACCAGATGTTGTTGGAGACCTGAACCAGCCTCGGGAGCCACTTGAGATCTACGGTCTCGAAGTCGCACGCGTCAACGTCGAGGCGAACGAGCCGCGGGTGCTCCATCTCCAACGCCGCCACGTTCGAGCCAGCTGATGCGTCGCAGCTGTGCAAGGAGAGGATCTCCAGGTTCTCGCAGGCGGCGAGCACGTTCGCCACGTCGTTGGACCCGCGCAGCGTCACGCTCTCGACGCGCAGCCGCGTGAGCCCCGCGAACGCGCGGGGGCACCCGCCGACGAGCGACGCGAGCCGCCTCCCGTTCGCAAGCGTGTCCCTGCCCGTGCACTCGAGGGCGCGCTTCTCGCCCCTCACGTCGAACGCCGCCTCGCGGAAGCGGGCGCGGCCGCTCGCGATGGCGTCGTCGACGGAGCGGACGATGCCGATGGACTCCGCCCTCAGGTAGAACCGCACGAGGAGGCGGTCGATGGCGTGCTCGCCGCTGCGACGCGCGAGGATGGCTTTCGCGGCGTGCGCCACGGCGAGGTTGGCTCGAGCTTCTCGGGACAGTCTCGACGTGAAAGTGAAACCATCCTGATGATCATCATCCTGCTTCTTTCTGAAGGAGAGGACGTCCAGTACGATATCGGGCAGCGCGGCCGGGAGATGCCTCCACCGTTTAGCGAGTATCGCTGTTCTTACTGCGTCGCGTAGGTCGACACGTTTCAGGATGGAGAGCAGGACGTCGTCAGGTAGCTCGCTGAGCCGGTCCGCCATCGATGCATGCACCTAGCTAGCTTTCCACAGGAAGAGATGAGATTATACTTACATACGTACACTCGCTATCGATTCGATGCGAAGGTGAAGAACGGAAGATCGGAGGAAGTCCGGCTAGAGCTCTCTATTTAAAGGGGTACACGTATAAGGACGTCCGTGTCCTATTCAAATTCTATGTCGTACAGTATACCCGATTCCGCATCCGTCTCGGAGATTAAGTATTTCTTTAGAGAAAAAAAACGTTGGAATTTGCTCCCTTCTCGCCTTCTTGGTCTCTTGTGAGATTTGGGGGCATTTAACTATTTGCCACTTTTAAGATATGATAATTAAAAATTTATCACTCGCTATCTATATGAGTCCTCATATATTCATGATATGGGTCTAGTGGCAAATTTTTTATCACCACTTATAATACAATTGGTAGATCGATGCAGCAATAAAAATTGGGCTCGCGCAGGAAGTTACACTTAACTAGTTTATTATCATTTTCTCTTCCTTTGTTTAAATATCTTTTTCCTAAATTAATTATCCGATTTATGATCCGGTCATACCATTGTATTCGTTTAATTAAATATTTACAACAAAATATCGTATGATTATATTTTAACAAGAGAAAAATGTGTGTTTCAAATCGTTAAAACTCAATGTTTTATATATGATAAAGATATGTTTCAGCATGTGCCTTTATCATGTTTCACAAAATTCATGCAACTAACTACAACTACTATCTCTCCTCACCATCCATGTATACATGCATCCATTTAGCGATCTTCAAAATTATGTTCTTCTAAACTATTTATCTAATCTACGATATGCGTGATTATATTCTGATGAAAAAAACAAATATGTTTCAATTTATAACACTCAATGTTTCATATGTGATAGTGACATGTTTCAACGTGTCTCTACTGTGTTTCACTAAAAAAATAAATATTTCAGTGCATGATTTCCTCATTTCACCAAATATAACTTAATATTTCACCGATGGTTAGCTGAAATATTTGACCGTCTAAATTTTTCAAGACATAATTGGAGGCTCGGTTTATAGTTTCTTCCTTGAGATTTTGCTATGTCTCGTGAGATCTTGAATGGGGCGGGAGCGGAATTGCCACGAACGTGCAGGCGTGCAGCCCATATGTATGGTGGAACAGGATGAGATGTACGTGCGGTGTGTTGGGCCGTGATCGCGAGGAACGTACGTTTCTAGGCCGTTTGGGACACCACGCCCGGTTTCATGCTGCATCTCCTCTGGTTTGTGGGCTTCAGTGACTTGTGGGCGCCGCTGGCAGATTTCGGCGCGAGCATATGGGTGACGGCCTGTTAGGATCAGTTTTATACGGAGCATCGACAAACAAAACGACCAACGAATTTCTGCGCCAGCATATGGGTAGCCAGCAGGGGCATCTTCATCAGTGTGATAATTGCGGATCTCATTTTTTCTATGTTATGCTTATCAATCAAAATTTAAATTTTCGATCTTAAATTTATAGTTGATTTTGAGGTTTTTCAATCGAAGTTTATTGCTAAGCCTTTGCTTTTATATCGCTAAGAACACGTATATAAAAGTTTTATTCGTAAATTATTTTTCGTTTACAAACGTGACGTTTCCCTTAGTATGCTATATTTGTTTTTTGGCTATAGATGGCAATAATGCAGGATGGCACCCACTACTTTGCACCCAGTTGCAGCACCCAAATTACAGGCGCAGCTGACAAAGTAGTAGTAGCACGCCAGAAATTAGCTCAGATTTAACGCAGCACACTTTGCGCAGGTTCGATCGAAGGGATTGTTATTGTTACTGATCATTACATGGTTCATTCAATGTCACATGCTCCAACAGTGGCTGCATGGGGGAGGAACGAGATGAACAACGATGAACCCTGCAATTTGCGAGAGCACATGCATGTTCTGATGTTCCTTTGCCTATTGTCAAATCGGCAGGGCATTAAACTAGCGCCGCTGTCTTGTTGACATTTGCCACATGACAATGTATATCACAGCACAGATTATCGTGCAAATGTAAGGCGGACCATAGGCTGCAACTATGGCCTGGTTTAGTTAAAAAAAAGTTATATATATTTTTTTTATACATGCATGGAGCATTAAATATAGATAAAAATAAAAACTAATTGCACAGTTTGTATAGAAATCACGAGACGAATCTTTTGAGCCTAATTAGTCTATGATTAATCATAAGTGCTATAGTAACCCACATGTGCTAATGACGGATTAATTAGGCTCAAAAGATTCGTCTCGCGGTTTCCAGGAGAGTTATGAAATTAGTTTTTTTTTATTCGTGTCCGAAAACCCCTTCAGATATCCGGTCAAATATTCGATGTGATACTTAAAAATTTTCTTTTCGCGAACTAAACACACCCTATATATTGTAGTACTGCAAGCTCTGCCCCCGAAATAATACTCACCAGATCACCAATTGACCGTTCCTTCCCTTCAGCTTTGACCCGTATAAACTGTGTATAAGATACGTATTGGCTGCACAAGACCAGAGCTGCAGAAGAAATACAGTAAATTGTATTAGTACTAGTAGCGACCAAAGGTCCAAAGCTAGGTAGCATGTGGACATGTGGTGTTCGCAGCGACCCAAATCACATCTGCTTCGCGTATGCGTAGTCTCGTGACGCCGTGATGCTGCAATTTTTGCTGCTAGATTCGCACAGTATAATTGTACTCTTCTTGCAGGCATTGTCGCGTATTTAACTCATCAGCTGCCACTGATACTACTCTACTCCACTATACTTCAGCTACGCATTCAACTCGACCGTTTTGGCGATCAATGCGCGAAGTTTTTGCAGCTAGACGACGCCGCAGAGTTAGAGGGGGAGATTAAAAACGGTTGGGTCGCATTGCATTGCATCGGATTCCAACTGACCATGATGCACACACCTCAGAGATTCAGAGTTTCAGACTTCAGAGAGAGAGAGAGAGAGAGAGGAGGCCCAGGCTCTGAGCGTCTTCGGTACAGGCACATGGATGCGCCAAATACGTACAGTAGCACTCATTTAACAACTCATCCGTTGGTCGTTTTCGCTTTGCAATACTCTGCCAACCGACCAACCACCAATCAGAGGCGACCAATCTCTTCACCTAAAAGCCTCACACACGCAGAGAGAGAAAAGGTGATTTCTGTACCACCTAGCCATTCTTCCTTTAATCCTTTTCAATTGTTCCATTCTTGCAGCAGCTCTGCATAACTCACATTTTGCCACTGTAAAATGTGTTCAAAAGTGGAGTACATAGTACACGTGAAATGTGCGAGAAGGGGACGGGGAAAAAGGCTCATTTTGTTGGACAGAACAGAGTAATAACAGACCAATCAATTAGCTGATCATATTTCATTGTAGTTTCCCCGATCCTACCAATAACATCATAATATATATTTTGGTAGGAAAAAAGGTAAAAAAGCAAAAAAAAAAAGATGTTGCAGCGTGCAGTAGAAAGAAAGAATTATTTTGTACAGTTGTAGTACTCTTGTAACATCATCATCATCATCATATGGCAATGAATGAGACAGCAAGATTGGTTGGTTGCTGCGCTGCGTCGCCCTGCCGTGTGCCGCGGTGCTCCCGGCCGGCCGGCAGAGCGGACCAAGGAAAGAATCGGTCACCGTCACCATCACCGGCGACGGCAGCGGCGGCGGAGGGTGGGTGGGCGGGTAGTCAGTAGGGGCGCATGCCGACGTAGTTGCCGGGCGGGTCGTAGTTGCAGGTGATGAAGGTGCCCCTGCCGTTGTAGCAGGCGACCATGGCGCAGCCGACGCGGCGCGTGGCGCGCCACATGATCTGGGTGTAGTGCCCGCACATGCCGCCGTAGCAGCTGTTGCTCCAGTAGTTGTACCGCGGCTGCTCGGCGAGCCACGCGCCCACGGCCTGCGCCGGCGACCAACCCGTGCCGCTCCCCCAGAACAGGTTCTCCCCGTACGGCCCCGACGAGTGCACCAGCGCGCAGTCGCCGCGCCGCGACTCCGCGTACCACCGCGCGTACCCGGCCACCCGCTCGTCCCACACCAGCGCCGGCAACCCCATCGCCGCCCTCGCCGCGTTCTGCTGCCCCAAGAACTGCATCCTGTAGTCCCCGCCGCCGCCGCCGCGTGGGTAGGCGACCACGACGAAGGCATTGCCGGGAAGAAGAAGCACAATGCCGAGGAGAGCAAGGGCAATGGCGGTGGAGGACGCCATGGGAGGCAAAATGCTGAGCTGTGGATTTGCACTACTGCCACTACCAGTCTACCACCACCGCGCTAGCTCAAGGCCGTATATATGGACTCGACGTTGAGAGTAAAAAAGCCATTTTTTAGATGATGGTGTTGGGGACAGGAGCCATGTTCGATAATGATTGCGCCACACAAGACTATGGAAGGCAGGTCTACCTAAATGTGCTTCCGACTAGAATAAAATTAGCAGTTCAATTATGTGCAGGCTGCGCCGAGAGGACGAACTGATTAGCTTCTTTGATTTTTATGGAATCTCGAACTAATTATAGTAGTTAGTTCTATGCAGGTCAGAGTCTACTCCAGCAGTCCAGCTAATTTAGTCACAGCATTCATTCCGTTACCGTTTGGTAATTAAAATCGATGCCAATTTGTTCAGGGAAGTCTAGCTCTTTGGATGCAAGAGCAGAGGACTGAAATAAAACTGCACCAGAATTATTTTTGGTGAGTTGGATTCATCATGACGAACCGCCTGACTTGGCCTGTAGCACCGATCGTGCCACGGCGTTTTGCTCTCGAAAAGACGCTATACTACCTCTTTACAACTCACATTGGCTGCCAAATGACAACACAGTGACATACATTGATAGCCAGCGCCCATCAGACAGCTTTCATTGCTCGAAAAGAATTACTACTAGTGCGTACAGCTCCATTGTTAATTAGTGAGTACTTAATTAACCGCTTGTACTTCGTTTCTGAATTCTGAACTATGCTGTGAACTCTGAAAGTCAAGAAAGGAACAGTGGCAAGTGCAGCTTTTGCAGTTAACAACGATTACGTTATAATCTAATCAATAAATCTCAGAGGTCAAGAGGTCAGTCGTGGTAAAACACCATGTGCATCTGGGTGGTACTAATTTAAGTGATCATCACAACGTTGCATTTGCGTCGCAGATTTCGTTTATTTTATGGCAGAAACAGATGCCATTATCACTCACTCATTCAGAACTGACCTACCGAATAGCCAGGAATATATACGAAGAATGTATTGGCATGGTTTGGAAGGTTTCTGTTGGTATGTACCTACTGATGAACAACGTGCCAATCACTGTCTGTCAAGAACTATGCCCAATATGCGGCGAAACAAATGGAGCTGATGGAAAGACTTTTGGCGTCCCCTGCACTAGCTAAACAGAAAAACAGCATGACAATTTTGACATTGTTCTCTGGAGTACTTGGGTACGAGTGATAATTGCTTTGGGACAGCATAACAAAGAAGGATGGAAGATAATTGCAGGGTTAGGAGAAGACAGCTCAGTGTCGGGTGTTCAGAATTTGAAGTGTACAGTTCAGTACTACTACGAAGTTGCTTGTTGTACACATTATCACATTATTGCCTTGTCTGAACCAGTGTAAACTGTTCCCTCAATGGATGTCTTGACAAACGCTGTAAATGTAAAATGTAAGCTTGCAACTTTCAGTCGCCAGAGAAAACCAAGGCCAAACATCTCAACCCGGTTGGATTTACGCCTTCCGTTTTTTTTTAAAAAAAACTCTAAATATGAATCTAGACAAAAGTACTTATTCAGATTCATAGTTAGAGCTTTATTTTTCTTAATGACGGAGAGAGTATATTAGTACCATAGATTATGTACTTAATTAGATTAACAATAAAAAACAAATTTAACAATAGGCTAGAACAAGTGTACTACGTAAATCCATTATCTTTTAAAAATAGAACAAGTGTACTACGTAAATCCTTATTGAAGTCAACTTTACACAGCTTTGACTAATATTTTAAAAGGTCTTCTTATGAGAAACTTGAATATACGATTTTCCTATCATAAAACCTATACTTTGCGATGATTTTTATGCTTAAAGTTAACTCTTGTTAACTGGTATTCTCTCCGTTTCACAATGTAAAGATTCTTTAACATCAATATAAATGTGGAAAATGTTATAATGACTTACACTGTGAAACGGAGGAAGTACGTATTTTAAACTAGCTTGTTTTTTTTAATCGGAGGGAGTATTATGCATAACTGCTGCAAGACGACCTTGCAACAAAATTCCGTTAAAATAACCTTATTATTTTCTCCATTTGGCATTTTCACCAATAAAATGAATGACAAGAAGTAACAAATAATCAGCGGTTCCTATACATATACACATACACATATACACATATACATATACATATACATATATATATATATATATACATATATATATATATATATATATATATATATATATATATATATATATACATATATATATATATATATACATATATATATATATATATATATATATATCCGCTGAACAAAAGATCCCCGTGAACAAATTCAACACAAACCTGTCCAAAACAACACAAAACAAATTCAATTAGCCAGCAATCACTCGTGCACCCAAATCACGTCTCCCCTGCACACTGTACGTGCGTGCGTGTCGTTCACGGGCTCGATATCGATCACGTCACGTCTTTTCGCTAGTACGGCCTCACGCCGACGTAGTTGCCCGGCGGGTTGTAGCTGCAGACGCCGTACGTGCCGCGGCCACCGGCGCAGGTGGCGAGCGCGCAGCCCACCGCCGTGGTGCGCCGCCACACCACCTGCGTGTAGTGCCCGCACGCCGCGGCGTCGCCGCCGCGGCACGAGTTGGACGCCGCGTCGTACAGCGCGCGCTCCCGCGACACCCACGCCGCCACCACGTCCGCGGGCGCCCACCCGACGCCGCTGCCGTGGAACAGGTTCTCCCCGTACGGCCCGTGCGAGTGCACCAGCGCGCAGCCGCCGCCGGCGCCGCTCCGCGCCGCCGCGTACCGCGCCGCGTACGACGCCAGCCTCTCGTCCCACCGCAGCGGCGGCACCCCGACCTGGCGCCGCGCCGCGTTGTGCGCGTCCAGGAACCCCGACGCGAGGCTCTTCGTCTTCCCCGACGACGACGACGACTTGGCGTCGGCGGCGCCGTGGAGGAGGAGGATCACGGCGGTGACCGCCGCGAACGGGAGGCGGCGAGAAGCCATTGCTTGCTCCTAATTAAGTACGATTTTTTTCGCTTGATCGATCAGATCAGGCGTGATGTTTGTGTTACGTTCGTATTTATACGAGCTGGAGTACGAGAGTTTTTGGCTGGGAAAGTGCGTGCCAGGGCTGAAGGAGTGGCGTTCATGTTCGATAATGGTTGGCATTTGTTTCAAAAAAAAAAGATTATGGTTGGCATGCATATATAACTAAGCAAGATAAAGTCCAAGCAAGCTATATATGCATAATTTGATTTGCGTCCATGTCTAACATATCAAAGCCAGCTAGATTTTGTCGCACGATGGATTGCGACATTTTGGGCACAATATACGGGCACGTCGAGCACGTTACGTATTGCCACGGCCCTCATATTGCGTTGCACATAGGACATCTGGAACTGGGCCGCAAATACCGTTTCGGACATTTAGCAAGAAGGGCCAAGCGCTTCCCGTTTTCACAGTTTCGGTCCATCTAGTATGGGCTGAACGTCCGTCTCAATCCCGTTACGGCCCATATAGTACCTCACGTTGCAGCTACGGCCTGCATACTGGAGTATATAATAGGAAAAAGTACATATGAGATCCCTCATCTTATCACCGAATTATAAAATTGTCTATGTCTCAACCAAAAACCAAAAATATATGATATCTCTCAATTTACAAAACCAGATCACTCTGCATCCTTAGGTGATTTTAACCGCGGTTTTGTTCGACGTGACGGCTCAGTATGAGACCCACATGAACCTCACATATTAGGGTGACCACATCATCACCCTTTCTCCTTCCCCTCTTGTACTGAGCCGATCGCCCGATCGAACGACTGAGAAAGGGTGGACGGAGCAAATTCCACCTACGGCCGTGTTTAGTTCCCCCAAATTCCTAACTTTCCATCACATTACATCACATCGAAAACTTTCATACACACAAAAAAACTACCAATTTTTTCTCCAAACTATCAACTTTTTCCCAACTTCCTAACTTTTCACCATCTAAACACAGCCTATGTTTACAAGTTTCAAGCAACTCGATCAGCCAGCGTGCGATTTTGTCACAGGTTTTATTTCGAGATAAAGCACGCACGCGTGCGACGTATATACCGTTTCCACCTACTGACCTACAGGTAGGTATACTGCAGGCAGGTCGGTCAGTCAGACCGCCCGATAATGTGTTCTGAATCTTAACTAGAGATGCCTAACAAAACAGTTCTATCTATCGTCAGTACAGCAAAGGTTCTCAAATCAGCCCTGTAAGCACGCCGCAAGTTCGCCATATTGACGCCAAGTCGCCAACAAATAGCTGTCTAGCTACTGACTACATACTTTGAATTGAACACAGCAAATTAGCATGCATATATGATCGATCAGTATACATCAATACTACTATTATATATATATAGCATAGTTGCATAGGGCACCGTCTCTGGAAACCGAGATGATGTAGCATCTACACAAGAACAGGACTACCATTGGACAATCTCATGCTCCTAGGGCTAGGAGTATATTTTTGAATATGATGAGAGCCATGCATAATTGCATATAGCCATATTTTTTTTTCACGAACACGCAAAATAATTGCATGTCAATATATTAGAAGAAAAAAATATTTTGTTACACAATGCAATCAGCCAGACCGGCTTATGCCAAGGAAAGGAAGGAAAGCAAAACAAAAGCTGAAGCTAGGAAAAAACTACTACGGTGGCTAAACGCAACTCCGAATAGCGGGAAGGGGCAGAGCCACGCTACACTCACAAGAAATCCCAGAAGCGGCAATGTCAGCTAAAAACCACAAATGGACCTTCGAGAGCACAGAGTAAAAACTCTAGAGTTTCGTTCCTTTCACAGCTGCCAAGAGACCAGGAGTACCACATATGGCTATATCTAACTATCCAAGTATATGTATGTATTCATGCATAGACACGGAGATTGAATTAATCACACATATGCATGCATTTTATTTCTGTGTATTTCACACTCACATACTATGTATAACATCATCGATATGATACTAATGCTCATACAAAAAACATGGCAATTAAACCAGTAGTTTAATTTAATTCACATACATTTATATATATGTATTAACAGAAACGTTCAAGATCAATCGAAACCGAGCGTACATATGCATATTATCTCATATACCAACTAGCTATCAATTAACAATTGGATCCATATCACTGAATGTAATATATATATGTGTAGCTAGCACCCAACACCAAAATCTATTATTGATCATACCCTAGAACGTAATCGCCGGCGCCGCCCGAACCGTAGTCGCAAGACGACGACGTCCACGTCGAGAACTTCTCGTCGGCGCCGATGATGGCGCTGCCGTCCGGGCACTGCAGCTCCGGCAACGACGAAGGGATGATCCCGCCTTGCGCTCCGCCGATCGACTCGCACTTGAAGAGGAAGTCGTATAGCTCGTCGTGGAGACCGTAGCCGGCGACGAACCCACCACCACCCGCCATTGACGACGACGAGGTCATCTCTACACCGGCGACTCCCGGCATGTAGTTCGAACCGGTCGCCGCCGCAGGGTCGAGGTGCTCGGCGGCTTGGAACGCCTCCGACGTGGTGGCGGCGGCGGCGGCGGCGGTGGCGAGGGTATGGCCGCCGACGACCAAATGATGGGGGTGTTGCACGGTGGCGACGACGGCGTCCGTCGGCTGCACGGCCGGGAGCGGTCTGCTCGGCAGCAGCGCCTCGAGCTTCGGCCACTGCGGCGGCGCGACGCCGACGCCGCCGCCGTTGCTGCTGGTGGTGGTGCAGCCGAACGCGCTGTTGTAGAGGCCTTGGAGGCGCATGTGGAGCTGGATCCGCTCGAGGGCCGACGAGCTTAGGGCTTGATGCGGCGGCGCCGCCGCCGCCGCGGTGCCGACGCCACCGCACATGGCGGCGGCGGCGCTGCCTGCTAGACCGCAGTGGTCTTGGTTTGCGCGGGCGCGGCGCGACGGCGCGCGCTTGCCGAGGAGCTTCTTCTTCAGCTTGGTGTTCCAGTAGTTCTTGATGTCGTTGTCCGTTCTCCCCGGCAGCTGCGCCGCGATGATCGACCACCTGTGAATGCAACTAGCATTAGCACATCTCTACTAAATTATCTAGATTTTTTAGGGAGATTATTAGTAATTAGCTAGAGTTTTTGTTTTGTTTTGTTTTGTTTTGATAATTAATAGCTGAAGTTATTAATAGTGCATGCCATGTTTTAGTAAGTGATGCATGTACGTGTTAGTCTCTGAGATGAAAGGGGAAAAAGAATGAGGAAAGTAGAAGTAGATAGAGAGGTGTGTGCATGCAGTTATGTATGCACATGCGATGAGAGGACAAGTTGCTAATATGGTGATTATTACCTGCTACCGATGCTAATGTAGAGGCTACAAATGATGTGCTCCTCTTCTTCTGTGAAATCACCATGCTTAATGTTTGGCCGCAGGTAGTTGAGCCATCTGAGCCTGCAACTCTTGCCACATCTCTTCAGCCCTACAATAATCATATGCAATTAATATACTTTAAATTCATTTGAATTATACAGCACCCAATTGCATCAGATCAGGAGACAGAAATGAAATGGTCTAGGATAGACAACCATTAGCTAGTACTGCGCTCCAGTATTCAGAGACAAAAATAAGAGGAGAATTGAAGGGCTATGCATGCATACTACTGAAGATCAACAAATACAAGCTAGCTAGAATTTAACTAATAACTAAGATCAAACTACTTGGCATATCTTCCAGTGTGCTAGACATTAACAGACTACTCAAGTTTAGGTTCATGTAATTATCATGTGTGCTTCAAGCTGATCCCTCTTAATTTATCAGGAAAAAAAATCAACTTGATCCCCTTTGATCTAGATCTCTCACTCCACGACAAACAAATAGGGCAATCTACAAATGGATGATCATGTTATAGTTCACCCCTTTTAGATCAAAAGTCTACATAAACTTTACCTTCTATTAGTAAAACAGCCAATCCACCATACAGGTGATACAAAAGAGGGAAAATAGCATGTATTAGATGCATCTCTAAAAAATGTTTTGCTTTAATCCCCAATTTAGACTCAATCACACAACAAAAACCATACTACTACCTATCAAAAGCTAAACATATGGATGATTAACTTGCACTAGCAAGCTAGCAACCACCTGTCATAACCAAGGAAATTAATTGCTAGCAGGATAAATTAGAATTCATGAAAACAAACCCAATTTTTGCTGGGTTAGCCCAAGATTAGGCTGACCAAATGTTAATTGAAATAAGAAGGGGGCTTTGTGCGTTACAACATCTACATAAGGAAGACCAAACAGCGCGGTCGGTGCCCAGCCCTAGCTAATAACACACAAATCAGCCACTAGAGAGAAGTCCAGAAACAGCAAAATGAATTGAAGAAGCAAGAGCAAATTAAGCTAGGCGAAAGAACACAAGGTAGGAGAGGAGTATATATATATATGCGTGCTTACCGATCTTCTGCGGCAGCGCGATCCAGTTGCCGCCGGTGCCGTTCTCCTCGATGTAGGCCTTGAGCTTGGCGTCCTCCTCCGGCGACCACGGCCCTTTCTTCACGCTCGCCTTGTCGCAGCACGGCGCCCTCCCCATCACTAACTCCTTCGAATTCTTGATTTCTTGCTGCTCAGCTCGATCGTCGTCGCCGTCGCCGTCGTCGTCTATCTCAGCAGAAGAGAGATCTAGAACCGATGGATCGCTAGTGCCTGACGACGGCGACGATGTGTAGCTAGCTGCTGCGGCTGGTGGTGGTGGTGGTGGTATGGTGATGGCGTGTTTGGCAGCAGCGGTGAGCGGGTGCATCTGGGGTTGTGGCCGGGCTGGCTTTATAGTAGGTTTAGTAGATGGATAGCTAGAGAGGAAGGAGGCACCGGACACCGGGAGAAAAATACGGGTGTGGGCTTGTGAGAATTGTGAATTTGTGAGGTGATGATGTGACGGTTGGCTCCATTATAGGGACACCGCCACATTATTTTTTGTGTGTGTTTGTGTGTGTGTGTGTGTTGCTGGGGATTAACGGACGCCGCCCTACCATGCAGTCAAGTCAGACATGCACTCACCAAGATCTTCTCTGCCAAGCCAACTTTTGATTATTACGCTAGCTGCTGCTGACATCGGTTAATTAATTGATTTGCACTAGTTAACCATGAATACTTACAGGTGTGTGTCCTCTGAAACTGATCTTTTATCAGTATACTGCAAATATCAATCCATTATGTTTAGCAAAATGCGCATGATCTATTACAATGGTACTAGAGCTAAGTCATATGACTAAATCAACAATAGTGCATTGATCAACACGGTTTATACTTTATGACATGCGCATGCTTCTCCTTTTTAACATGATCAGGGTTGCTTCATTTTTTTTTCCAATAAAACAAAACTATCAAAGGCAACATAGGTAAATGGATTACGTTCATTGAGAAACTACGCGTCGACGCATATGGACTTCATTGAAGTCATCGGGTGCATATACGATAAACAACACGCGATGATCCTGCAAATACGATGACATTAGCACACTAAAAAGAAAGTCGTTACATATTGATATGGAACGAGATCGCTTGCAAGTAGTATTACCCACTCCTAAGAGTAAAAGCATCTCCAACAGCCTCTCTATTCCTCCAAGCCAAAAATTTAGCAAATGAACCAAAAACACTCCTTCAATAGACTCTCTATTCGACTCTCTAAGCCAAATGCCTCTCCATCTCAACCCACGCACTGGCCAATATTGGCCAGCCTCCCAGACTGGCTATCCTTCTATCCGCCTCTCCCTGTATCCATGCTTCTCCTCTCCCTCTAGCTCTGCCGCCACACCGGCTCTCACCATCCCTGCTGAGCTCCCCCGTATCCCCTCGGTTGCCTTGTCATCGTCACCACCTGTGGGAGGAGCATCGTCGCCATCGCCTTTTGCCGTGGCCGCCATCCACAGGGAGGAGTGCTGCCTTCCCCGACCTTCCTCCGCACCCACCATCCCCTAAGCTGAGGAGCACCGCCGCGACCGCCGCCGTTGACAGCCACCGCCGCCAGCCATGGCCGCCGTCATTTGCGTCGTCACCAGCCATGGCTGCCGTCATTTGGAGGCCTATGTCACCATGCAACCCCTGCCGGATTGGGCCGGCCGTGCGACCTCCAGACTGGCGGCGTGGATTTGACCGGTCATCGTCGAGGTCGTCGTTGCCGAGGTCGTCATCGCGAGCCGCCGCCGCCGCCATCGCCAGCCTCTGGATGGTCGCAGTCGCGCGGGATGTGTCCGAGAGAAGAGGAAGAGGGAGAGAGGAGGAAGAGGGAGAGAAAGAGAAAGAGGAGGAAGGAGTAGTAGAGGCAGACGTGTGGGTCCCAGTGTCATAGGCTCATAATGGATAGTGGCTATTGGAGTGAGAAATGAGTTTGGCTTGCCAAATCAATTGGACAGCTGGCTATATGGGTGTTTGGAGAGACCGATTTAGAAAGACTGTTAGAGATGCTCTAAGTAGGGGCACATATGTTAGTCAGCAGTACCGCAGATCCAGTGTCGTTGCGGACGTCCTGTGTCCTTGTTGATATATATGCCCACTTATTCAGTGTGCGCAATGGATCCCAGCAGAGCATGCATGTCGATTTGGCGTGTGACAAAACCCTTCCAAACGCATGCCAATCCCCTGTTCCATGCATGCCTACCTTTACCCAGATCCGTTTCTTTCTCCCTGAGTTCCCAAATCCGCCATTGACAAATTCCTCCACAAAACCACCACCTTTTTCACTGCATTCAGCAGCTAGCAGCCTCTCCCTCTGTCACCTTTATTAGCCTCAGTGTTATGCCGGGATCATATGAGCCTTCAGGAGTTCAGACCTAACATTCGTGGTCCCTGCAACTCTTGTCAAAGAAAAAGCTTTGCTTAATTATTTTGTTATTATATTTAAGTAGCTAATCAAGCACTGCACAGATGTCGTGTTGGCTGGACTGCCCATGAAGCCACGACTTTCAGGGTTTCATGTTTGAAATTCTGCCTCTGTCTCAGGAGTTACTGTTTCAAACTAGTCATTGACTATAAACATGAGCATAGTTAATGGATGGTCCAAGCAGATGTGCCAAACCGATGAACTATTAGCAGATGTTCTCAAGTGCAGTAAACCTTGCTGCGTTAAACACGTCTACTAGATGTGCACGTAATGATCTCATCACCATCATCATCTGTTATATATTTACCTAGCTTACTATGTGATTACATATGTAGAACTTGTGTTTTCTGTATACGTGTTGCTTCAGAATTGAGACAGAAGAGGTTAATTTTAAATTTATCTATGTATATATGACTGTACATTCTTTTCATAAAAAAGAACAATTAAAGCTGGTTGTCAATCTGGTCGTAGAAATCTTCTCGATCAAACGCGTCACTATGCGTGGTTCTGAAACGGAAAAAAGGCCGGGCTGCCTGCCCATACGTCAGGCATGGTGAATCCAAGTTAAGGTTCAGAGAATGTACCAAGAAAAGCAGAGAAAAGCTATCTAGTTAAAGAACATGCAGACTGAAAGAGAAGATTCAGAAGAAAAGTTGAGACTGAAAGAGGCAAGAACTCTAAGCGAATTGAAAGAAAGAAACGTGTACATGACTCGGTCATTTACTGCAGGCAGCTACCAAGACATGGGGATATCAATATGCACATATGGTTTTCTTTTCTTCCATCATCAAATTTATCAAGAATTTTAATTTGCATGCATGCATACTGCCAACATCTATGGTCTCCCAGCTACAGATCAAGAGCTCATGCATATTCTTTTGTTTTGACCATCTTCTCCCAGTCCTCCATGCTGCTGTTGGCTGCTTGTTTTCTTGTGCCACCTAACTAACTTGGAAAACTTGTTCATCTATTAAATGCCATATATTTGCCTAGCTATGTGGATAGTGCTACTCTGCTCTTCTACCCTAGATGTGGCAAAACTCAAAAAGGGGGGAAATAATTAACAATAATACTTTAGTATCAAGGTTAGCTGCATGTAACTATCACTGTAATTCAGTAGATAATATTTACAGTGATAGTATATACCCAACAACTCTCTAACTAACTATGATCATTGGACAGCGATAAAAAATAATTAACCAACAACCATGCATCCAAGTGAAGGAAATTTTTGGGAGATAACTAACTTACTATGGCAATCAATCTCTTAAAACTGATTGAGTTGAACTAGCTAGCTCACTCACTACTGTCTAGACAAGTGGCACAAATGTCCACATCCTTATTTATGCACCATGGAAGAAGCTCCAAACAGGAAGCTGTTGGGAATTAATGGCAAAAGGCTACCACTTTACATTGCATATTGCTAATACTAAACTAATACCAATCACAATGCCGTGAAATTGAGCCCTCACATATTGACCTTGATGATTAATTTGCCTGGTCATCGACGTAAAAATTAACAATTGATTGGTCCTAACGAAGTGTCAAGCCACCGACAGGTGGGGACAGGCCACCAGAGTGGAGCACATTAGCCCCACTGTCAGTGACTCATAAGACAGCGATGGTAAAACTAGATGGATGCAATAGAGCCACCACCTTTTTCTCAAAAGGCAATCCAAGTTAATCCTGATCAAGTCCACAGGATAGACTTTATTAACCTAAAGCAAGATGGCTTAAAATATGCAACCCTTCATAAGCTAGCAAGGAGAAAGGATGGAAGGAGTCATTTGGTATTTTCCTGCTTGTCACTTCCTACAAGGTCATATTCCCAATGGCCATTGCCTGTCATCAGCAACATGAACAGTCTTAAATCTTGGCAAAGGGAAAAGAGATGAGCACAAGGGAAGAAAAAGTTGGGAAAAGGGGGGAGGAAAGGCAGTGGGAATAACTGGATATCTTTGCTGAGCCTCATTGGAGTTTAGCATTTGATCGCATGCATAGTACTTGACCTTAGAGGCTGTACCCCAAAACAAAGTACAAGAGACGCTATGAATGCATATAATAAGGTAATCAGTAAAGTGGTAATGAAAGTGGGGATATGGTCTAATTTGTGCCACAATGGTGAGAGATTTTTCAAGCTGGCTCGATCAATCACTCGATCCACGGTGACGCAATTCAAGTAATGAATTCCATCAGATTCGAAGATAGAGCTATATTATATCCATCAGCGGTGCGATCGTTCAACACATTCTGTGTCATATAGGGATATTACGGTTCCTTCACGTAACCGTAAATTAGATGGTCAAGATAAAAAGACCTTGCAATATCGTCATTTACGCGGACTGAAAATTTTTTGCGTTCATCCTGGCTCCGAGTCGGTCGCACGGCACAACAAATAGACGATAAAAAACCTTGGGTGTGTTTAGTTCACGTCAAAATTGAAAGTTTGGTTGAAATTGGAACGATGTGACGGAAAAGTTGGAAGTTTGTGTGTGTAGGAAAGTTTTGATGTGATGGAAAAGTTGAAAGTTTGAATAAAAACTTTGGAACTAAACTCCGCCCTCATCTAGGAACAAAACCTCACAGCACCTATACCATCCATGTCCTATCAATCAATTGTCCATAACCGATCTGAATGTTTTTTGGTTGCTACCACATGCCTACAATGTCCACTTCACATTGGCTGATCATACATCCCCGACAAATGAATGACAGGAGATTGGACTGCACATCAATCCAGACACCAATCTGTCGTCAGGGCCGGTTCAATTTCCCCTCCATTTTCACCCTCTTATCATTGGCAAATGATGGCAAATTGGCAGGCTGCTCTGCTCCCTGCCATTTCACTGTCTGCACATAGTGACCAAGTTCATCAACCAAAGATATCGGTTAACGCAAGAAAAACAAAGAAAGTTAGTTAGTGAGTGAGAGTCTCATGGATATCTTATTCATTGCTTCAGCTTGAAGCACGCATGACACATCTGTTTTGACTAGTAGCAATCACTGTTTCTTCCTATCAAACTTGTTGCTTGCACAAATCTCTATCAGTTGTGGTACTGAAAAACAGGGTGCCTCATCTCTGTGTATTCAGTATTAAAATCCTTTTCAGTTTATTTGCATGTTTATTACTGTGTCAGCTCTGCAAACCTATTGGCGATGCTGTAAGCTCGCTGACGTCAGCCCTGAATTGTGGAGTTGTAACTGTCATTTGACATGTCTTGATCAGTTCTTCTACTACTAGTATGAATTTTGCATGGACAGGCAAGTTGTTAATTAGTGGCAATTGTTTCTTGCATTTATGGATGACAACCTAGCTAGATAGCTAGAGAAAAAAAAGGAGATTAATCAGTTGCATGTGTCAGTGATGAAACCGTGCTGGTCCTGCTGGAGAAATCTCAGTTGGAGAGATTCCCCTCGTTGCGTTGCTAGGACAGAGGGATTTGATTAAATTGATAAGAACAGGAGAAGAAAAAAGGTTGGGGCTCTAGCTTGTTGCCATCGTGTCAAATTCTGCCTTTTCAGATACAACCAACGGCCAAGGCCAACACATGCCCCAATATTGAATTCCAGGTTTTCTGAACTTCAGAGAGGATTAGGATGTCGCAAAGCAGGCAGGATTCAAGAACTCAGTATCTTTCAGCATTTGAAATTTCAGGCCTCAGGTTCAAGTTAGTTACCGCCAAATCGAAAACCGGAAATCTTGGAGCTGACACGAAACACCTCTGAAATTGTAAACTTTTTAAGACATTTGCAAAGGAGATTTGTGATACCCTGGACCTGAATAGCTGATATACAGTTCAGTTTAGATTTTAGTATACTGACGAGCCATTTGCAAAGAACAACATGGAAATCCTTAGCTGACAAAGAATGCATTTTCCACCACAAACCATTATTGATAAACTGGCTAGGAACTTGCCAACCTTCTGGAGCTATTCTAATTCTGGGATCTAAAACCCCCTAGATCCATGATGACTCATGAAATCAGAATGTCTTGTACTGAAGGTAAGCAAGCCTCGTCTCCTTTGGAGCTGTCATTTCTATCAGTTTAATACTGCATATGCAGCACAAAACTACTGCCATGGATAGCAAGGCAACTCATTCTCCAGACACTAATACTAACTTATTCCAAGCCATGATCTCACTTGCTTTACACCTGGCAAACGCAGGCAAAAATCACAATAAACGCACACAAAAAGGAAACAAGTAAGCACTATTTAAATTGCAATCAATCAACTGCATTGTCAATTAATTGTGACCCAGCATGAACCCTAGCTAGATTAGAGCTAGCTGGTGTGTCTGAAGGAGGAGGAGAAGAAGCCAAGCTGTGCCACACCTACTAATCCATCCACCAATGATCATACACCACACATTGCATTGCACACAATGACACAAACTCTCCCCTCTGTCCCAGGACACTTTTGACTTGTCACCTACGCGCACAAACCATATTCTCAATCTCATGTAGAACAATCAGTCTCTGCTTCGCCTTCGTCTTCGTCTTCGTCTTCCTCATCTCGCATTCATTTTTATCAATAAGATTCAAACCGCGCAACGCAACACGGAGGAAGATGACGAAAAGCGGAGACAAGTGGCGGCCGGTCTCCGATTGTTTATGCCTTTGACTTTGGGTGTAGTTTGGTGCTAAGATAGTGCAGGCTAGAGGAGGGTGGCTAATTGTGTGGTTTGGTAGGCAACTTGGCCTGGTTTTATTCTTGTTAAGACAGATCCTTCAAGGGTAGGCTTAGGCTAATCAGTGATGAGCAAACAGGAGAAAAGAATGTCAAGCCTACCCTAAAGAAGCTCCATATGAACCATGCTTGCCCTAAAATAGCTCACATGCCTATGCATATAAGAGATAAGATCATTAAAAAACAGTGTTGTATCATAATTTAGTGTCACTGTGTGTGCAAAGGTCAAAATATACTAGCTGAGTATATGATTTAAAACAGAGATAGAATCAAGATGAGAATTCCTGGCGTGGTAGCAGGTGCAGAAATCAAGAGTTAAATTTTGCTTAAAATGCGCTACACAAAGAAGATAAGAGATGAAAAGGAGAAAAAGAAAAGGGCAGGCAGGTATAGCAAATGAATGCTAGGAAATGAAATGAGAATCTCAGATGTTCTGAAGAGACAGCCAGCATACAATCCATATAACTTCATGGAGCAGAGCCACCTAAACAACGTCCTCCATTAATACTGTATTGCGAGCAGAACAAAAACATGGGGTCTACTGCTTTAACTGTCAAGATAAACCTTTTTAATCTGATGGCCGACAATGCAAAATTGGCAATTAACTTGGTTGGAGGAATGACAATAGAAAATACTGCAAGTCCATTTTGACACCACATGATTGATGCCGTATACTTATTATACGATGAAAAGGATGGATTTATGATGAAGAAAAATGCTAGCAACTCTTATTATGAAGAGTTCTGGCTCAGAATTTCTCCCAATTATGAAGAGATTGTTCTGGGAAGATATTTCATAGCAAACTACGCTGTCAAAAGATGAAACAAAGACAAGGTCATTTTAAGCGATGCACCACCACTATTGACATCCTTCAGAAACATCGACGGATTGATTGGCACGGAAGAATAATTGCATGGACCCAGGAGGAATAGTGCCACTGATGATCTATACAGGGAAGAACCATGTTGCAAGTGACATAGAAATCTTATTCGTGAGCTATTTACAATCTGAATAAGGATATCTCTGTTCGAGTTGTCCCCTCTTTCCTTAGGACACAATTTTGTGCAAAAAGATAACTGTGTCCAACTTTGAACAGTGTCTACTACTGTGCACATCTAACATGTGCCAGCCGGAAGAAGCAAGCCGAAGCTTATTTACATTACATTTCTATTTCTATAGTTCCCGTCCAGAGGATAAGGTATATAGCATACTGTTCCCCGAGGAAGGCAAACGACAGCTGATGATTCCAGGATCGAAAATCCCTGCATCAAGAAATGGAAACTTCAGCACCAAAATCATCTCTGGATTTTTATCAGAGGGACCAATAAAACAAGGGAAAACCATCAACTCACATTAAACTTGCTCTGGAACTTCCGTGATGAAATTTTTTTCCTCCGTGTAACTCATTAGATTAACAATTGAACTAGGATAAACTGGAATGCTGCAAAGACATCCATATCATAGTTACTCCATAGAATCTTGTTCTGAGTTTGCCTTCCTCCTGTATCAAGGGAACTGGACGTAGGAAACTTTGCATGGCTTGTGAACCTTTACTTCACATTCATTGCTGCAGCCATCTTCCTCAACCTTTGAGATATTTCTGTGAAGGATGGTCTATCTGCTGGTTCACTGGCCCAACAGTTTTCCATCAGTGATTTCCATTCAGGATCACACCATGAGGGGATCTGAGGACGTAGGGAATTGTTCACGATGCCCCCTGGAATAAATATGATAAGTGATCACTTTAGTGACAAACAAGAATAGTTGATCAATTACAATAGCATCACTAGCGTCTGGATATATATAAGCAGTCCCTCTTTGCAATTATCTATACTAAATATGAGACTACATAAGAATATATCCTGGCACTTATTTTCTTTCGTTGACCTCCTCAATTTCACGACTCAAATGAAACAGAGTCGTCCTATAAAAGAAATTAGAAGGGGGAAGAAATATAAAAATACACCTGCACCTAAAGAACATGGATATCTCATCTGCTAGACGGCAACTACCACATCCAAGTTGAGCACCACGATGTATGCAAATTTAACCCAGTTACCTACGCTAACATGTTTTTAACTTCAGTATTTGATAATTAGTATAGGCACCCATAACTTCAACACATATCTGACCCATTTCCGATAGTTCAGCCTACACAAGCCTTTCAAAATTGTTTCCAAAAAGCATTTGTGAAAGGAATGGATCTTCTGCAGAACACCAAATGGCATGCGCTAAACATGAAGGGTGGACATGATGGAATTCGCAATCAGGAAACAAGTCACTGTGATAATTGATAAAGCTTACTAGTGGAAATTTTGAAAATTACCAATAATAGCAGCAGCACGCATATCAGAATATGGTTCTTCGCCAGTAAGCAGCTCCCACATCACAATACCAAACGAGTATACATCAATCTACAAGTAAGCGCCATATCAGTTTCAGTTGGAATATAAAAAATGAAGAACATTAGTTTTAATGACTTATGATCCATAAGGGTGCTTATAATTTATAAAGCCAGTGTTCTTACCTTCTCTGACACCATATTGCTTTTCCCACTCAGAAGCTCTGGTGCCATCCATGGTAAGGTTCCTCTAACACCGCCAGACACCAAAGTGTGCTGCTTCACCTTTGATAGTCCAAGATCACCAATCTGAGCAGAAAATGGAGGTGGGATGACAGTCAGGTAACAACCATTTGAAGCAAGAGCTGAGGAAATGAAGATGAGAGGGCAGGGATCAAACTTTGCAGATTGGTCGTTGTGGATCCCTCATGTTGACCAGTAGGTTCTCACACTTTAGATCAAAATGAACTATATTCTTCCCATGCAAATATTCCATGCCAAATGCAGCATCCATGGCTAATATAACTCTTTTACGGCGATCAATTGTCCTGTGCAGTTGCTTTAATTTAGAATTTGGATATTTGAGAATAAAAGAATCATAGTGTTCTTTGATTAAACAAGTAATACCTGTCTTTTTTTCTCAAAAACTGTTTGAGAGATCCATTGATCATAAACTCAGTAACAGTTGCTAAGCTTCCATCAGGACCGTCACGAACTACACCATAAAATGAAACCACATTTGGATGATGAAGTGAACTTAGAATCTGAGCTTCTTTCCAGAAATCAGCAATCTGCAAAACCACATATATATCTGAACTAGAGATCTTCTCCATAGAATACACAAAAGCAAGAAAATCACTATCCAGAGGGTTTTAACAGAAATCTTTAACAAGGAAAAAAAAAGCTATGAAATCAATCCTAAAAGTTCTAAGGTGTTAACAAGTCAATCAAGCATACCAAACGCTCTCTCTCAGATGGTCTGCCAGCAAAACAGCTAGCCTTTATCCTTTTAATAGCAACATCACATCCTCTCCATTTACCATGGTAAACTGCACCATAAGTACCTGAACCTAGCTCCCTAATTTCCTCCAAGTCATCATTTTTTATAGTCTGCATGATCCAAACAGAGCATATAAGCGGGATACAATGTTGAATTAAAAACAATACTACATATCAAGAGATCAGAAAAAACACCTGTAGTCCTTTTGATAAAGCTTCTGCTTCAGCGGTTGTAGCCTCAATTCCAGAACTTTTCTGCTGCTCACCACTTCCATGCACATCAGAATCCTGATCTGTACCAGTATTCTGCACATAAAAAGGATTTTAGTTAAGAGCACTAGGTAGCTAAGCCAGTAATGTGTAAAGGTCAAGTATTACTTACACCAGCAGGTGTCTCCTCCAACTTCTTTCCATTGCCTTCCTCATCACAAGTCGGCAAAAGAGTGGGACCAGCATCTTGTTGAGCCTTTTCTTTCTCTTCAGAATCTTCTAATGCAGCCTTCTTAACAGATGCAGCCAGCTCTGGAAGGAAATTCAATCTATCCTCTGAAATATCCCCACATTCCTGCAGTGCTGTAGCCCCTCCTTCATGCACTTTACTTGTGACAGTTTCATATTCGACAGGCTTCCTCTGTTTGGGATCAACTTCAGGTACAACTCCGATATGGTGGGTCAAGGCACTTGGATCATTCATAGCATGCAAAGAAGTTGTTTCATTCGCATTTCGGGTAAACTTCTCATGCTCTGGACCTTCAAGTTTCTTCAATGGATTGATATCCATCCTGGACAACTGATCAGTGAGGGGTAATGCAGCTACTCTGCCATCAACTTGTGATGATAGAACAGATCCACCGCATGCTCTTTCAGGATGAATCTCCATCAGTGGAGCTCCTGGTTGATTTTGGACTGATTCAGGGGCAAATAAAGGCTGAACATACTGGCCACTGTTTGGATTTGACCGGTTTTCTACAACAGCAGGGATATCATGTCCAACAACTCGATATGGTATGCTTCCATTGGGTGAGGGCCATGGGTTTGGGATTCTATCATATGCAGGCATACCTGGAATCCGTGGACTAACATCACCTGTATTTCTGACAAAGTTGCCATTTGGAATTGGCAGGTGTGGTGATTCATAGGGTGAACCTGTATGGACAGGACTATTTGCTCTTCTCCTCAAAGATTGAAGTGGTGGCAGATTCTGCTGCATTTGGTAAAAGGGGTCTGCACCATATGTTGAAGAGTGGCTATAATGCTGACCTGTAGATTCTTCAAATCCTGGTGTCTGGACATATGGCCCACCGACTCCAACTTGTTGGTTATGATATGTATCACTGACATGCTCACTACTGCCATGAAAATAGTGCGGACTTTCATGGCTAGATCGACTGAGAGATGTAACTGAGCTGTTGTCAACAATGTATGGTTCCATCGCTCTAGCACTACCAGGCATATGCAACCTTGGATCTTCATATCGCTGATGGCTTTGGTTTGCATGTGCATGCCAAGCTCTATCATGAGAATGCGATTCGTTATAAAACATGGGAGGAGGGTGACCACCAGTCTGCTCTTTGACATAAACACCATTTTCCAGTCTAACATCTTGGTTTAATACAAAACGCTCACCAGGGCGGTTGCAATCTGGACATGAATTAGTAGGGTGACCAGAATACTCATTTGTCATGCTCGTTTGGTCAAAATGTTGAATAGGCCTCCAACGAGGATCCACATATCGAGGATCACCTTGACCCTTATGGAATGGTGAACGGCAGTGATCATACATACTGCTTCCATCCAAGAAATTGCCAGGGCGACCCAAGTTACCTGGGAAGCCTGCGTTTTGCTGAATTACAGCGCCTGGAGGAAGCCAGACCAAATTATCCACATGCTGTGGTGAATGAACCTCATAATGCCGATATTTTGGCGAATGCCTTACAAAGTCATCAGGAATCCTCTCATCAAAATCTTCTGCTCCAACTTGAAACCTTGGTGAAATGGGAAAATCTCGAGGATCATGCACTCCATAGTGCCCTGGAGAGATATATGCAGGGCTCCAAGGAGAATCCATCTCCCCATACCTTTGGCTATGTGAAGGGCGAGGAACATTCAAATGCCGCAGACCAGCAATATCAGGAATTCCAGACTCGTTGCCTCCAATACCAAAGAGCTGCTCCACGGATACAGGAGAGGAAGGTGTTCTAACATCGCCGAGGCTATTAAGTGCATCAACATACCTCCTCTCTGTCTCTCTCTCATCTCCATTGTAATGGACAGCCGCTGCTGCGGCCTCATCGTCTAAGTGCTGTGAGAACAAGAAAATCCTCAACCGAGTAAACCCCTCTCCTGCAGCAATGAGCTTGTCGTACTCCTCCATCATGTTCACCACATCGTCATCGTTAACAACCGAGACCAGGGCATCTAGATCCTCATCAGGTTGCTGGTACTTGATGATATCAGCATCCTCATAGAGCTCACGCATCCGCGCTGCTAGGTCAGTGTAGGATACATCACGCGGCAGCATAACAATCCTGGTCTCGCCGCCGACGTAACGCAGACGCCCATCAAGTGGGCGGGGCAGGATGCTTCCTCCAAAGCTGCAGAGGAACTTGGCCATGCGAGGGGCTCCATCAGCCTCGGCGCTGCCTGCAGAGACGCTGGCAGGGGCAGCAGCGGGCGCCATGCGTGCGGAGACTGGGAGAAATGCTACCAAGTTGGGGTGATTTGGGTGAAGTACATCACACGATTCAAATCAAACAGTTGGTATTCACTTTTTTTTTTTGCGCCGATTAGTCTCTTCCTGAAGAACAAAAAAATTTTAAAAAAAAGATTATGAACACATTCAAGAAAAAAAAATCTCCATCTTTTATCAGAAGGATACACAACAAACACTCATTGAATTCCAACATAACCAACAAATTTCTCTCTTTTTTGTCTGATTACCTCAGATCAGAGTGAAAGATCGCACTTCGATCCACAAAAGATGAACACCAAACAATGCAAAGGCTGAAAAAAAAAACTCTGCCCACAAATACCTGATATAAATCCCCAAAACAAAAAATCTTGAGACAAGCTGAATGCAAGCACAGTCAAGAAAACATTTCGATGATTGCAACACCGTGGCAAATGAAAGGAACCCCAGCTCCGGCTAAATTCCCCTCGAGCACAAGGGGAACAAAAGATCGCAACCGATTCCACCCCCGATGAATATCTGGCGCCGTTCAGCCCGCAGAAAAGAAAAGGCTCCCCTTTTTTCTCCCGCAGAAATAGGGCGATAAAAAAGGATAAGAACGAACAGAAGAAACAAACAAACAAACAAAAATCAATTCCCCACACCCCCCAAGAAAAAAAAAGAGAGGAGGACAAAATCAGCACACAGCAAATAAATCGAGGGATAGACATAGAAGGATGCTGCTGCGGCGTTACTGCGTACCTATCCGGCGATCTGGCGCTCAAGCAAAGCGAGCAACCAATAGCTTCGGGGCGGCGGCGGAGGTGGGAAACCGCCTGAAGGAGGGGAGGCAGGGAGAGGAGGAGGGAGGGAGGAGGAAGGTTGATTCGGGCGGGCGCGCGCGGATATTCTCCCCCAGAGATGGCTAGGGGGGGGGGATCATGTCACTCGCGGGAGCGCGAGCGCGACGCGAGGGCCATCGCCGCCGCCATTGGAACGCAACAGAGAGAGAGAGAGAGAGAGAGAGGGGACGAACCGGGGCGTGGTCGGGTCGGGTCGGGTGGGGTGGCGTCGCGCTCGTCGGCGTCGAGATGGGTCGTGCGCGCGCACAGGCGAGGCGAGGCGTGTGGCGTGTGGCGTGGCTGCGGCGCGGGATCGGATCACGCCTCTGGTGTGTTTGTTTCGTTTTGTTTAGGGTTGGGTTGGGTCGGTGTACACGCGGCGGCGGCGGGGGAGGGGCGTGTTTGTTGTTCGTTTGTTCGCTGGCTGCTTCGGCCGTGCGGCCGCTCGGTTTCGGTGTAGAGAGGTCATCTCATCTGGTTGGTTTGCGGCTGGGGTTCATCTTCCTTCCCTGGGCGACCGGTAGTGTACTGTAGACTTTTATTTACTCGTATAGTGTACACGCATGGAAAGTATGGAACGAGTCGTCAACTGACCGCCGGATAGTCCATCCTTGCAGTTAGCACTTGCAAGGATGAAAAATGATGTCTTCCGACGCGTCCAGTTGAAGAAATATTTCTAACTATAAATATCCAGATTTATAGTAGTAATTTGGTTGTGTTTTAAGTTGAACAAAGAGAATAAAAGAACATCGTTTTTCACATGAAAGCTTACCAAACTGTTAAATGGTGTATTTTTTTTTTAAAAAATACTTTGTATAAAAAGGTTGCTTTAAAAATTCATATTATTATGTTTTAAAATAATTAATACTTAATTCATTACGTACTAATAGAAGTATTAATATATATTATTATAAGTTTATAAAGTTTTGAAAAAATATATCATTTAGGAGTCTTGAAAGTGCGCTTATAAAAGAGGAGGTATTAGTTTAGTAGCCTTGACTTTGCATTGTTTTAATTAGTTTGACCACTCCTGTTTTATAAATAAATTTTGAAGTATTAAAAGTATACTATATTTACCAAAGTATGTTACATGGTAAATGCATATAAATTTATAAATCCCATGCATGGTAATTAAAGAGATGATTAAAAAAGATATAGGTGGTCAAACTAAACTATCTATTTAGTCACAATTACCAGGGAAGGCGTGATGGATATGTTGCAGTATGTGCCTTAATTAGAAATATGACGTCTCCATGTCAATGTATATCATTGAAAACTGTCATTTTCGGTGTAGTACTGTGTTTATCAACGGCTATTATCTTTCAATAACCAATAAGAAAAGGTCTTTTGTTTGTAAGAGAGGAATGAAAGAGATATAGATTAGAAAGATATTTCCCCTTTTCTTTTTATCCTTTATTTCTTTTATTTCTATGGATCAAATATTCTTTTTTATGGAAGAAAAAAAATAGATTTAACTCATATTCACGAAGCCCTAGATTTTTGGGCCGAGCTGGATTTGAACCAGCGTAGACAAATTGTCAACGAATTTACAGTCAAGGTGATATTCGAACGCGGAATGACTTTGTTTGGTCGTTTTCATAATCCCTTCTGGTAGGACATTTGCCCTATCTGTTTTCTCATAGACAAAATCTGATTAGTGTTTTTTTAAATAATAAATAAAGGTGAATAGTCAATCTAATCACCCTTATTACTGATTATTAGGGCATGTACAAAAGTAGAGTCAGATATGAGCTCTACGTTATCTAGAGACTAGTCATCTTACAACAGTTAGAGATAATATGGTCTCTAACCATTAATGTATCAAAATACTTTTTATTACTCTCTTTTCCTTTCTTTTACCACCATGCAACAAAATTTGCTCTAATAAATGCTAAGAGTCGACTCTGAGCCATTGTCATGCATAACAACCATACCCCTTTCTCTTTCTTCCATGTCATCAAATTTACTTGCATGGCAATAGAGAGATACCACTAATAAAGACCATTGTACATGCCCTTATGTTTATCCTTGTGGCATCTAAGTGGGCCCAATGACAACTTTGAACTAAAATAAAATTTTGAAGTACTAATATAGGCAGATTAAAACATTAAAAGTCAAACTAGGTCTTAAATAAAACTTGGAGAACCACGTTAACTATTTACCCAAATAGTAAAATCTGATTACTATTTAGGCACAACAATCCCATTTTTATGAACTGCATTTGCCCTGCGACTCTTCTCATATACCAAGTCTCGATAACAGTGTGACATGCTAGAAAAGTCTCCAGTCTCTACTCTCTACCCATCCTTTAATCGATCCATTGCATGTCCTATATACGCAGTTAAAATTGGCACTTTTATTTGTGGCATCACTTCTCTCCAAAAGCATAATCTCATGCAAAAAAAAAGAGAGAGAGAGGGCATATATTATTTTTTGTTTTTTGCCGGGCCACCGGCGGTGAATAAACGACCCGAGGAATTTTATTAATAAAATTGACAGGTCCTCTAAACGAACATGACTTTACATCGTCCAAGTCAAAGCACACAGCATGCCGGGTATATATTATCTGTTGCAATTATACTTTCAGCCAAGTTGTAATTAAGCTTGCTAACAACTAAGTGGCAATAAGACTGTATATCCTTTTTCAATATTCACATCTGGGAAACGCATAAAGAGAGAACCATGGAACCCATGGCACCAAAAAGCAACCACAAATCGCATCAGGCTATGACTCAGAAATACTTATGCTTGATATATACCGTGAAAAGAATTGGTGAGATCACACCCAAATTTTTTTCCAATAATGAAAGGAGTGAGACTACCAATATCGTTGGTATTATGCTCTAAAGGAAGAATCAAACCATGCGTATCTCTCAGCACAAAGAGTGATAAAGAGTGTTATGGAACTTAAAGATGGGCACGGAGAATATGTTCTTCAGGTTTGTCTGGAGCAGGTACAGAATTATAAGGAGTTGCTTCCACTAAAGAAAATGCCCTAAAAATAATGCTTGAATAAAAAAAAAAGGTGCTCCATGCTCTTTCCATTCTGTCGTACATTCCGTCATTTCTAGCCGCCAGCTAGTATATCCTATTTCTATAGAACATTGCTATTGAAAAGGACAAAGTATGAGATTAACATGTTTCAGTGGAGGCTGCATGTATATGCATTTATGCATGAGTGAGCTGTTTTGTTTAGTTAGGATATACTCCTACATCGTTCCTTTTCTGTTCATAGTAACATGTTTCTCCAAATAGGTTCATACAAGTCCCTATTGGCCGGAACAAGGAATTCCTATTCTCAATCAGTTATTACCACTACACAAAAGGGAGAACAATGGCTATGTTTATGCATTTCCTTTACTGACAAACCCATTTACTACAAATATATTTCCCCTTTTGCTTTCAAATGTGTTTGCATTATCATTTTTAGGTGGTCCCTCTTACCATGTTATCTTCTTTTCTCAAAGAATGATTTTATGACTTTTAAGATGTGCCAATATTAATAACATTTTCTAATATGAATTTTGATACATCTTAATCTATATTTACAATACATAATTTCTGAATTTGGTATATGTATCTCTCAGAAAGGGTAAACTTCTCTCTCAAAAACAAAGAACACTACTTCTCGATCATTTTTTTGGAGTTTATCTCACTTCTTACTATGGGAATTAGACCATTCCTAGAAAATTTACATGTACTTCAATCATTTGAGTTAGGGATATTTTTCGCTATGTACGGTCCAGCAACTTTTGGCACGTAGACCAAGGTTAGCCGCACGAGTGACGCGGCGATATTAATTTCAGAGAGCCCAAGGCCATCATCATATACACAGAGAAGACGTAGTCGCCTCGCCTCGCCGCTTGTTCATACACAGAGAAGACGTCGTCGCGCTCGTCGCTTGTTGCCTTGTTGGCTTGGCTATTTGGCACGGCACGACAAAAACGAAAGAGCACTGGTGCCGATTCCCAACAATGTAACGGCCGTTTCGCTGGCAAAACGAAAAAAAGGCAGCAGACCAGAGCTATCTGCTGCCTCTTTCGGGCGCCAACCCAACCTGTGGCTGCAGTTGCCGTTGCGCTGTGTGCCGCGTCTGCGTTTCCGCGGCAGCGTGTGCAAGTCTCCCGGAGCCAACCAAATTGGTCGTCAGCTCGTGCCTTCACGTATCCGCCATGCTATGCACGCGAACCATCCTGTAATACTGCAGCAGATGGCATATGCGAAACTGCAACCCAGATACCACAAGCTTTTTGGCCATTTCCCCTCCTTACCAATCCTACGTGAAACTACCATGAAATCAAGCAAGCTGGACAGCTTCTTGCTTTCTATTTTTCTGTCAACCAAGACAGGTGTCACGGCGATCTCCTCCGTATAGGCGAGTTTCCAGGCATATGTCTCCGGCGCCGAACCAATCGGCGCCGGCCATCTCCGCCCTCTCGAGTTTAGTCACTTCAAACATCTCGTTGTCGAATAGAGGCAGGTCGCATCGCGTGATTGGGCCGCCTCTTTGGTCTCCCCTTTCCGTGTGTGAATGTCTCTGCATTTCTGGCTTCTCCCACAGTGCTCTCCGCTCTGCTCGACGTCGGCGTCGCGATCATCGTTTCCGGTCCTCAGGTTTGGGGCTGCGTTGCGCGCCACTCGACCGGAATGGCAGCCGGATGCTTCCAAGGTTGACGCTCCATCCAGCTCGCCGGACAGCAACGGCTCGGCGGACGGCCGGAGGCGGCAGGATCGGACGGCGGAGGAGGGGTTGGACCACCCGATCGACGGCTGGATGGGCTCCTTGTCTCGCATCGGTAGCACAGGGAGTGGCTCAGTTCCGTCCTCGCGGCAGCCACCACTTTACAGATTGTCACTTCCCAGGTGATGTAAATGTGCAGGCGCAGCGCTAGCTGCCAGCTCGCTTTCACGATCGAGCTGACAGTCCTCGATGGGCATTGCCAATTATTACCATCAGGAAAAGAACAACAAACAGCATCATGGCTTTCGATGCTCACGAGCTGCTGACAGGAAAGTGGCAACCAAAGATATACTCCATTCGTCAAAAAAAAAAAACAACTTTAGACAAAAAAAATTATCTAGGTTCATTCTCAAAAGTTATCTTTTTTTTTTTTTGACAAAGGAAGTATCTGAGAGCAGGACACGGTAATTCTGACAATGGATGAGGATGGCCATCGTGACAAAGAAAACCACCAAACGACTTGGAAAGTAATAAAGGGTCCGTGGCCAGCTCTGAAGGGCGTCGAGTACATTCCAAACTCAAACGCTTTCAGGCGTTAGCCATCCAACATCAATAGTTAGCAATCCATGTTGATGACTATTCAGAACCATGCCTAATTGCCTTAACAGGGGGACACGCGCCCACGACACATCAGTGAACAGTGCAATGCATATGGCTATTAGGCTATATGCTGTTGTGATAGTGATTAGCTACGATAGACAGCTACGTGTACGTGATACTACTTTTTAACAAACATGGTGTAATTTTGAATTTTTTTTAAACTCTATGGTGCATCTTGTAAATTTATGCTTGTAGGAGCCTTTACCAAAGAAAGAAAGTGTGCGTCAATTCAGAAATATACTCCCTCCGTTCCAAAATAAGTACAGTTTTGCACTGTTCACGTTCAACGTTTGACCGTTCATTTTATTTGAATTTTTTTATGGTTAGTATTTTTATTGCTCTTAGATGATAAAACATGAATAGTACTTTATGTGTGACTAAATATTTTCAAATTTTTCACAAAATTTTCAAATAAGACGGACAGTCAAACGTTGGACACGGATATTCACGGCTGCACTTATTTTAGGACGGAGGTAGTACATGATACTGCCATGAAATATACGTGTTACCTCTGATGTTACTGTTGTACAAAAATACATCTCCTAATATTGTAGAATAACATTCTGTATGATAAAACTTTCCCATCCAGGGTACGAACTAAGTATTGACCTGTCAAAAGGGCCGAGGAAAAAACCTCCTCGAGAGAAACAATTTCCCCCTGCAGATTCAGGCACTTCATTAATTAGCCAAGGAAAAATGGCATAACAATATCATGAAATGCAAGGTAGTAAGAAGCATTCGGTACTGAGATGAGTGAAAAAAAAGTAGATTCATTGATAAAGTAAAAAAACTATCTACAATAACCTTCCCAATGTACATACTTTACATATTAGTGTGCAAGGCATACTTACAGAAAGGGGAAGAATGCACACTCCAATCTGCTTCAACAAACTAATGGTACAACAATATGGCAAGTAGCTGATTCTCTGCAAAAAAAACTGCCATGGCCTCCAAGATGTTGCTCTAAGGGGAAAATCCCCCCAAAAAATGCTATTTACATTGTATTCCTGCGCCTCTCCATCTACTATGTGTTAAATTAACACAGGTTAAACTGTTATCCGTCCAATTGATTTCCCAGTGCCATCAGCACTCATGACACTGGTCTATTTTGCAATGTAAGATCAGAAACAGATGAAAGCTCCTCCTCCAAAGTGTTAAGAAGATCAAGGTACTCTCTGAACACATCATGTGACTGCAAGTTGTTTGTAAGCAAGTCAGGGACATTCTTAGAAAGTTCATAAACCGTACAAACAAGAATATTTTATGATTGTAAACCTGTAAGGTGATGTTATATGCTTTCCACAGTCGCAAATCATGTCGAAAGAGATCCACCAAAACCTGAGAAACAAGAAAGCATGTGTGCAGCAAGGATGAGTATGCTTCTTACAAAACATTCAATAATCAATCCATGGTAAAAATCCAAAAAACAAAATGAGGAAAAAAAACCCTGCATTGTCAGATGCAGAAGCCTGCCACAAGTTAGTCAAAAGAACAGTATTTTCTGAAATTGTGTGCACAATTGTTGAACATGTGAAAGATAGGCAGTACCTCAGCGCGTCTCAATAAAGTTGCTAGCACAACAATCCATTCCTTAAACTTGACAGAACACATGTGAGCAAGAAGGAACTCAGCATCAAGCCGACTTTGAAGAGTGTCCATTTGAAGCTGTCATCAGAATATCAATTATAAATGAGAACAAAGATCCAAGGCAGATAATAATATCAGCGAGATTGTTCTGGTATATTGGTTGCTCAGGTATTGAGTGATTTACTCAAGTAAGCACTATTCTATTTGTTAAACAAACATCCATAATTACTAAGCTTGCCCAGATTCGTAATTTTATATCATGAACAATCAATTCAGTACATTATCAAGCTTTGTAAAAGTACAAACTGCAGGAGAAAACAGCAGAAAACTCGAGAAAAATAATCCAAGACCGCAAAATCTTATCTAGTGTGTGATCTTGGTTAATACCTGTTGTGTTGCTTTGTTTTAAATTGAAGAATTTCATCTTTCAGGATTACAGAGCATTGAATTTTTTAAAAGAATATTTTTTTTTGCAGGCCCAAATGTTATTTATTATGAAGAAAAAAAGTAGAAAAGCTAGACATGATTCCTATATTGATAGGCAAGACAAAAAAAAAATCATGTAATTTTTTCTTTTTTTACAGGAAAATTTGCTACTAAATGGAACACACTAAATAATGCTTCATGGTTTGTTAACGAGACCTTTTGTCCAATCAGTTCAAGTGCAGATGCAAAATTCTCTAGTCGAGCAGACCCTAGCCTTTCTCGCTGAAGATATTCCTGCATAAAGTTATAAATATATTAATAACATGTGGTTTTGGATCAACAAGACTGGTAATGATGATGAACAGTGAAAATCTTACCACAAGATCAAACTGAGTTCCTTTCACAAAAGCAACCAGCTTAGAAAGCTCCTTGCCAGACATCAAATAGCTAGCATGGTTCTCCAGAATATTCATGACAGAGGCAATATGTGGGCTGAGCTCTTTCATTGAGTTACTGCACAAAGAAAGATTTACAGATGACATATTTTCTAATAGAAACTCTATAGCCTTTTAAGTTAACTTCACAATGTACCTTCTCAAATCAGAAGATTGTCTCTTGAATGGTGAACGTAATTGAAAGTAGCTCAGAAACCTTGGAGAAAGCTTTTCAGAGTCTGTACTGGCATTTTCAAAGTCTCTGCCAGATCTTAGCAAGAAGCGAACCTAGGTACATGAAGGTATCCCCTTACTCATCTGTGGCATTTTATTATAGGAAATTAAAAAGATATAGCATGAATATCATACCAGCTCCCCAGCAAGCTCATAGAGAGATTCATCAAGTGTAGCCTGGATAGTAACAAGCACTAAAAAGTGAGAACTGGAAATGTGAAACAAGTAAACGTACAGATCAAAACCAGCTGACAGTGAGAAGGTAAGAGAATCACTTGTAGCAAACGGAGTGCACAGTACTGACTGACAGCAGGGCCTTCCAGCTTCGCAATGACCTGTAATAGCAAAGCCATTTTCAGCAATAGTTCTTGCAGGTATTGATGACCCTCTGTTGCATATAACTAGGTTTATCAAACTTAATAGATGAAGAAATTGTCTGTTCATGCAAGCAATAAATACTGGACTTTATAGTATTTAACGTCTCTAGAAGAGTTTACCGTACCAGAATGTAGCAAGCAGCAGTCCTATACCATCGCCGTTGGAAGCATTCCTCAAACATCCTAGAACATGAGGGATCAGTTTTACTAAAAGAATTAGCAGAATTATTGTATTGTATTCCAAATCTTGATCAAATTGAGACACTGTTGGTGGGTAAGTTTTGTTTTCACTAAATTTCATTTTGATTCTGATCATTTCCATGATACAAACACTGTTTGCACCATGGTATAAAAGAAGAATATGTGAGGTACTTTGGACTTTGGAGATGTTTATAGACAGAATGAAGAATCAGATCTTAAAAAATAACTGAAAAAAATAAATCAAATGCCACTTCTCTCCACTCAAACAACAAGGCAGCACACTTACTCTGTGGATCGTCCAGCTGCATGGAAAAGATCTGCCCAGTGCCGACCATCAGTTTTCCTAGCAACACTGACTACAACATCCATGTATTCTGGAAAGTTTCGAAGTAGGTCACATGTCTTGTCTAGAAGAGACTTCTTTGCAGGTTCATTTTTCTGCGAAAGCTGGTTTTTTGAAGCACTTTGGCTGCAATTGGCAAAAAAAGCCACCAGAAAATAGGATACAGAATAATATTTCAGCAAATAACACAATAGAATGAAATCTAGCAACTCGGTACACAAATAATGCAAGAATGCTACCATTACCAAGTTAGAACCAATATACCTTGATATCTCTGCATCAAATACCGTAAACAGGAGCCATTCCAAACATCTAGAGAAGTGAGGTTTCTCTGCAGACAAGTTTGCCAAACGCAGAGCTTCTTCATGTTTGTCTCTCTGGTTTCAAAAATTTTACAGAATGAGAGATGCATAGGGAAATGATTATTGCCATATGAGTTTGGCAAACCATGCATAGTTAATGGTCCATAATACATAAAATGATGCAAGTAGCCAAGTAAAGGCTCCCTGTAAACAGGGGATATTCAAAGTGAAAAAAAAATGTTTTTTTTTCCCAAGGCTATGGTTCATAATACATATGGCTTATTCTATGTGAAAACTGTTTCTTTTAATAGAAATTTCAGAATATAATATTTCGATCCCTTTACAGAAGTGATTGATAGAAGAGCTAGGTAAGTGCTAGATTCGCAACAAACAAAATGTCTTGCAGCACAACTCGGCAAAGGAAGATATTACAATATAGAAACTATATGAGAAACTACATGACAGTGCAGTGGTTTGTAAATTGTTACAAAAGAGGATCTCATATAAACGGACTAAACCAGAGGAAAGAACAAGTATGGCCAACAACCCATAAAACCTATACTCTTCTTGTTTCAGCAATGAGTTCTACGGAATACTAAAAAGTGCAGAGAAAAGGTGGAAGAACCAAAGGAAAATGATGAACAAATGCGCACAACCTAGTGAATTGGTTCATTCAGCCAGCAGAGCAACAGAATAGAGACACCTTTATACAAATTAAAACTAGTGGCCTGAAACAAGGTTTAGATGCTCAAATAACAATAAATGGTGGCAGACCACTTTGGGTGCTCACGTCAGTCTTGATAAGAAATCAGGTCATTTTCTATTTAACCATGACAATAAACAGGTTTTTCGCTTGGTTTGCACCATCACATAATCCTTAGTGAGAACTCAATTTCACGTGTAATATTACTAGGAGTCAAATTTTCTTGACTAAATGAAGATTTCATGATTTACCACTCTTCTTGCATTAATGTCATATAGTTCCTATATATAGCATTTCTATATAAAAAGAATTATGTTTTGATTTACCTGAAGGAGATGCCGCAGCAAACAATGCAATATTGTTTGGGCTTGAGGAGAAGGTTCAAAGCATGGAAACTCTGCAGTCGAGAAGGACATTCTCTGAGAAATACCAACAACTACACCAACATTTGGAAGAAGACCAAGCGGATACACCTCACGGTCAAATTCAAGCTCCGGATCCAGCTGCAGAAACAAATAGCATGTTCTCCATTAACTTTGAATACTACCACCAATAAGAGTTCAATGCAAGAAAGAAAACAACATATGAAACTATTATGATTTTGATCAAGTTTTTCCCCAAAAAAAATTGATAAATTCACAGAGTGGATCGCAAAACTCAAAAGAGATGTCAATACTATCACAAGATACAAAATCTGTACCTGCAAGAAATCTTCTTGTTTAAAAGGATTTTCTCCATGGGATGGGTACCACACCTGCCAAAAAAAAAGAGAAGGGTTGGATAAAAGGATAGCAAGATGTGGAAAGATGTTCGATCTATTAAGAGAGACAAGCATAATTCCTTAAAAATAATAAAGAAGAAAACAATAAAACTAACCTGCATCCCCTTATGGCCATAGTCAAGCCATGAAACCTCTTTGATAAGATTACCCTTCTCTTCGTATTGGGAACAAGTGACCCAAAATAATTCAACTGAATTAGTAAGTGATTGTTCATGTCCATCATCCATGTCCAACACAGAAAGTTCCCCATTCATCCGCAAGATTAGGCATCTGAAATATATATAACAAAACAAATAAAAATTAAGGAGAATAGAAATCATTTACAATTTTAACATTTGAAAAAAGTACCTTGAAGGTTGTTGGGACAAGTCAGAAGATCCATTAGTATCATGTTTCGGCTTTCCTTCATCAGTTGGTTCAGGAATGAAGCGCATCGAAACAGGTGGACTCTTTGGACTCATGATTGAAAGTTCTCGGACTGTTGAAAGCTGCTGACCCAAAGAAAACAACAAGGTCAAATGAAATGGACAACACATTCGGTGCAGTGGTTGAAAATATTTTGCTTCACCTGTAAAACAGGACTACTAGCAGGTGACAATTCTCCTGATATCACCACATGGAAAATATGCACATCAAATGGACTGTAGGTAACAAGTATGTAGTCCTGGAAGACATCCATGACAATTGGTCGACCAAGAAGTGATTTCCGGTAAAGTAATGAGCTATAATCAAGGTGATATCTTGGGAAAAAGAGAAGCTCATACCTAAGACAAGTGCAACAAACATGTCATATAACTAAATAGATAGCAAGTCATGCCCGCATATTGGTATTTAAATAGGAATAAAAAGCTAGGAGATACAGAAGATGGCTCTCTGATATATTAGCACACTATGCATTTCAGCTAGTATTCTGTGAGTTCAAGCACCATGAGATTTGTGCATGAAACTCTCAGCTCAAATGTAATGACAAGTAAAAATTGTCATGTGTCTGTTAAGAAAATCTCAGGCTGAAGACAATAAACAGACAGAAACAGAGAAAGTGAGGAAGCAAGACTAACGTATTTGATGATTCAATGTAGTTGCATACAATAACTATTTTGCCAAGCCACAACAAGCCTTTGCATTGAATCTTTTGCTCTTGAGTAACATCCCCAAAAACACGCCACCTTTTATTGCGCAAATCATACAGCACTAGCCCATGAGAGCCTGCAACTGCCAAGTACATACCATCATTGCTTGCAACAACATGAAGAACTGGCCAATTCTGTGAAATATAGGATGCCTGCTTCCAGAAAAAAAAACTATATTATAACAAGTCTTGAAATAAGATGCATTGAGGCATTTTTGCCTCCTAAATAAGTTTGATGAAATCAAACACTTAACTGGAACATTAAGATGCAACATCTTAAGTTCATCAGTATCATCCGGTTGTACCAATAGGATTCGATCTTCACCATAAAGAATCTGGCGAGTATATGTTGTGCCCAAAAGTCCTCTGTTTAGGCAACATTTGGCAAATGAGAATGCAAGAATCCTTTCTGACAAGTTTTCTTCAACTGCAAATAGTTTATATCCATAATCATCCCACTGAATGTGTGACGTCCCTCCCATTAGAGGCTCAAATTTTAAAGCACTAGGTTTAACCATTGGAGATGAGGCAGAATTTGATCCGGTTTGACGAATTGTGCACATCAAACGACATCCAGATACAGACCACACAGTAAGTCCCCTAAATTTCCATCCAACTGCAAAAGCACAATTGTCAGGCGTCCAAGATATACAAGTAACAGGACCAGTATCTTCCACTGAATACCTACAATTTTTCCCAAAGGAAAAAGGGACAGTTATATATCAGCTTTAACGGAATAACTGAAATGCATTGCACAGTAAATACACAAAATCACACATAGTAATGAATCAGAGACCAAATATTAACTAATTGGTACGTCTGCATAAGTGGAGCAATCAAACCTAAGTACATAACTGGAGAAAACAATATACAGATTAAGTATTTAATCTAAACCACCAGGCAATCCAAATTTGCATTGAAGATATGTAATTAAATGGAAAGTAACCTAATGTTCTGTTACTGTGCAAGCAGGATATCCTTCTAAATAAGCACAAATTTGCAACTATCCACCAGAAAATTAGGCAGTAACAGCTATCCACAGAACTAACAAATAGTTGTGTGAGACTTACCCCCAATCATACAAAGAAATTGTGCGGATATGCCTTGCATTTTCAGCTAGGTCATATAAATCAACAACACCTCTACTGCACCCAACAGCAAGAATCTGCTGATCAGAAGCCACAGAAGTGCACATCGCGTCATCAGTGTTCAACCATCTCTCTACTCTGATGCTGCTGGTTTGCTTTAATCCCTTCTTACCAACTGCACAAAGTCCAATCTGACAGCCCGAGTACAAAGCAACTAGCAATCTTAGCTTCACTGACAACTCAACATGAATAATGGTGGAATTCCCTGTGCAGCAGGGTGCAGGACTTGCATCAGAATTTTCTCGCAAACTAGGCGGGTCAAACACCAAAGCATCTCCGACAGTGGGAGTTCTGTTGGATGAACATGCGGAGCAGCCAAGCTTGAAGCTGTCCGAGAACTGCAAACAAACAATACATGGAACATACTAAGCATAGCAAGCACAGATCAAGCAAGGAGATAACTATTTCCCCATCTCATCAAACAATAACATAGAGAAACAGTAGCAGAATACATTTCCATGTACCTCAGCATTCCAGGAGATGACCTGCAAGTGCCCATTGGACAGTCCAAGCAGCATACTCTTGCTGTCGCACACGAAATTGCTCCTGCAGCATATGATATCACACTTGCAAAAGTTAGCTCCCCCGCATGAATTCGGTATCTCGTTTTTCGGATAATAAAGAAGCGAAGCGAATACCATACGTTATGAAAGCGTCATTGGCGAGAGGAACCTTCTCGACGATTATTTGCGATATGGAGGCGAGGCAGAGCCCCGGTTGTGGCTTGCCTCCGATGATCAGCGGCTTCCCCGAGAACTGCAGCTTGTATATGTACAGGTAGAAGGACGAGGTCTGCACGTACAAACCACTCGATGAGTCTCTGCGCGTAGAGAGCGAGCAGGAGCAAAGCGGGGGGAGAGCAGTGTGGGGGTGGCTGACCAGGACGGCGACGGTCTTGGCGTCGGGGCTCCAGACGGAGTGGGCGTTGTCGCCGTGGGCGGCGAGGGATTCCGGGGAGCGGTCGAGGCGGGCGAGGCGGACCTTGTGGTGGGCGGCGGACCAGAGGTGGAGGGAGGCCGGGCAGACGGCGAGGAGGTAGCGGCCGAGGACGCGGAGGAGGACCACGCGGTCGGAGTCCCCCGGGTCGAGCGGGATCGACTGCGGCCAGCCATACGCCATGTACATCTCGGCGGCGGCGGCGGCGGCGGCGGGGTCCTCGTCGCCGGGCGCGCGCCTCGCCGGTGAGGTTGTTGGGCGAGATGCGCGAGGGGGGAAGAGATCTGGGAACGAGCAGGTGGGTGCGCGATGCGGGAGATGCAGCAGTTTTTCTTTTTTACTTTTTCCTTTTCTTTTCTTTTTCGCTTTTCTTTTTTTAAAAAAAAACTGATCAGATCAGAGCGTCACATATTGCCGTCAGATTGCTTCCCGTCGCCGAGTGAAATGAACAAGTTTAGCGTCCCAACTGATGAAACGATCCAGTTAAGAGTTTTTTTTTCCTTTTTTTCTTTTTCCAACCGGAACTAAGCTGCTTGATCTTTCAGTGAACGTCACGTATTGCCGTATTGGTACAGTGTAATAATAATAAATGTATAATGACTGGAGTACGATAGCTCTATCAATTTTCAGTGCCACATTTTCGAAGAGTTTGGTGCTGCCTTTCAGCTGGCAGCATTTGCGGGTATTAGCAATTTAGCATAGGCGATTTGGTACTTTTGGCAGAAAGATGGATGATAAATTGACGTAAGATTACACCAATCTTCTATACCAAGATGTAATGACAGTAATCACGATGCATAAACCACACAACGTTAGGGCTTTACATAGTGCTAGTATATTCTGTATTGGATCTAGTGCCATGGAGTTCTATAAAAAAAGATCTCAAAAAAAAATATAGTGCCATGGTGAGGCCCACTAGTGATGCTTGCAGCGACTTGTACAGCAATTGTTTTTTTCTGGGATGACTATATGATCTGGACTTCTGGAGTATGAAGAAATGACACCGCTCGTATGAAAGGACAACGGGCATAAATGTGACGTAGTATTACTCCCAGAAAACAATTAAACCCCACAACTAAGTACTCCCCAGTTAAATTAGCTCACCTCGCAAGTTTCTTTTTAACCCCATCTGAGTAGTACAGAACAGAACAAAGCCAGAGAGGAACTCGAACTCATTGACCCACATGATAGAGTCTCCTGGTGTACTGTTACATGACAACCTGGCCTAGTGCCTTTTAGAGGTTACCAACACGTCTTCGCACGATGAGCAGTGCAACACCGTGCATTCTAACAGAGTAACAGGCAACACGATCAGGCCAAGGTAAATCACGAAATTTTAAGGCGTCTTCAAGCTACTTCTCGTTCAAAGCTGCCTTATTTCCATTTACCTGAATCCTGGCCAGTTTTAGAGCCTGGCATGCTGGTCACAGTTTCACCACAACTTCAGCGGATTGACGACGACCCGCGACAACTTCAGAACTAGACCAAAGAATTGCATTTGCACAGGTCGTCAAAACGGGACATGGCTTAGTTTCAGGCTGCCAACATAATTGCCTTGACTCCTGCCAAATGTAACGGCGTTACTCATACTGTATGGTATGGTAAGGATTTCAGCTTCTTTTTTTTTTTACGGCACGGCACAAGATGACATGCTTCCGTCCTTTTTCAGCAAAAGAGATGGCACTTACTGCGCATGAGCTGCAAGCTGTTGTGAATCAGATAAAAATGATCATTCCATATCAGAAGATTCATCCTCATCCTCATCCTCATCTTCATCAAGGATATAAACCAAAGCATGCCGCCGAGATGAAAAGACACAAGCCACTCCTCTTGAGGCTGAAAACAACATCCAGGAAATGTGAACTCTGGCATCACGTATCATGTTAAGTGAGTAGCAACTTAAAACTCTTGTATGGAAGTAAACACTCAAACTCACCACTGACTGCCAGTGGAGTGGACACGGCGTGAGGTATGCTACGAACTTTTTTCCCATAGTCGGTGTCCAACTGGAGCTCCTGTGCCTACATTCATTGCGTTACGGAAATGAAGATATTACTTTCTGACAGTAAAAGTAAGGTCGATTTCAACAATTATGTGTCATTTAATCACTACAATTGATGAGATAATATATGGCCTTGGTCACGTAGTAATAAGTTGTGTTTGTGATAACACAATGATGAATAGGAGACATGCAGTAGGTTATTGCCAATACCAGGTTACCGTTTAATTATTAGTGTAAGAATGCTATGAAATAAAGTGGATGCCAAAAGAATAAAAGAGGAACATTTGCAAAGATCTTACCGACAGCTCTTGTACACTGTAAATATTTGAAGGGAACATCCTTGAGAGAGGCACAAAAGAGAAGTTCTCCATCTGCAGCATTACAATATAAGAACTTCCAGGACCATCAGAATATGACCTTTCACTGAGTAGTACAACAATCTGGCTGTCCTGTTTTAATATAACCATTTCTTTTGTGAGCTATGAGAAATAATGTATAAAAGGTGAATTATCGCCAAGATGCAGCAGGGAGTACTACCTTGTAAAGAGATACATCAACGCACTCATATTCATCAGGTATATGCAATAGAAATCCTGAAGAAGATGGTCCGCTGGCAGAAGAGTTAGAGAAGTCCTTTATCACACCAATGCAATTCTTCAAGTTCAAGGATCCATCGGGTATCTTGAAGCATATATAGTCAGTCAAGCTATATGAAGACCCACTATTCTGAGAATCTTCATCCTGCTATTTTGAATAATCATTTAATATTATGATAAGAATTTAACACAAACAATATAGATAAGGTGAAGACAAGTACAAAACAGAAAAATAAATATCACTTTTTTATTACATTATATTTGAAGTCAACTAAGAGCTATGTCATTTGCTAAAGATGAGATGGGCACCCGAACCACTCCTAGGACCATGGGTGAAGAGATTAAACATCCTTCCCCGAGCCAGCCTATTGCCTATTGAAGTGTTCTCATATGTTCATTTTATAATGATGCTGTAGTGGAATAAGCAGAAGTCACCAAAAAAACATGAACCTTATAGAATGACACTGATGTCAGAATACAGGTTGATGACAAGTCAACCGATGACGTGATAGGATAAAGAGGAAGCAATTCTTGGCAATGTATTTGTGAAGAAATAGTGGTGAATGGCATCGAGAAAGCCTCCTCCAGGCTGAAACATATGATAGACAAAAATTGATTACATTTAAGCAATGAGCAATGGATTTAAAATGGCTATGTCTATATAAACAGAGAACACAAGGATTTGACTGTCAAAACTCTGATTCAACTGTTTCCAGATAACAAATTATGTAGAAGGAGTAAAAAATAACTCTAAGATAATCAAAAAATAAAGTAGTAAACTGGAACCTTTCATCCAGCTCATTAAATTGCTTCATTAAAGTCTTTTCCAAAAAATGGGTATCTGTAAATCCCCCCAAAACTACTAGCTGCTCAAGATGTCTTACAGTGTCCCTGAAAAGGCAGGTTTAACACGATTAAGAAATGCAGAAAAACACAATAACACAAAGAGAGAAACTAAAATAGTGATGAAAAAACACAACATAAGAACAGGCAACAGCCCTTTGTAATTTAATAGCTTTTGACTATTTTCACTGCTTTGGATTCAGGGCACAAGAAGAGTGTACACATCAAGATATTCAACGACTGGATTTCATGTGAAGCAATAGTATTGTTTTCTTTTTGAAAGCAATACAGTACCCAACACCAAGAGATAAAGTATATATACACAAAAAAGACTAAAAATTATACATTTGAAAGTTATGTTCGTGTTCGGAGGTACTCTCACACATAACCATGCACTTGTGTAACGTTTAAATATACTAAACAAGTTTTGACATATTATGCACATTGCAAGGTAACTTGTCAACAAGGATTGGTGAATTACTAGCTTGCAAACAGGTAACATAGATATGTGCAGAACACAATACCAAATTGTACATAGGAAACAATAACCAACAATCGGCATGTTTCATTGTTACTTACAAATCACACTCAAATCTTTGATTTGCATCAAGTAACTGTTTGATTGGATCCTTATCAAGAAGGAACTTCAGAAAAAGCACCACGAGTTCACTACAAAAAAAAAGTGACACCCAGGTGATTAATGACAAAGTGTTTGACTCACAACTTGAGCATGAAGGGAATAATAGAAGGGGAAAAGACAAAACCTGTTCGCAGCTGGAACTTGATCGGTTGGTTCACTTAATAAAATCTTAACACACTTTAAAACCCAACTGAAGAAATTTTGGAACTGAAAAGTATATCCATAAATGGAAGTTACTACAGAATAACCCTTAAAGTCGTAGCACAATCTATAATCATAACATCATGTAGGAAAGAATAGAGCATGGAAGCAAATATATCAAACAATTATCCCCCTAGTAAACATGCTCAACATGGATTACCTTGGTTTGCTTGAACTTAATCTTCAGTCTAATGATGTTGTGCATGTAGTTTCAGAATATGACATCTTACCTCAGCAGATACTACATGCACCAAGATGTCATATTCTGATACTACATCAAACCAACAGAATCTAGAGTCTAGAGTACAGATAATAACATTGAATTCAGAAAATGTAATTGGTTGTTTTAACAATCAGTGCCAAATTAGCAGACAAATGTGTGTCCAGTCTATATTGTCTACTAATACTTCGAGCACACAAAAGGTTCTGTGCACTTGACCAGGGAGGGGAATCTCGGGCAGAAGGCCTAAGTTAAAACAGAGGTTGAGAATTGAGAACATGGCAAGAAAACAAGCAGAGAAGAATGGTACCAGATAAAGAACAGTAGCCGCAACCCTTGAAAAACGCTCAACTTGAACAACTAGCATTCCTATCTTCTCAGTCACACCATAAATAAGCTTTTCATCTAACCCAACGTTCTGAAATCGTGAGCGCCATCTTGCAAGGCCTCTTAGTTCCGCAAGTCTGAATGAAATAATTTCAACTGCAGGCTGTAATAAGCAAGTCATTCAGCGTTCATAACAGACTAGCTGATATTCCTTGCTTGGATCTCAAATAAATGATACCATAAATTGTAGAAATAAAACTACTCACTCAAAATATGATAGTACCATGTGTAGCAGAAAAAGAAAAATATGAAATTGCCTAGTTTACAAAGTACAAACTCTAGAATACCCATTACCCAAAGCAACACAAAAAAAAAAGGTAGAGACTGTGACATCAGCTGGAAGTGGCTAACCTGAAGATGCTCACTGACAACAACACGAAGTTCTCGTCCAGCACTATCAACAGCCTTAGCTATTCTCTTGAGAGCCTATCCACATAGGAAACGACAAGTTTAGACAGGTTCTCTCAAAAAAAAAAAGAGAAGAGGATAGGGAAGAAGTTTTTATGGAAGCGAGAAATACCGCTTCACCAAGTGAGCTGACTAAAAATTGGTGAAGTGCTGGACTTGTACGTGTACCAAACAAAAGGCTCATAAACTCATCCTCAGAGCTAGATTCCATCCCTGTATTCACCAACAGAGACAGAATAAAGGGGGCAGACTTCTTGAGGTGATGGTTATGACTTGAAAATCGATCATACCATGGGCAGCTATCAGAGAAGGCAAGGCGCTGAATTTTTCATTAAATAAGTTCATGGCACTTGACCATTGTTTGGCCATCATGGATAGGGAAGAACGGACAACTTCAACCAGATCTTGAATACTTGATGCTTGTTGGGAGATCTGATGTAGCTCATTTTTCCTTCACAGCATTGATGATACACAAACAGATTAAAAAAATTTAGTAGGTAAAGCACTAAAGTGATATTAATATCCTTGCAAACCTAGTAAATAAACACAGGTGCTATGTTTTTGAGGAATCAAACAAGAAAGATGTTTGCACCTAGCTATAAAACAGAATGATGGTTCTATGACTAGGTGAGCTTATCAAAATTAGTCATTTCAGGTGTCAATGAGTGTGTTGCTCTAGCACTTCATGTGGAAATCTCCATCATGTTTTGAAGTTACCATAAAACACCATGCAACAAGATAATGGTTTCTTAACAACAACAGAAAGTAGTCACAGGCAATCAAACTATCATGACATTACCTGTTGAAAAAGATAGAAGTGTCCAAATGCAGACAATGTAACCCAGTAGAAATGTGATTACTATGAGAAAGGTTGTCAATATCAATCAGCTTTCCAGGGCACAGGAGAACTAACTGATGGAGGTTTCCTGATAAACAGACCTGATGTGAACGCCATTGTCAGAATTTCATACTTAATATGTGCTTATGATTTATGAAACAAAAAATTCATTACCTTGCTTATGGAAGCATCCTGAAGCCGGTAACTAGTTTTGTTTCCAGAGGATTGGAAATGGATAGGAACCTCATTAATGTTCTGAAATGCCATAGACATAAAATTAGTTATCCATGAGACACTGAACTAGATAAATGAACTAAGGCGTCATGGCTTACAAACAAAAAGAATTAGGTAATAGGCATCAGTTGATCAATGTCCACAGACTCGATCCTTAAAACTACATGGAACAAAGAGAAATGAAAGAAAAGTTGAAACACACTCCACCTGCTTGTGTGCGCATTAAAAAAAGAAAAATAAAAACAAGCATGCTTTATCATAATCCCAGTAGGAAAAAAAATAGAACACTCCCAGCACTTTTGCCCAGTGAGTTTAAGTTTGAAAACACGTCTATACTTCAATTATGAAAAATTGCCGGTATCCAGGGAAGTTGGCCTCCCTGTTCGAGAAAACAGCATGATGCAATTTTCCAACAATATCAAAAATAATGTTGCCACAGTATCTTTTAGTCATTCTTCCAAAACGATATATTTCTAAGAACTCTGCAGCTAAGCAAATCCTTTTATAAAAATGAACTGTTCCATAATATCACGTTTGCAGTTAGGGTTGGAAATTTTCACTATGACACTAACTAAGCGATAGCCTTCAGAATCAAAATGAAGAGTACCTGTTAACATTCTATTGAATTCAAATTAGAGGAGCACTCAGGTGTTGTATCTACTTACTATCTTTCCAACTGGGAATATTCCAAAGATACTGAAGCAAATGCAACCACCTTTATCACCACTGCACAGAATATTAAAACGCTGGCAGGAAGCGCTTGAAAATTCCTGAATGGATTCTTCATTCTCATCTGAAAGACCAGTGTCTCCAGAACTCAGCCCACCGATCCTAGGAATCACAGGAGCGGGAGGAAAGAAGCGTGCAGTGCGGTCTTCATAGGATAACAGGCCATCCTTGTCGGTCTGCGGTCATTAGCAAAGAATTGTGATAGTGAACTTTTACAGTGAAACCCTAGACTAAGAGTATTGTAAAAGTGAATGAATTCATCATTTGTCGCTTTATGTATTGCTGAATAATGCTTTAAATTGAATGATGTACTCTATAACTATAATAGTATGATGAGACACATTTTTATTTATACATCATTACATTATATATAGAGAAATAGTTGGTGTTTCCAAAAGATGGAAAAGGCAATGGTATACCCTTGATAGAAGCTCATCTTCTGCCCAGTTCAAACATACAATGGCAACATCATGGGATTTTATTCTTCTTAGCATTTTCCCATTCTGCAATCAGCACCTTCACTTAAACATGCACAATGAGGTAAAGTGAAATAAAAGTAACAAGTGGACAGAATCACAACATAAAATTGGTTCTACAAACAAAACATTTGATAATGACCATTCAATTACAAAGGAATTGCTATAGGTTGAATGTATTAAAAAATGGTGCTCAACAGGAAAGGAAGTAATTGGAAATGTTCTTTGTGTCTAGTTCGAGTGTCATTTATAAATCTCTACCAAAGTACCAATAGCTCCTTGGAACTATTTCTCACAATGGTCCCTACACAGTTCAACCAATCTGCTCATAAAAGCTGGTGAGGGTGAAGATCAAGATCAAGAGAAAATAAGCAGGGGATCAGGTTTGTATGATATATGAGTAAATGTCCAAATCCAACACAAAACAAAAAGGGATCAACAAGATTTGAACATCCATTTCATTAATATACACACCTCAACATCATGCAAAAGAACCAAACCATCTTCGGTACCAAGTGCTACTATTTTACCATCGGGGCTCCAACAAATAGATGTGATGCACTTCCCTGAAAAATAAGCAAGATTTTAGTATAGCGCCAACATGATTGTATTGAAAATATAAGCATGATGGGTGCAGTTAGATAGTTCATAAAATATGTGCTTATATCTAGTTCTGTTTCGTCAGAAGCAGTATGTCCAGAAAATGCTGTCAGCCAAAAAAAAAATGTAACAAACAAAAGTAGCTGCAAGGGTGGGGCAATAGCAAGTGGCTACCTGGGGAGATAGTCCATAGCCTTTGCCAATTGAATCGATGAAGGACAACCTTAGAGTCATCAGTAACCATAGCAAGTAGATCCTTCTCTGGATTCCACTCTGCCATTTTTATCTGCAAATAGTGACTAACGGATTATGACAGCATGAATTAAGAAATGACAACAAAATATCAAAGGGAATACAGATTCCACTTACACTAAATCTGAAAACAGAAATACACATGGAATAAATGGAAAATGAAATTCAGCAGGAATATGAAATATGACAGGTTAATTTTGAATTCACTAATCACCATTTCTTGTGTGTCACTACTCTTTTTTTGAAACCGAGACAGCAAAGCTGGTGTTATGTTAACAAAGCCATGCATTGATAAGATAAAAATAGAAATTGCCAGATCAACCGATCAAGTATGACGACAGAGGTGTGAAATGCAAAACCTGAAACCAAACTCATCAACAAGAGCTAATCGACAAGCTGGTGTTTAACTGTTTATAGCTCCCTATCAGTACAGAAAACATAAAATGGACTGTTTCCATTCAAAGCAGATGTCAAATGTATCCTATACTTGGAGAAGCATACAAAAGGGTCTCACAGTTTTGCAAAATGGGATGATATGGAGGGTGGGAAATGGATCGAAGATTAACATCTGGGCGGATCCTTGGATACCGAGGGGCTGGTCAAGGAAACCTATAACACCCAGAGGCGCTAATCTCGTGACAAAAGTGGAGGAACTGATTGACCCTTATACTGGAACTTGGGATGATAATATGCTGTCACAAACTTTCTGGGAAGAGGATGTCGCAGCTATCAAATCCATTCCTGTGCATGTTGAAATGGAGGATGTTTTGGCGTGGCACTTTGATGCGAGAGGATGTTTCTCGGTCAAATCAGCTTACAAGGTGCAAAGGGAGATGGAGAGAAGAGCTAGCAGAAACGGATGCCCTGGGGTCTCAAATGGGGAGAGTGGGGATGATGATTTTTGGAAGAAGCTTTGGAAACTGGGTGTTCCGGGAAAGATCAAACACTTCTTGTGGAGAATGTGCCACAACACGTTGGCGTTGCGAGCCAACCTGCATCACCGAGGGATGGATGTCGATACCAGATGTGTGATGTGTGGCCAGTATAATGAAGATGCGGGACATCTTTTGTTCAAGTGCAAGCCAGTGAAGAAGGTATGGCAAGCTTTAAATCTAGAAGAGTTGAGAACCAGGCTAGAGTAGCAAACCTCAGGAAAGAATGTGTTACAATCAATTTGCTGCCGCCCGGAAAATGAACGAACAAGTGCCATAGTTTGCCTTTGGCAGTGGTGGAAAGAGAGGAATGAAGTAAGAGAAGGAGGAACACCAAGAAGCCCAGCTAAGCTCTCACACCCGATCATGTCACGAGCTGGAGAATTCGTCAGGATGAACGCAAAGGACAAAAATCCCAGAACAGGAGAGTGTGCAGTTTGGAGATGGCCACCTCTGAACTTTGTGAAAATCAATACTGACGGAACGTACAGAGGTAACACAAAGCAGGGAGGATGGGGCTTTGTGATCAGGGATCGGGCTGGCTCAATCCTTCAGGCAGGAGCTGGTCCGGCAGCTCATCTACAAGACGCCTTCCATGCTGAAGTTATCGCCTGTGCTGCTGCAATCAAGGCTGCAAGCGAAAGGGGTATGTCCAGAATTGAGCTAGAAACAGACTCAATGATGCTTCGGAATGCGATCCAGGATAATTCCTTTAACCTATCATCTCTAGGTGGAGTGATTCTTGAGATTAAACATGTAATTTTGAGCTGTTTTCATTCCTTCTCTGTTAGCTACTCGCCCAGGAGTTGTAATAAGGTAGCGCATGAGCTAGCCGCGTATGGTTGTAATCTCCAGACCGTGTCTTCCTGGGCAGGCTGCCCGCCTGGTCTGGAACGGCTGGTATCCAGCGATTCAGATGGTTTGGTAATATAAATCTCTCGGTTTCTCTCAAAAAAACAATGTGAGAGATTAGCTGAACATATCGCCCACCCAAAACCAGTTACAACGCTCTCAATCACACGCACTGATGGTACTATGAACCGATCTAACCCTGCTAGGAATTTCAACAAACGGTTGGCACGCAGGTAAAGGGGGCTGCAACCCCTGGACCCGCCCCGCCCACCCGTGCTCTACCACGAAGTAAGCAAGCAAGCATGCTCTGCTAGGATCAACTCGTAAGCGCATTAATCAGTAGCTTCTCGACACAGACCGGCTCGATTGGACAAGCAACAAAACGAACTCGGTATTTGGCAGGTCAGACGACGAGCGATTCAGAGGAGGAACCAGAGACGATACCTGGAAGGGGATGGGCTTGTCGAACTGGAGCTGGAACGGCGTGGCCGCCGCCCCCGCCGTCGACGCCTCCTCCATCTGCTCTTCCGCCATGCTCGGTGTCAATCAGGGAGGTCGGGATTTGGGGGAGAACTTTTTTGAGCGGGCAGGCGGGAATGAGGAGCAGACGGCGGCAGCGGCGGCGTGTGACGCATAGGGAAGAAGAGCTTCCCAATTTAGGCCCCGGTACACGTGGCCCATCACTCAAAAAGGCCCGTCTCGCTGGATTGGGCCACTCTATGGGCCTCACCACCAAACGGCGAGAAGTGCAAGGCCCATTTGAGAGCTTTGCAACGAAAGGGAAGCGTTGCACTGATTGTCTGAACGGCTCACTGACGACAGTCCATAGCACGTCTGAATGACCTCCTATATAAAATAACCTCTATTATAGTAGGGTTAATAGGGCTTAATAGTTCGCGTGATATAGATTACTGGAAATAAGATGGGAAATGTAGGTGCAAAAATCACCTTTTACAATCCTATAGGTAGCTATACTTAGGGCAAATTTGAATCGCAGAGATTGCTATATTTTGCGGGAGTACGTGAGTTCTAGCTTGTCAAATCTGATTCAGCTTTCCACTTCGAAGAAAGCAAACTGCAACTAAGAAAACTGAGGGAATAACAGTGGTTGTGACTCAGAAATGCGAGCAAATGATACGAAGAAGATAGATGCTGTGAAACATGACAAATCAAGCTTACAAGTTCCAACCCTGACTCCATCATAAGTCCATATGACATAATATAATAGAAGTGGTGCATACATTCGACATCAAAACTACGGAGAACTTCCAGGGGTTCTCAGGGAACAGCAGTTCAACTTGCAAACTCAACATGAATACGGCTCCTTTCAAGACATTTTCAGCCAGAAGTAAAATCTAAGAGAGATAAGCAACATCCTCCACACTTCAAGAGTCTGCATTGGATGAGAAACTGTTATTAATTTATCAAACAAAAGACAGCAGCAATTTGGAAATTGCACAGCCATTTATGCTTCACAATATATGCACAAAAATTACAATTAGAGAAACAACAAACAGTACTAGAATGTTTCAGTAGGATGCCAAACTGATAGTTTAACAAAAAGACACTCTGTTGGTAAATCAAATACTCGGTTCTTTATACTAAATAGGATATGAAGACGCGATTGCATTAAGATAAATTTAGCATGCAACCTTGTGACAAACATGGCTGGGAAACTTTTTTACATTGTAAGTAAATGTGATAAAAATTCCTCAGATGTCAATCATTTGTGTACATAACGATTACACTACAAGGACCCAATATAATGCCAATTTAGTATCTGCAGTTCAATAGCCATAACAAGTTCCACTGACATAATAAAGCCTCTTCCAGGTAACTCCTATGTTATGGACTTACTGTTAGATCAAAATATTCAGCTTTCAAGCTATTCATATTGGAATGGATTTCAAAGAAACCAGGAAAGCATCATGGCACAGACCATTTACATGCCCCTCTGAACCCTCAAAAGTAGTGGAAGCATGGTTTATGACAATATGAAAATAATGAAGTGAATTGAGCAGGTTTGATTGCAAATGTCAATTCACAAGCCCAGTTAATCTTCGCACACAATTGCCAAATGCAAGAAGTTTTAAAGGATGTCCAAAAACAAAATGGCTATTCCTCAGTCAGGGACTCAGGGATCAGGCGTACAACCACATTTGACATGCTGCGAAAACAGAATTTCGTGCGTACAATGTTCAATTGTAATAGTATTACATTATCACCCTAGCACAGAAGGCTTGATGGAAAAATCTACTGCATTTCTCCATCGCCCGTGCGATAACATGTTCAAGCATGCAAAGTAACACTCACTAAGCATCCTACCATGGTCTTAACAAGCAACTCAAGATATAATAACAATCCATACATGATATGTTCGATAAAGAATTGAGCGATCATCATAACAGCAGAGTCGTTCATCAATCATGGCTAATTGCACAAATGGAGCGACTGTTTAATGGTCATTCTTCAACTGATGCTTGGAGAAACAAGCCTAATCTATAACCCGCAAACAGCTAACTGAACAGGATACAATCCGCACTAACCTTTAGATGCTGCTCGGGTACATGAAGACTCTGACCTTGCGCCCCTGCAACGATGCAAACATAGCAGAAAAATCAGCACAAGCTCATAAACAAGAACAAGAATCGCATAGAATGGGAGCAACGCACCATGGAAGCGGGGGGCAGGTTGGACTTGAACTTGGCGCGGACGACGCCGGAGTTGCCATGGGGGCGGGTGACCTTGCCCCAGATGCAGCGGTAGTTCGTGCCGCCGCTCTTGGTCTTGGCCTTGTACACGTACGCCATCCTCTTCCCGCAGTACCACGCCACCTCCTCCTTGGTGTTCACCCCCTCGATCTGCACCAGCGACGTGTTCTCGTACTGGTTCGACTTCGACCTGCCCAAATTCCACCAATCAAAATCGCGGCGACAGAATGGAACACATACACACGCACACAACCCTCGGTTGCCGGAGACGGCGAGCTCGCCCCTCACCTCTTGTATCCGAGGATGGTGCCGCGGACGTAGAGCCGCACGCGCTGCCCGGTGCGTCCCTTCACCATCTCGTCGTCGCCGCCGCTTCTGCCGCCGGAGAGAGACTGGGAGCTCGCGGAGGTGGGGGTTTCGGAGGCGCGGCCACGAGGGGAAGAAGAAACCCTAGCCAGCGGCGCTGGTAGCTCTTATGTACCCGTCAGTAGCAGAAATGAACGGCGGCGATCTTCCGGTGCAGATTTTTCTACGGCTGTGATTTATCCGAGAGGATCGTGTGTTTTGGTGCGTCGTAGGCCTCATTCCCGTTTCATAGTGGGCCAATTTGTTGGAAAGCCCATCCAAATAACCTGAAATTGAATGGAATAAGTCCATTTTACCTCCCTTATCTCTTGCACATGTGTGAATAACATCCCTCAACCGGAAAACCGGGTATAACGCCTCCTTCTTCTCTGAAAACCAAAGCAAATCATCTCCCTCAGTGGTTTCGGAGGCGTTTTTGTCCTACGTGGCAGCTGAATCAGCTTGTGGGTCTCACTTGTCAGCGACTCTCCTCTTTCTGTTATCTTTTCCATCCCCTGTGGCAGCTGGAGACGAGCGCCGAATGGAGGACGCCGCCCGGGGGATCTAGCGGCGTCATCCCGTCGGAACTCTACTGCAAGATTTGTAGGAACGTGATGGCCGACGCGGTGCTGGCGAGCAAGTGCTGCTTCAACAGCTTCTGCGACAGGTGCATCTAGGACCACATCGCCGCCAAGTCCAAGTGCGCGTGCGGGGCCCAGGCGCGCGCCAACGACCTGATCCCCAACCCGACGCTCCGCACCACTATCGCCAACGTTCTCGCCATCACCGGCGGCGCAGCGAGCGCTTCAAGTGGAACTGAGAAGCCGAGGAGCTCCGTCGGCAGCAACGCGGCAGAGGTGGCGCCGCAGAGCCCGGCCGCTTCGCAGGCGAGCCACAGCAACGTGTCTTCTAAGAAGAGCGCCACAATCTCATCAGGTGTCCTCGAACCAAGAAAGGCGCGGGAGACAGTGGCGGGCGACCAATCCGCAGAATATGGAGCCCTCGCCGTCGACGGCGATCACCACGGCAGCTACGGCTTCCCGTTCGGCCTGGCGCCAGGCTACGTCGACCCCTTCTTCGGCGTCGGCGTGCCATTCGGAGCCGATCCTTACATGTACTACGACGGCGCACCTTACGGCTAGGGTGGTGCTGCTTACGGCTACTACGGCGGCAAGGATCACCGTGACATGAAGAGGACGTGCCTGCGATGATCGCACGTCATCGGCCAATTGTTGCCTGTTGCCCAACGCAAGATTGGATGGCGACACTGCCGGTCGCTGTCGGCACAGCGAGAAGAGCGCCGAATGTTGGATGGAGGACGTCGGAGCGTGGGAAGGTCGTGGTGGCGGCGTTCTGGCTCCGTCCGCGTCAGACCAGCGACGCGTGGTCGACAACCCCTGTGTTGCATCCTCCCATGCCAACTTTGCATGTCTGTCGGCGTCCATCTTCGCCAGGATGCTGGGGAGGGAGAAGAAGAGGTGGCGGCGAGGCCGAGGAGGCGAGGATAGGGATGAGGTGGCGGAGGAGGGGCGTGGGAGGGGAGGCAGTGAGCTCCCGCCGCCCCCGCGGTTTCGCCGCCCGTCACTCCTGCCGCTCCCGCCGCCTCGCCACTCCGTCGAGCTCCCGCCGCCCCGCCATTCCGCCGACCTTCCGCCGCCCCGTCGCTCCCACCGAGCTCATGCCGCCTCGCCACTCCGCCAAAGTCCCGCCGCTCCGCCGAGCTCCCACCGCCCCGTCGCTCCTGCCGCCCCCGCCGAGCTCCCGCTGCCCCGCCGCTCCACCACTCCACCAAGCACCCGCCGAGCTAGCTCTCTCCATCTCGCTTGCCGTGAGGATAAAGAGGAAGGGGAAATGTAACTGACGCGTGGGCCCAATATTTTATTTTTATTGTTTTACTCACTAACATGTGGGTCCCATTTACATTTATTTTTATTTTAGTGCCACGTAAGCGCCACGTCGATGCCTTATGGAAGTCAACCCGCCATGTAAGTGCCACGTAGGACAAAACCGCCTCCGAAACCGCCGAAGGAGTTGATTTGCTCTGGTTTTCAGAGAAGAAGGAGGCGTTATACCCGGTTTTCTGGTTGAGGGATGTTATTCACGCAAGCGCAAGAGATGAGGAAGGCAAAATGGACTTATTCCAAATTGAATTGTTCTTTTGGGCTGAGAGTGGCCCGAGGGGAATGTATGCACTGCACATATCATACACGATAACTAACAAATGTCACCAAAAATTCTGAAAAAAAAAGTGTACATAAATTTTCAATAATAGTCTTGTCTTCGTTCTTTTAACTCTTGTCGAACTTGCCGGATTATCCTCTGTACGATAAGGATAGCTTGATAGCTATAGAGGATCCATGTCAGCACAGTTCCCACACAGAGAGTGTGAGAAAGGAAGAGAGTGTAATTAGTCGTAGATTTATAATCAGCTATAGCACATGAAAGAAGTGACTAGCCTAAGAGAATTATAACATACAGTTATATATCGTGTATAAGTTCAATTATGCTCTTAATTACGTAGAGGTTTTCAAACAAATCAATGGCATGTTTGGAGAGATTAAGATTTTAATAAGCAGCTAGTGAGAAGCTAACTGATAATAACATACAGAAGCTATGAAAACCAGCTTTTGGCTTCTAATCTGTTTTCTATATTCTATAACTACATATTCTAAAAATCTAGGTAAAAAATCTAGATTGTTTGAAAAGCTTCTAGTAGAAAAAAAAAAGGTGCAGCTGACAAAAACTCGCCAAAAAGACCCCAAGTGGCAACACGCAAAACCTGGGCTTCCTTCACAGGGCCGGCCCTTGCGCGGGGGGGGGGGGGGGAGCGGTGCCACTGCCACCGATCTGGGCCCCCAGATCGCAGGGGCCCCCACACACCTCCCTCCCGCGTCCCTGGCCCGCAGATCGAGCGCATGCATGTGCGGAAGCCGGAAAGCGAAGCGCCCCGCGGCGAAAAGAAAACAGAAACGCGCGTGATTGCCGCCGCCCACATCCCCTCTTGTCCTCTTCACGCGCACGCGCTTAGCGATCGGTGACCGGGCGATAGCGATTTGGCGAAAAGCCAAAAATCGAAACTGCATCGCGTGTCGCCAGCGGCCGGCGCCGACGTAATTCACTCCATGGCAATCACAGCTGCTCGGCACTGACGCAATCTCCCTGGTTGCTGCTGCCAGCTGCTCAGTGACGACGCAATCTACTGCGTCGCTGCTACTCGGCATCTCCTAGCCTCCATCGCCTGCCTTCCCTCGGCAAGGTTAGCAATCAGCACACCAATACACCATCTCCGTAGCCCAATTATTAATTTAATTACTGCTGTCCAATCTCTCGATATCAAAACATAAACATATGTAGGCCATCCCGACGCACGGCGTCACGGGCATTAGCGCTTAATTGTTTGTTTCCGTTCACTCGATCGAATCGTCCTCATGCCCTAAGCATCGCATTTAGACGCTTGCGATCAACTAATTGGTAAAATTTTAAATTTATATTTGTAATTTTGTAGTGTAACTTATATGAGTTAAACTATCATAATAGTGTTAATTCTTTTAATTATCAAGCCATGTCATCAATAACTTCACATCTAGTTGATTATTATTTTGTAGTAGTATGTTAAGGACCCCTACATTTAGTTTTGCACCGGGGCCTGAAAACTCAGGATCGCCCTGTTCCTTCACTTCATATTTCTGCACGTTCATCCACTTTGCCAGTGCCATCTATAAAAGACTAACAGTCTTAAGAGTTTAGTATATAAAATACCAAATCAAGACCAGGATTGCCCAATAGGTCGGCCGATTCTGGTCAATTATTGATTGATCGCAGTATATTTTACAGAGCTTAGATCTAAATCATTTCCGATCTACGCTATCTTCGAGGCAGGGGAGTTAATGCTGGCAATTAAAAGTAGTTAACGACCCGTAGATCATCAGTACGTAGACTCGAATTGTGAATGTAAAATTAAGCAAGATCACTTCCATATATGAGTGCACGCGGCCTTGGAGCTTTCCGGACCAAGAAGTTTTAAAATCGTAGCAAAAGTTACAAGTGTCTTCACCGGGATCGATCGACTGATCGAGCATATATATAATAACAGTTCTAAAGTAAACGTTCGATTAATTAGTTTACTCACATAATTAAACAAGTGGCAGTTGTTCATCTAAATTTTGGCAACAACTTGGCAAGTTAACGATGCACTAGCGACAAATTAAATCAGCCAGATGCCAGATCGAGTGTGGGAGCATCGGCAGTCTACTTAAGGACTGACAAAAGCACGAAGCAACGTACTTAGCGTTAAGCTAGCGCAAAGTGCACCTCACTAATTAAGCTAGCAACAATGGCGGCGAACTTCTCTGCCTGCCTCGTCCCCGTCGCCGTCCTCGCGCTCTTCTACCTGGTCATCTTCCCCAACGACTTGAGCCAGCTCAAGTCGGCGCTTGCCCCATGCGACGCCGCCAGCAAGAGCGTCGCGGCGGCGGCGGCGGCGGACGACGACGTCGACTTCCGCATGTTCTTCGGCATCCTCACCCGCCCCGACTTCTACGAGCGGCGCGCGCTGCTCCGCATGGCGTACGCGCTCCAGCCGCCGCCGCGGCGCGCCGCCATCGACGTCCGCTTCGTGATGTGCAGCCTGGACAAGGAGGAGGACGCCGTGCTGGTGGCGATGGAGATCATCACCCACGGCGACATCCTCGTGCTCAACTGCACCGAGAACATGAACGACGGCAAGACGTACGACTACTTCTCGGCCCTCCCGCGCCTGTTCCCCGCCGGCGCCGAGCCGCGCTACGACTTCGCCGGCAAGATCGACGACGACACGTACTACCGCCTGGGCGCGCTCGCCGACACGCTGCGCCGCAAGCCGCGCCGCGACATGTACCACGGGTTCCTGAACCCGTGCCACATCGACCCGGCGTGGCAGTACATGTCCGGGATGGGGTACATCGTGTCGTGGGACGTGGCGGAGTGGATCGCGGCGTCGCCGGAGCTGCGGGGCCGGGAGATCGGGTACGAGGACGACGTGTTCGGCCGGTGGTTGCGCGGGGCAGGCAAGGGGAAGAACAGGTTCGGCGAGGAGCCGCGGATGTACGACTACCTGGACAGGGAGATGTACGGCGCCGACGTCAACTGCTTCCGCCACGAGCTCATCGCCGACACGGTGGCCGTGCACAAGCTCAAGGACCGCCTCAAGTGGGCGCGCACGCTCCGCTTCTTCAACGCCACCGATGGGCTCAAGCCTTCCAAGATGTACCATGTAGATCTCACACCTAGGATCTAAGATCTTTAGCTGCTTTTTCACGGTGATTAATTTAATTAGCTAGTTTTTTTAGATAATGGAATATATTTCCAGACTTTATTCAACAAGCTACAACCAATTATTATACCAAATCGCTTAAAAGCGTAATTAGCTAGTTTTTTATAGTTTAGTTTTTGCAAGCATGGCTGCATACATGCTTGCACTTCTTGCATGAAAAATGTAGAGAATGGTCATACAAATGGAAGAGAGATTCATCTAGCACCCCTTCTTTGAAATTGCTAGTAAACTTTCGCAAGTTTTTTTTCTCTTTTATATCGACTTTTTTATAGGGGCGCGCGAAATCTTGAGTAACAGTATAGCCGATTCGATTAAGTGTTTGGGCAAGTACAATGAGGATTAATCAACCTACTATTAGCCCGTCCAGGTCATCACAATCTGAGCTGGAGAAGGACAGAGAAAGGAAGAGAGAGAAGAAAGCGGGTGCTTGTTTAATCGACAGCTCGGCATGAGCAACAAGATGGATGGAGTAGGCGTGGAGACGATGCAGGAGCCGATGCCGTCGACAAAGAACATGCTTTCTTGGCCTTTTGCATCCCATGCTCCATGGCTCATCCCTTCTCTGTATATTTGGCGGTAAATCCCCATCCGCGGGAAAAAAATCGCACTTTACACGCCAAATTAGTTAGTCGAAGCGTCAAATTCCTACTGAAATACCCCATCCAGTTAGTAATCCCTCAACTCAATCTGCTGAAACAATGGGTCGCTCGAAACGAGAGGTTGCGCCACCGCCGCCGCCATCTCCGTCGCAAGCCTCGCCGGGATCCTTCGCATCTGGCATGATGTTGCCGGGATCCTTAGGCAGTGGTGCCTGGCAAGGTTCGGCGCCACCGCAGCCGCCGCTCCCTTTGCTCTACGCGTACGACGCCGCTGCTTCTGCTTTTCCCATGGCCCAAATGAAGCAAGGATTGGATCATAGTGCCATTGAATTGTCAGATCTGCAAGAACGGTATGTACTTTTGATATTGAATGGTTTTGGATTGATGTGCTCCGGAAGTTCCGTGTACCTCCATGTTGATTAGAAAATTAATGGTGTTGACTAGCTAAGTTTGATTCTTGCCGTATTCTAGTTTTCCCCTTACGATCTGATCTGCTGCTAGCAGATTAGCATATCCCCTGCTAATATGTCAAAAGAATCAACGTGTACATCTGTTTCTCATACTAAAGTTAAGTCTTGCTATATTCAGAAAGGGAAAAAAATTGTGGCAAGAGAATAACTTGATAGTAAGCAAGGGCTACAGATACATATAGATTTATTTTATAGCAAAAACTAGTGTACATAGGTCAGTGCATGGCCAAACTTTTTGTACTAATCTACACATACACTTTGAATAATCAAGAACTCTTACTACATAGGTAGTGAACAGACAAATCAACTTATCTACAAACACAAAAATAGTAACTTTATATGGCATGAGAATTATTAGTATCATAGGCTGTGCTTTGTCAAATTTTAATGTACTCATTTACAGATGAAGAGAAAAAAGTGCTAAGGATGTTATATGGCAATAATTTTGGATCTTTGTCTTTTTCTTGCAGTGGTATGGACTTTCATCCGCCTGGTGGTTTCTTAAGTTACTTTTAGGATCAATCAATTTTACAGAATCATCGACCTTTTGTGCCTCCAAATTATTATCCTGCTGAACAAGTAGCACCATGTTCAAAATTACGTACAGGAGCACAACAACCTGTCAACATTGATAGTGGTGATGAAGAAGCCCCCACTGTTAGGACTGAGAAGCGGTTGACATGGTCAACAGAGGAGGACATAAGACTAGTAAGTAAATAAGGATGTAGGCAATGAATCGTGTTTTCTCATTGACTGTTACTTTATTTCTAGTATAGGACTAATCATGTTTTGTTTTGATTATAGGTGAGTGCTTGGCTAAACAACTCGAATGATTCGATCAGTGGTAATTTTAAGAAAAATGATCGTTATTGGGGAGATGTTACTGCTGAGTATAATAGCACCACTCCCAAAAACAGGACAAGGCAAGAAAAACAAATCAAAGACCGTTTTCATAAAATTAAGAAAAATGTTGGTCGTTTCTGTTGTGTTTATAAAGAGGTTAAATCCATATATGTTAGTGGACAAAATGATATGCAACTCAGGGAAAAGGCTGAAGCAACATATCAAGCAGATTACAAGGAAGGCCCATTTTCATTTCTGCATTGTTGGAACATTCTTCGTGACCAACCAAAGTGGCATGCTTACTTGGAGGAACTTGAGAAGCCAAACAAACCAAAGATGGATGATGAAGTGGAAGTGATGGAGCAAATGTCCACTCCTAACAGTCCTGAAGATATTAAACGTCCAATAGGAACAAAAACTGCTAAGGCGCAACGTAATGGTAAAGGCAAACGCAAAAGGAAGGCAAAGGTTTATCTATCAGATACTGATGATGAAATTGACAAGCTTAAAGAAGTTCAGGAGATGGCAAATAAAGGTCGTGATGAACTACTAGAGACTCAGAGGCGTGTTGCTAGTGATAACCTTGAATCAAAAAAGTTAGCGCACCTTGCAGCCATGGAGCACAAGGAGGCTGTTATGTTGGAAACATATCAGTCTCTCATGTTACAAAATACAAAAGATATGCCTGATGATGTTAGATCCGAGCATTTGATGGCATTGAAGTGTATGAGGGAGAAGTTGTTTCCGTAATACTAAGGTATCTTCACTTTCCAGTCTCTAATTAAAGCTTGTTGTATTTTTTTTACTTGCTGCAATTGAACTTCCTGCAAACATATATATGTTTCTTGCACAATTCAAAGAGTTGCAAATATTGATGTAATCTAACTTGTAATATAGTCAGCATGTAGCTATTATTTCCAGAAAAACATGTAGTCAAGTCAGCAGTTGCAAAATTAACATGCAGTCAAATCAACAATGTGCAGATAAACATGCAGTCTTGAATTCTCAATAGTCTAGTTAATAGTAATCCAAATGAACATGCTCTGTGTATGCATTCCCAATAATCTAATTAAGGGTAATTCAAATAAACATGCTACTAGCTAGTATGCATTCCCAACAGTATATATATATATATATATATATATTGGTCTAATGGTGCTAACTATCCATCCCTCTGTCATTCCTTTCAACACTTCTTTCCCATTCCTTGCACCCCTTGTCTCCACCATGTCTCCAGATGATTCTGGTGAATTAGATCCTTCCAAAATTATAGACCAATACATTGTTGAGCAGAACCTCATAGATTCTTTTGCAAGAAGGGTCATGGAAAAGATCAAGACCAAGCTTAGAATTGGAAAAATCAGAAGGAAGAGTGCGACAAGGAAGACAATCAAGAGGGATCACACAGCAGCACATCATCGTCTCATAGCTGACTACTTCAGTGAAGACCCTCTTTACCTTGAGAGCATGTTCTGTACAAGATTTCGTATGGGAAGACCCATTTTTCTTCGCATAGTGAGTGCCCTTGGAAGGTGTCTCCTTACTTTACACTAAAGGTAGATTGCAGTGGTCGCCAAGGGCTCTCACCTTTACAGAAGTGCACAGCTGCAATGCGCATGCTAGCGTATGGCAGCCCTGCTGATAGCCTAGATGAGTACCTTAAGATTGGCAAGAGCACGTCCTTGCAGTGCTTGGATATGTTCGCACGAGGGGTGATTGAGGTATTTGGTTCAGAGTATTTGCGACGTCCCACATATGAGGATGTGGAGCGTATGCTTCAAGTTAATGAGTCTAGGGGCTTTCCTGGGATGCTAGGCAGTATTGATTGCATGCATTGGAGGTGGGAAAAATGCCCAACAACATGGAGAGGGCAGTTTACCCGCGGTGACTATGGAGTGCCAACAATTATCCTCGAAGCGGTTGCTACTCGTGACCTCCGCATATGGCATGCTTTCTTCGGTGTCGCGGGGTCAAATAATGACATCAATGTGCTGAACCAATCCCTACTATTTCTTGATGTGCTGAAAGGGGAAGCTCCTAGAGTAAAGTTTTTTGTCAATGGTAATGAGTATAACATAGGATACTACCTTGCTGATGGAATATATCTAGAATGGGCTACCTTTGTGAAGTCAATAGCTGCTCCACAAACAGAGAATAACAAGCTATATGCACAGTATCAAGAAGGGGCAAAAAAAGACGTGGAGTGTGCATTTGGGGTCCTGCAGTCCCGTTTCAATATTGTGCGCCGCCCAGCACGGTCGTGGAAACGGAAGAGTGTTGGGAGAATCATGAAAGCTTGTATTATTCTCCATAATATGATAGTTGAAAATGAGAGGGGGGGTTAAAATTCCTATTGATCTGAATGTGGACCCTGGAGCATCGGTTGCTCTTCCTCCTGAAGTAACTACTGGGCACAATCCATGCTTTGATCAGGTGCTGCGTAGGAAAGCTGCAATACGTGCTCGTGCACCACATTCCCAACTAAAAAAAGATCTGGTTGAACATATTTGGCAAAAGTTTAGCAATACCCATCGTACTTAGTTGTGGTAGGACATTAAGCATCTTGTTTTCACATTTTCAATTACAATTGCAAGCATCTTAATTCATTTATCATTTTTATTTATTTATTTCAGGGACAATGGAAAACTTTGGTGCTAGCTTTTTGGTGCTTTCTGCTATGGTTTTGGGAGGTATGTACATGTCTACTTGCACTGTACAGTCCAAAGAACAACATAATCAAATAAGTCCTTTAATAGTCCTTTTGTTTCTACTTAAAATAGTAGTACTACTTCCTTCTAGTTGTTTTGCCATCCAGATTATATGCTACAATTGTTCTATAATCATCAGCCTCCTATTTTCTATGGAAATAATGTTGCTTTAATGACAGGTAGTGAAGATGCTCAATTTGGTAGGCTGGCAGCTTGTTTTGGTTCTGCTTGAGAAAGATAATCTAGTTATAAAGTAATTTTTAGTAATTCGCTGGTGTCATGTAAGAACACTTGTGTTGTTACCATCTATTGGCAGTATGGATCGTTGTAATGGCCTAATTTCTTTTGTCGAATGTTGATGTATGGATCATTGCAACAGACTAAGTTATTTTGTCGGTCTATGAATTAGTTATTTGTCAATCTGTGAACATTCTTTCGATCAAGTAACAATCTGAATCACTATTGTACTGTTTAGTTCGAATGAATTAGTTCGAATGAATTATGAATATTACACCATTGTTGTTGATAAATCCGTCTGCTTTGTGATAAATCATATGATTTATTTTTTTATTGATTGAACATAGTCTTCCGTCTATGGTTGACATATAAGTGGCTACTCAAGTGATGTTTACAGTTGATCCTACGTAACTTGAAAGATACAATTAGAGAATTAAATGCAGCTTGCTTTGCTAGAGACGGCTTAGAGACAGCATGTACTATCTTATTGTAAATATCGTCTGTTAAACCATCTATAGATGATGTGGAGGATACTAATAGTAATAGTAAGATGTTTACTCTATTATTGCCCTTGCCCTTACAAAAAGTATTTGACATGGTCCCTCAGCTCACTCCATCCGATGATAGTCCGATCAGTGTCTTGGATCAAGAAAGACGGAGGATTGTCAATGTCAACGCCGTATCGCCGTCAAAAAATGCTCGCCTCACGTGTTCTGAACTTGGTAAGCCTTCATGGTCCGAATTTGGGCAGTTGGTAGCATGGCCTTATGGGCCCTTTAGATGACTAACACGGGTTAGGATTTCCTTCAAACTTAGCACTACATGGGCCACAAAATTCTACGAGAAGATGGGACTTGTGACTTTGAGTGCATCATTGCAGATTGCTTGTACAATCAGTCTACTTTATGTTTACATGAACTCCAATTTCAAACTTGTACTTAGTTTAGAACGGACTAATTATTGGCCCACCAAATTTTGTCCTAGGCCGGTGATATTGATCAGTGGAGAAATCACTGCAAATTTCAGAAATGTGCCGCACGTATCAAGGACCTTAAGCTACAAAGTTCTCCCATATCCTCATTCCTTTTTTTTCTCATGGAAGAAGCTAATCAATCGTACAACGAACCACGATGTGACAAGCTAAAAACTATCGACATGATCATAATCTATAAGAAAAAAGGTTTATTTCAGACAAGGCCATGATCGATACCGTAGAGTGCAACTATATCTTCTGTCCAAAAAAAAAAAATTCCAAACCGCCGAGATTTTTTTTTGGTTGACAGGGAGTAAAACACTCCAGGTCATCCATAGGAACTTTCCTTGATAATAGATAAAAGGCATAATTCTGGCATTGTAGAAAGTCGATATGTATAACCAAAAGCCCTCCAAAACAATTGAAGGATTAGCTAGCTTGCTCCGTAACTTAACAGCAAGAGAGCAACACAATTCAATAGCATCTAGTAGAATCTAATTCAACCAGTTGCCCACAAGTAAATAAAAGGTTAAAAACTGAAGCTACATTCAGAAAAATCAGCGGGCTTGTCCGTCCTCAGTTCCTCGTCTCTTCCGATCTACGCAATGTTTTGCATGGACTTCCCTAAAGCTCCCCCAGAAAGTATGCGTACGATCAAAACAGTTGACCAACGAGACATTTCCTTCGGAGGAGTCAGAGGATACAGCCTACCTGCATATGCATGTTGGTCATTGTTAATCTCGATATGCATGCATTTCTATAATTTCCTTGCTAAAAACAGAAAAATCATACTGCCCATGGAAATTTGTAATGCCTCTTTTTCTCACATTTGTGTGTACATCAAGGTATGTCTACAACTTTGGTACCCTCTTGGATATAAGAAAATGGACTCGATTGCTTGGCATCTATTGGTGCATGTTCGCAGGGCATGGCTGACCTTGAACTAGACCTTCGAACACTGCCTTCTTATATTAAGCCATTTTAAGTGCAGTGAAGAGCTTAGCATCGCAAGGTAATTAGCCGTAATTTGCAGGATTGATTGGGCGATTATGATGGCCATGAAGAAGTCGTTTTCTCTACTGTTTTTCCTACCTTTCCTTCTCCTCGCCATCATCTACTTCGTTATCTTCCCCAACGAATTCAGGCTCCAATCCTCGCTCGCGGCGTGCGGCGACAGCGCGCCGGCGACGGCGGCCGACGCGGTGGCGAAGGCGGCCCCGGACATCCGCGTGCTCCTCGGCGTGCTCACCCGCGCCGACAAGTACGAGCGGCGCGCGCTGGTCCGCCTCGCCTACGCGCTCCAGCCGGCGCCCGCCCGCGCCGTGGTCCACGTCCGGTTCGTCGTGTGCAACCTCACCGCCGAGGAGGACGCGGCGCTGGTGGGGCTGGAGATCGCCGCGTACGGCGACATCATCGTGCTCGACTGCACGGAGAACATGGACAACGGCAAGACGTACACCTACTTCTCGGCCGTCCCGCGGCTGTTCGCCGGCGAGCCCTACGACTACGTCGGCAAGACGGACGACGACACCTACTACCGCCTGGGCGCGCTCGCCGACGCGCTCCGGGACAAGCCGCGGCGCGACGCGTACTACGGGTTCCTGACGCCGTGCCACGCCGACCCGAGGACGCAGTACATGTCCGGCATGGGGTACGTCGTGTCGTGGGACGTGGCGGCGTGGGTGGCGGCGACGCCGGAGCTCCAGAACGACCTGAAGGGGCCGGAGGACAAGCTGTTCGGCCGTTGGCTGCGGTGGGGTGGCAGGGGGAGGAACGTGTTCGGCGCGGAGCCGCGGATGTACGACTACCTCGACGGCGGGATGCGGCACGGGCCGACGTGCTTCCGCCACCTGCTCCAGGCGGACACGGTCGCCGTCCACAAGCTCAAGGACAACCTGAAATGGGCGCGAACGCTCAACTTCTTCAACGCCACCGAGGGCCACAAGGCTTCCCCGCTGTTCCATGTGGACCACTAAGACTTGTGATTCTTTCAAATTCATTTCTTTTTGTTAGGCAACGAATTTTCACAGATTTAATTACTAACTTGTTCAGCTCTCCAAGAGCAAGTTCAATGGTAGCAACTGCCTATAACTATTGCCACATCATTTACAGCTAAATTTATTAGCCTAATACAATAATTTGCTGTATATACATAGAGATGAAGAAAGTCTCGTATACATATTTAGGGTAATTTTATTAGTCTTGATAAAATATCGGAAGATATCACATTTTCTAATATAAAATTTGATACCTTCAGGTACTGAAGTGTCTTGAGGTATCAATTTTTTTAATGTAAAATTTAGTTACCTCAAGATATTTTTTAAGTACCGTAAAATTTCTCACATATTAGACCATTAATGACTCTATGGCTCATATCTTTCTCTCATAAAGTTTGTCATAGCCTATATGCAGTTGCTACAAAATATACAACTCACTTCCCTTTTCTCTCCTCCAAGTCAGCATGAATTAAATATAACAAGTTTATAGCATGTGTTATATTATCTTATTACTTATTCTAACCTTTCTTTAGTGTTTTGTTCTGAAGTTATATTTGTTAAAATCTTTCAAACTAAAAGGCACAAATGTGTGGTCGACTCAAAGAAACATACAAAATCTGAGCTGAATCAATCGAGCCTGAATTGGCAGTCAGATCAGTGACGCGGAGGCACTACTATAAAAATGGTTTTTCAGGCGGCCAAAAATAAACTTTTCAGGTGGAGGAACGATCCGCCTGCATGCCAATGATGATTTTCGCAGGCGGCCCAGTCACCCGCTTGTTAAAATCATCTCGACGAAAAAAAAAAACCACCGCCACCCCCACCCATGTCCCTACCCACCTCCGCCGCCGACCCCGCCGCCTCACTGTTGCCGCCGTCAACCCCGCCGCCTCGCCGTTGCCGCCACCGACCTCGCACCTCGCCGCCGCTGACCCGGCGCCTCGCCGTCGCCGGTTTCCGCCGCCCCCGTCGTCTGTCGTTGAGGGATCTGAGGGATAGGAGAACAGGAGAGGTGAGGAAGAGGAGAGCTGTGATACTTAGAAAAAATTGATGTGTTGTGGTGTCTATTTATATCCATGTCAATTTTCGCAGGTGGACCACTTAAGCGGTCCGCCTGCAAAAATAATAAAGGGTATTTTTGTAGGCATGCCGCTTAAGCGGTCACAACGAGTTTCAACCGGGTTTGTATTTTTGTAGGTGGCCATTTGGCTCCAATGATCATATCCGTTTGCGAAAAAAATACCCCACGTCTGTAAAAATGTTTTTTTTTCTAGTAGTGAGGATGATATCGGAGAGTCCGAGTGGTCGCCATGGTCTTGGAAACACGGAATCAGTTTAGCGTGGAGAGCCGGAGTCATCAACTGCTGAGAGGAGGATGCACGGGCGGCGATGCGCTTGATCGATGAAGTGAAGGTGCATTTTAATTTGATGACGTCAACCATTTTAATCACCATGGCGAGTATATTTGTTCGGATTTATCTCGAATTCAGCATATGTATAGATAGATAAACACCGGTGGAGAAACCATCTTTTGTCGGTCGGCCGATTTCCACAATAGTCCCGGATGCAATAAAAACCGGGGCTAAAGATGATCTTTAGTCCCGGTTCAAAAGGGAAACGGGTATATTTGATCTTTAGTCCCGGTTTGTGTTACCAACCGGGACTAAAGATCATCTTTAGTCCCGGTTCGAATGTTGTCAGGACCTGTCAGGCCCCCCCGGGATCTTTAGTCCCGGTTGGTATCTTAACTTTAGTCCCGGTTGATATTACCAACCGGGACTAAAGATCCCGGTGATCTTTAGCCCCGGTTGGTGTTACCAACCGGGACTAAAGATCTTAACTTTAGTCCCGGTTGGTAATACCAACCGGGACTAATGATCCCGGTGATCTTTAGCCCCGGTTGGTGCTACCAACCGGGATTAAAGTCCCACCCCTATATATATGTCTTCTTCCTCCTCCAGCTGCCCGAGCAAGCTTCAAAATTACTTCAAAAAAGAGGGGAGGTCATGCCAAAATTTCTATTGAATTTATTTTGGTGATTACATACAAATCGGAGGTGCCTAAAAGGTTTGCAACTTCATCCTCCAATGTTTTTTTTGTCATACTACATTTGCACCTATGTTTTGCACACTTTTTTTGTCTCCAAAATTTAGTTGTAAGTTGATGAGAGAGAAAATGTGTGTGGGGAAGAAAGAATATATAGAAATTTAGTTCATTTGCTAAACAAGGTTTTATAAAATAGTTGAGAAGGAAAACTCTAGTGAAAGTTAATCTTAAATAATAGAAAACAAACTAAAATGAAAATTAAAAGAAGTAAAACACATTAAAATTAGTTTAAAACTTTACAAATAGTTTTTAAGAATTATTTGGTGTAATATTTTATGATTTTTGTATGAATAAAGATATCTTATAATTATTATATGACTGTCATTATTGTAAGAATAATTATTTGTGTGCGGTTTTTTTGACTCATGTAGATGGATCGGCAATGGATGTACGCTGACCGGCGGTCCAAAGAGTTTATTGACGGCGTGCACTATTTTTTGAGAGTGGCCGAAGCTAACAGGCAAAGGGGTTTTATTTGTTGTCCATGCAATAAGTGTAAGAATCAGAAGGAGTATTCTGCATCCAGGACTATTCATTTCCACTTGTTTGAGTCGGGGTTCATGCCAAGCTATAATTGTTGGACATCCCACGGAGAGCAAGGTGTTGAAATGGAAGAAGATGAAGTGGAAGACGACAATATTCCGGACTTTGCTCAGTATGTTGGATTTGAAGGAAATCAAACGGGCGAGGAGGAAATAGCTGCTGATGGTAACGACGTTGCGGATGATCTTGGTCAGATGTTGCAGGACGCCAGGGAGGACTGCGAAAGTGAAAAGGAGGCCTATAAATTGGACAAGATGTTGGAGGACCACAGAACTTCGTTGTACCCAGGTTGCGAGCAGGGGCACAAAAAGTTGGATACCACTCTGGAGTTGTTGCAATGGAAGGCAAAAAATGGGGTTAGTGACAAGGCATTTGGCGATTTATTGAAACTCGTCAAGAACATTCTTCCGGGGGGAAACAAATTGCCCGAGACAACGTACGAGGCTAAGAAGATAGTCTGCCCGTTAGGACTGGAAGTTCATAAGATTCACGCATGTCCGAACGATTGTATCCTATATCGCGGTGAGGAGTATGAGAACCTAGAAGCATGCCCTGTTTGCAAAGCACTACGATACAAGATTAGACGGGACGATCCAGGAGAAGTTGACGGGCAGCTAACAAAGAAGAGAATTCCTGCTAAGGTGATGTGGTATTTCCCTATAATACCACGGCTAAGGCGTTTGTTCAGGAACAAGAGGAATGCTAGAATGTTGCGATGGCACGCTGAAGAGCGTCAACAGGACGGGATGCTGAGACACCCCGCCGATGGTTCGCAGTGGCGAAACATCGACAGAAAATTTAAAGAATTTGGAAAGGACGCACGAAACATACGGTTTGGTTTGAGTACGGATGGCATGAATCCTTTTGGAGAGATGAGCAGCGGCCATAGCACTTGGCCCGTTACGATGTGTATCTACAACCTCCCCCCCTGGCTATGCATGAAGAGGAAGTACATAATGATGCCGATTATTATTCAAGGCCCCAAGCAACCTGGTAACGACATCGACGTGTACCTAAGACCACTGGTCGAAGATCTTAAACAGTTGTGGAAGAAGGAAGGTGTCCCCGTGTGGGACGAGGACAAACAGTAGGAGTTTAACCTACGAGCGCTGCTGTTCGTAACCATCAACGATTGGCCTGCACTTAGCAACCTATCCGGACAGTCCAACAAGGGGTACAAGGCTTGCACTCACTGTATGGATGAAACAGAAAGTACGTATCTTAAGCACTGTAGGAAGGTTGTATACATGGGTCATCGTCGATTCCTTGCAGCAAACCACCCGGTACGGAAGAAAGGCAAGCACTTCGAACATAAGGCCGACCACCGTACAAAGCCTAAACATCGCAGCGGGAAAACAGTGTTTGCTATGGTTAAAGATCTTAAAGTAGTGTTCGGAAAGGGGCCTGGAAGCCAGCATATAGAGAGCGAAGATGGTCACGCGGCGATGTGGAAAAAGAACTCTATATTTTGGGAGTTACCATATTGGGAATTCTTGGACGTACGCCACGCAATCGACGTGATGCACCTCACTAAGAACCTTTGCGTAAACCTTCTTGGCTTCCTAGGTGTATACGGAAAGTCGAAAGATACACTGGAAGCACGTAATGATCTGAAGCATATGGAACAACGCGGCGACCTTCACCCGGAACCAAAGGAGAAAGGAAGCCATTACTTGAGTCCAGCCAGCTACACTCTTAGCAAGGCAGAGAAGGAAAGTATGTTTGAATGCTTGGAGAGCATAAAGGTACCGTCTGGATACTCCACGAATATCAAGCGAATAATAAGCACGAAGGAGAAGAAGTTCACAAACCTAAAGTCTCATGACTGTCACGTGTTGATGACACAACTGCTACCAGTTGTAATAAGGGGTATCCTTCCAGACAATGTCCGGGCAACAATAACAAAGATATGTGCATTCATGAACGCAATTTCGCAGAAGGTCATCGATCCGGATAGATTAGAAGCCCTTCAGAATGAAGTGGTGCAATGTCTCGTCAGTTTTGAGTTGATATTTCCACCTTCATTTTTCAATATAATGACGCATCTGCTTTGTCACCTTGTGAAAGAGATCCGTATTCTCGGGCCTATGTACCTACACAACATGTTTCCTTTCGAGAGGTACATGGGCGTTCTGAAGAAGTATGTTCGTAACCGTGCTCGTCCAGAGGCAAGCATCGCCAAGGGTTATGGAACAGAGGAGGTCATCGAATTTTGCGTAGAATTTATCGAAGACCTTCGCCCAATCGGGGTACCTGAATCACGCCATGAAGGGAGACTACGGGGAAAGGGAACTCTCGGAAGGAAAGCAATAACGACGGTAGACAATAATTTATTCCGTAAAGCCCATTTCACTGTTCTGCAACACTCTTCATTGGTAGCTCCTTACATCGAGGAGCACTTGGCTCTAGTTCGCGCCAGGAACATCGGTAAGTCCGATGCATGGATTACACGGCATCACATTGATACTTTCCCCGCGTGGCTACGACAACATCTCATGGGTAACGAGTCGATCAACCAACAACTTGCCTTCCTGGCGAGGGGACCGTCTGGGTCGATCGCGACATTCCAGGGATATGAGATCAATGGG